AGGAAGGCAAGTCTAAAACCAGTGTAGCGGTTCTAGAAAACAAACAACTTAGCACTTCTGTATCTATTTGTTTAATGACATAGCCTACTCCACTTATGCTAGAAAAAACTGTACCCAACACCTGTTTGAACATACATTTTTTACTTTGAGTTAGTTGGTGAATTTATTTATAGAAGTCTATTCGCATTATGGTTACCTAATAGAATGGACAATCGTATTTCGCGCAAGGCGATTTTGAAGGATTATTCCACTATGTTCACTTGGGTGATATCACCAGGTGGAAAAAAGTGGAATTTTTGGTGTCCTCATATCACCTTGGATCCATATCACCTTGGATCCATATCACCCAGGTGAAATGATTCGACGATCGAATGATTCGATTTGTTCATCTTAGAATTTATGCTTCAACCACACCAATTCGCCTAAAATTCGCTTTAACAAATTAATTTCTTTAGCAAATCGCGTGCATAAACGTTTTCTATATTTCAGAAATATCTGGCCATGACATCTCTGAACCGTTATTTAGTGATGATAACAAATCAGGCAGCATTCCACTGATAATCACTGTTGAAGCAAGTGCTTCGTTTTACGCATCGCTCGTATTGAGAACAGTTCAGCAATGTTTATTTACGTGTTTAGATTAGACATTTATTTGGAGCACGTGTTATACGCAGTTTATTCAGCCAGTTACCAGTGCTCGCGTGGAATTAAATTCGTTACAGATATTTATTGCCACAATATGGATGTTTATTACTCTTTGACGCAACTACTAAACGGATTTTGATGTATTAATGTTTATTCATCAGAATAACATGATTAGGCATTTTTTAAATTCACGCGGCGAAGCTTCGATAGTACCAAGTCTACAATCTAGGCAAGTTTCTTTTGTTTACACAACTCACTACATATTTATCAATTATACTAATACCAAAGTCCAAAAGAGTCTCCATTACTGATCAGTAAAATTATGGAGGAATTCAATATTTCGGGGTCATAGTCAAGGTAAATTGAAATTTAATACATAACATTAGGGAATATTTTATAATCAAGGACCAAACTTGAATAAATTTTAACTGAGTTTTCCAGCAGAATGAATAAAGAATATTTGATAATCATTATGCTTACGAAGATACATAAAACCTACCAAGGTTAAAAATATCAAGGGCAAGGCAATTGTGACCCACTTGCCTTACATAGCTACATATAAGTTAATATCCACACTGTTAATAATATAAAACGAGTTTGTAAATGATTTTATCAAAATTAGAGGTCAAAATTATTTTGCATGATCTTAGTCATGATTGTTTTAGATTTTTTAAGATGATGTCCACAGCAGATAAGAAATTAAAACTTTAAACTCACCAATATAAAGTCTTTTCTTAGTCTGCCAACGGGAGACCGCCCTGGCTATGAAGGAATGATGACCGCAGATGGTTTGTATACGCGCCTCTTCTTTCACCTGTCGCACAGCGTTTTCATTTACTATCTGAAACGGTAAAAACATCATTCAAAAACAATACAATACAGTTTACAGGTACTTTTGGCTACAATAATAAAGAGGGAGCTGTTGATAAAGAATGCTGAGTAAATAACACCATAAACAAAGAAATTCACAGAGTATGACGTCGTATATTTTGGGATCTATGATTATTTTTCACTGATTAACTATGTTTTTAAGTGATAAGATAAAAGAGAATTGATATAGAAGGTTAAGGCATAACAGTAATTGCCTACCTTGCTAAGTGTATCATTAATAAAAATTTGTGGTCAGTTAATATCCGTACAGATAAGAGCACATCAAAGTTAGCACTAAAACTCATTTATTTCGCTTTTAAAAAGCACTATGACACCTAGTGTATTTATAATAGGAGTGATTTTCCAACCAAAACAGATGTGCTGTTGAGTGTGCCTGCCACTGACTACCAGTACTAGTCTAAAGAATGTAAAACATTATAGTAACCAGCTCAGAACAAAAGCCCAAAAGCCGATAAGATTATCAAAGTAAATGCACTGTAGATAAAGAGTAGTTTAGAGTGGAAGTTTATCGTACATGTAAATTTCATTAGGAAATATAAACAAATTAGGTAAATGGGTCAGCAGATAAGCATATTGCGAGCTGATAAGGCAGAGCACTTTGTTTGACAAGGTTCACAGTGAAAATATACCTGTACGATGATTGAGATTAGAAGAACGAAAGAAATAAAATTGTGTATAAACTGGTTAACTTTACACTGACTAAATGCACAAAATTACATTGAAATAGCTAATAAAGGCTTTAAAATAAATGTATATTCAGAGAAAGAAAGAAAAATATAGTTCCAGAGTGTGGAACTATCAAAGAATTATTATAAAATAGGTAATTACCTATTTCATGCTGGTTTTATAAGTCTATTTTAGATTACGTAATTTCAATCATGTTTTGGTAACCACTAGTCACTAACTACTAGTTACTACCTAACAGGAATTCATTAATATTATAATGGCTTGCTAATTGAATCAATAAAAATGCACTGCCAACTAAAGTATTTTGAAGTAAGTATTTATATTATTTCTTATTGATTAGGTCATCAAATTGAACCTGTATAGTAACTAAGTAGGTATCTTAGCAATAATTATAAAATGGATCAGTTCTACATAAAATGTTTTTTAATTTGGTCAATCAAAAGGAACAGGAAACAATATAATATAAGTTAAATTAGGGTCTGGTATTTAACATTATTTTCCTTTCTGGTTATTTAAATTAAATATTACTGCAATATTCAGTATGTAAAAAAAATTAAGGTAATAGGTTTAGAGCTTGATATTATACAAGTACAGGTTTTTTAACTATTGAAATCAGAAATGAGGAAGAACATATTATAGATGATTAATTTCAAGAAAAGTAGGTACCATTGAACATGCTAAATTTAAATAAAATATTCATAATTAGCAGTTGGCTTCTTGAAAAAATAACACTGAATAAAATAATACTATGAATTCTTTCAATGGAGAAACATCATTCATAATTTCATACATATTATGAAAATTTACTTAATGTTAATTGATGAGATGGTGTCATCATGTCAATTCAATGGAAAAAAAATTGCATAGCAACTCAAAATTTGTGTGAATTACCTGTGCTTTACTAAGGACTTTCAGTGCATACTCCTTATTGTCACTAAGTTTTGTTACTTTGTATACTTTTCCGAAGGCGCCCTTTGCGATTGTGTCCTCAAATTGAAAGTCCTTCTGTAAGAGGTCAGCGGTGATGGGGAATTCAGGCAGGAAGATCGATTCTTTGTGAGCGACCGGCCACGCTGTCTTGCTGGCTTCTAGGGGATTTTTTAGAGTTGAGTCATTCCACCTAAAAGGTAATTAATCCAAAATAACTTACAAAATAAGTGAAGTTGAATGCAGAGTTCCACCACCTGACTTTAACTGTATCTATAACCAGGGGTGGAATTGTGTAAAGCAATCGTTATCATTTGACAGTTCATAACGTACAACTAATCTGTCAAACGCTTTGTTTAACTGACTTTATCGTACGTTATGAACTGTCAAATGATTACGATTGCTTTACACAATTCCACCTCAGATAACCAGTGTTTTTTGTATGGAGTTTGACAGATTTTTTAAGTTGGTTAAAAGTAAGATGATGCAACCCATACTAAGTTTTTATGAAGAGTTAATGAATTTAGAGTAAAAGACCACTACAAATTATAATGAGCATTTTGGTTTTAGTTCCAAAATGAATGTCCTTTGATGAAAAAGAACATAATTTGCAAAGCATAAGCTTTGAGCTGTCCAAATCCAAAAAACTCCAAAAATTGAATTACAGATTTATTTAAGATTCAATAAAGAGCTTTGATTTCTGGCATATTTGATTCAAGATAAGTGTCATCTTGTATCTAAGCTCTTTTTAAAAAAATAACATGTGCAGTCTGAAAGCATTTTTAATCTAATTTACAACAGACAATTTTATTGTTCTGTGCCTAGCAGAACTGCTAACTCATGGTATTTTTTGAATAAATTACCTCATTTTAACTGCACAAAAATACCATGATGAAACCTTCATGATTGATTGGTAGACATTTTTATCTATTCTACACAAATATATCTAGCATAGTGTGTAAGGTAAATTATTCAAAACACAAACATTACAACACTATTGTTATGAAGTAGTTAATTATGTAGCTACTGGCCACTAACCTTCTACGAGACACCCGAGACCAAGGCCGAGATGCGCTGTACACGGACTGGTTACTGGTCACGCTCACGAACGAGCGTCCGCTGAGGTTCCCGACGAAATGCGATAAACTGAACTACACAAACAATAACAACATGCACTTTTTGTCACTGGTGAAAACAAAGAACTGACAGCGGACCCTAAACGGACGCCAACGGTCTCGGACACCCACAAAAAATGGTACTGGCACTAGACAAAGACTTCCACTATTATGTACATACGAAATATTTACTATTACGTGTGTTCAGCTGAGGATGACATTAGCAAGTTTTCGTTTCATCGCTGTCGCACTTACCTGACTTGTGAACGGCCCTTCGCGATCTGTGTGCGCAGATTCCTTGTTGCCTCTATGCTGACTGCTTTTGTTTTGCGAATTTCCCATTAAACTAAACAATTGGTCCTCTGAATTCGGAATAGTTATTTTTACAATTTTTACGGCAAAAATATTGTGTGATCTTCCAAACCATAAATCACCCATAAACAAACACTAACCACAAACAATTTTCCAAACAATCCAACCACAGATAAATAAAAGTTACAAACTAATTACCGGATAACGTTATCGGTTATGTTTATTTGTCTATACTCCTCTTTTCTTGAGTTGCGTGTTTTGAAATAACTGCATCTATTTAAAGCATTATATTCTTTATCTTTAAATCGTTTCTGCACTTATTCTCCAGCAAAACATTGCTTGAGAGCATGCGATTAAATGCGGTATAAGGCGGCTTTTCAGGTCATTTTTAAATAATGCTAGTTAAGCTTTTATGTAGTTAATAAAACCAAATCATACTTTTCACTAGATTAATGTTTATTTACTAATTTACTATTAAACACTGCCTTAACAAAGATACGACACGATAAAGTCGCCATAAAGTTTTAAGTTATTTAACTAAATAAGTAGGTACGTAAGGGCAAAGAACTTACCTATGTCATACCACATACCTACCTCGAGATAAGCAAGCAAAATTCGGCGGTGGACGATAAAGGCTTATCAATAGATTTCAGCTATCAAGATGCCATGAAGATCTCGCGTGCACACAAATATTACCTAGTTCGTAATCGTTTATTATCCACCTGTCAGGAAACTACGACGAATTCAAAAATAACTCTACCTACACAGAGGCGGGGCAAGACCTAAATTTGATGTGGGCAAGACAGATTTCGCGAGGCCTTGTTCTGTGGCGACCTGAAGACGGATTTTATGAAATAATAAAAAAAAGGGTCAAAGGTCTATTTGACAGTTTCTGATTTCTTGATTCAGTGATTATTTTTAAAGGAATATTGCGCCAAAGAATAATGTTCGTCACTTAAAACCGTGTTGTTGCTTAATTTTGTGTCTGATTATGGCTGAATTTGTTTGGAAAAAAAATATATTTTTATTTTTAACTACATTGTTTAGCTATCAAGAATTTATATTTAATAGTCAATGTTCGTATTGTGATATTGTCATCTCCACCTTGTATACCTACATTTTTTCAAAATTTTTGATGCGCGAGGCCCCTTGTACCGCGAGGCCGTAGGCGGTGGCCCACGTCGCCTACGCCTTACGCCGCCTCTGTACCTACACCATTGAAATCCATTGCCGGTCGCCTGTCCCAGTGATATGCGTGCAACTACTATGTCCTTAAGTCACGGATTCGATTCCCGCTTCCCACACAATCAAGCATTAATTTAAGTGCATGAACATTTATTTTCTCTATTCGTTTCCGTCCTATGTGTAAATAGGTATTTAATGAAGGTATTTATTTAAAAAAAAAACCTAAGTGTTGGTTATTTTTAAGTAGTCTGTGTGAAGCTATTGACTAATTTAACGGGGCCTATCTTTGTACGTTTCAGGTGTTTCTTAATAACGCGCCTCTTCTTCCACTCCAAGAACCTTGCTGTGGAGAACTGTTTGATGCGTTGTATTAATCCTATAGCTACTTCAATAGCAAAGAATACACATGAAATTATCGTCAAAAGAAAATAACATTTAAAGACTCCTCCCAGATCACTCATGTCCAAAGCTTTAATAAGGGCTTCGTCTTTTATATCGGTAAATCGATATTGCTCCCATTTGTCAACCAGCCCAGCTTGTAAATAAATTAGCATTATCCGGTTAAATTGATCGCTCATCGGAGAATTTCTATGAAAAATAAAGTTGGTATAATAATTATGAATTTGGTCCTTAGTTATATGTAGATACTGCTCTCCTTTGTCGTTCAGTTTGTTGCGTTCCAAATACCGACCTACCGAACAATCGATGAGACAAAATCTTCGACTATCATTGCTCATGTGGTTAACGCAGCCAAATATATCTTGGATAGGAACGAGCTTCGAATTGATCTTCCTAAATTTTTCTTCTGTATCCGGCAGTACAACATCAGGTGACGCCATGCCTTCTATTGGATATCCTTTTTCGATTATATCGTCGTACGTGTCCACATCTTTGCCTCTCTTATGTGCACTGAAGAACGATATTATAGCTGCTTGTGTAACAAAATTAATGGCAAAGAAACTCCAAATCGAAAAGAACAAAAACATCCTAAACGTCTGTTTCTTAGGTGGTTTAAATAAACTCACAGATAACATGTTTCGGTATGCATTGATCAAGTCTTTGCCGAACTGATCAAAACTTGTAGAGCCTTTTTCTACGAAGTTGAAAATGAAGAATACGAACCAGGTGCCTAAAAAGCAGAACACGAATTTGATCACTAACGTGTAGTTTTTTAGGAGCACTTTCACGTCGAATAACGTCGTTTCAAAACCAGCGCGATGGGCCATAAAGCACACACCACTTGCTTTAAAAGCTGTGGTCATATCTATCTCGACAATGACGAGGTCGAACTGGTAAATTGGTATGAGGAGCAAGTCGCCTCTCCGTTGTGCGAATTCGAATATCTGTTGGATGCTTTCTTCGAAGTCGAAAGGGCCTTTCATTATTTTTTCGCTGGGAGAAAAGTCTAAGCTAAAATTCATGTTCTGGGACAAAGTAGCCCAGACCAATCCATCTCGTCCATTTAGGGTGTACGTTCCGTCATCATTTACGTTTATTCTCACAAAAGGTACTACATCTTTTACATATGCCCTAAGAGTAAAGCCATGCAAATCTTTGGTTTTGTCATTGAATAATGAGCTGCCTAAAGACGAAGCATTATCTTCGTAACTTTTCACAATAGTTTCAAAGCCAATACAAGTTCCAAGATGGTCCGCCCGTAATTTAGAGCGTACGGTTACATTGTGGCAACCTTCTGTACACGTGAAGCTCTTCTCAAAATTTTCTATTGGATAAGTAATCTTCTTCGTAGTCCAGCATCCATAGCTGTATTTTAACTTGAAATGTTCGCTGATGTATGGATTGTAATGCGTGACTGTAAACTTTTCGGTGTCATCATTATATTGTAGCAGGATGGCATTACACATTTTGTAATACCACAATATAAATAATATCTTGGCTATTATGTCATTGCTTTCCTCAGCATTCTCGTAATACACAATTGTGTTTGCATGTGGGTGCCAATATGGTATGTCGCGGGCAGTATTCATCTTCTTTTCGAAGTCATCAAAGTCAAGGCATTTTAGAACTAGCGTATTGACCCGATACTGCAGATGTTCTACGACTTCGAAGCCATCATACTCATCGTCTGCAGCGAGGAATGCTCGGTGCATGCTTTGAATTTCCTTATAAAACGCGTCCGGCCAGTTGCCTATCGCCAAAAAATTCATCCACCCTTTTCTGTTGGGGATTGCAACAATCATGTCTCTCTGAAATTAAATAAAAATACTTTATTCAGTCCTAAAAATTAATAAAGACACGAATAATTCGTTAAAAATGGTTAAACTTACGATAAACTGAAATTTCTCTTTTTCATAATCTCGCTCTGGCAAAATGGAATTAATATTACCAGACACAAAATTAAACTTCAATAGAATCAAAAGAAACAGTCCCTCAAACGTTGAACCTATTCGACCCATGATGTCGCAAACAAAAACCTATCTAAATCTTAAAATAATAAACTAATAAGTAACTTTAGTTCATTCAATATTGATATTCAATCAGGGTATGGGTACAAATTATTATAATGATGATGAGTTGATCATCAAATGTAACAGGGTAATTCAGAAAACAATATTACATTAATACATAAATGAACCCATCAAAAGCATTAGGGCAGGGATTCTCAATCTGTTTTCTAAATAATTATAATAATTTTGGAGACATCAATCACGCATTCTTGAATGAACGTGATGATTCAGTCCGAACAATTAATTTTGTTTAAAAACATAAATACTTCAATTTTGTTTTTGATTTTCGATATTTAGAAAATTATATTAGTTTGAAAATTGTACGTCGTTTTTAAATGACACACGAAAAAGAAAAATACTTTTCAACAATACCTTAATCTGTTTATTCTTAAAAGTTGATATCCTGATACATATTAACATTTTATATACAATCACAGTAGTAAAATACGAGGAAACGTTAATAAAGCTCATTCTAAATAAATAACGCACTATCTTGTTACAGCTGGCATTAAAGTACATACTAACATGGTTTAACATTTCTGTCTATAATTAGGTACCTATATACTAACTAAAGTGGATATTTTAAATTTAAATATTTTTCTAGAAATAACAAATGCAAAATAATATCTAAGTGATTCAGGAAGTAATATATCATGTTGGCAAGGATGGCAATTTACTTATTTATCCTTTTATTTGCCGCGCGCTAAGCAGCATAGAAACAACTGCAACCTGATCACGTGACTTGTTGCGTCATAATGAGGACTATCATTATAACCGCTTCAGCGCACACCTGAGCCCCGATTACGGTAACTTTTAACGTTTCCAATCCAGACACGCTTCTCGATTCTGCGATACGATTGGTCGTTCAACAGCGTACGTCAGCTGTTTTGACCAATCGTATTGCAGAATCAGAAACGCGTCTGGATTGGAAACGTTAAAAGTTACCGTAATCGGGGCTCAGTTGGCGCCATTGTCTTACCACAAGCAAGTGTCAGAACCTAAATAAAAAAACTTTTACAGTGGCACAAACTGGTGAGCTCGGACGCGGTAGGATTTACGCTACTTAGATGATGCCACTGTAGAGTAAGGTCCTGTATAATAGTTTTATGACATGCTGATTTTATAAAAATATGGTTTGTACATTTTAACTATTTGAGTTAATAAAAATATGTAACATAATATACATCCAACATAATACTAGTAAAATAGATACATATAATTTAAAGTTAACTACATATGCGATTGGGTTTGGATGGATGAACTTTCTATCCATTTTCATGCATTAAAATTTAAATAGGCTGGTTTTTTCATCTATTAAACATGAACGAATCTTCTGCTAAAGGCACTTTACATAACTTATTCGTTAATATTGCGACAATACGTAAGCTAATGCTCAAATCCTATGACTTTTCGTTCTTGTTTATAACCACTGGACACGAACGGGTAGTTTTTATATGGGCTTGAAAACAACAGAATCCCTAATTTTTAAGTGACCTCTATTAAAACAAAAAGCATGTTATGTGTTACCATAGGGGTCACTTAAAAATTAGGAATTGATGGTGAAAACGGGCATTACTGTAACAAAAATAATGGGGTAGTTGACAGCACCAATAAATTCGTTGCGTTGCGTTGTTGTGTTGGCATTATTGATATAATATGGTGCCAACTGTCAACTCCCCAATCCTCCCTTATCATATAACATTTAAACTTCAGCTACACTACGGCTTTGTGCAATACATAAAGAGTGTTCCGTTTCCTAGACTCCCGTCATGACCAGTGATTAAAAACAGACATAGCGCGCTCCTTGTAATTAAAACCTTAACACTTACGTTCTAGGGTTTTTACTGCTATTTTATTACTTTCTCTCCTTCAGAAGCTCTTGTAAATGTTCCCAGGCGCGGTCGATTTGCGCCTGAGTGTATTCGTAGCTCCAATATGGACTGAACACTATATTCGCGGCGGCAATTTGCTCTGCGTTCGAGGGTTGGGCCTCGATTCTCTGCCGCGCCTCTTCTTCGGTCAAGTTGTTCCGCTTTTGCAACCTTTTCACCGCCTAGAAAGAATTGGGACATGAATAGTTAGTTAGTAGAATACGTAAATGACTTTGTATGAGTGGAAAAAAAACATTGGCAGTAAAAAATTGGTGGAGGAGGGGCATAATATTGTAAACTCATAAAACTTATTTATTTTTTACAATTAGACTTTTAAAAAGCACTAACAAGTTCCAGTCTGAATTACATTAGCCCTATCACTGCTTTTTTTTTCTTTATTAGGAAAACATACAGCTTATATTATGATACAGGTAGAATAAAAATAATAAGTCTTACACATATTAGACCATAAATGGGCCAGTGCTGAGAAGAAGCAGCGCAAGAAACTTCTCCATTTTACAGTTTTGTTTTTATTATTGAATTATTGTATCCAATTAATTTATCATAGCCGGAGTTCACTAATATTCTTTATTTCTAATAAAAGCATAATCTATACAGTGTGTCCGGGCATGTAGTGATCAAACTTAAAGAGCGTAATCTATGGACAACTTTATCGGTAAAAATACTTTGAATTTAGGGCTTGACCCATTTCTCGCATATTTACAAGGATTTAAGTTTTTAATTTTAAGTTTTCACCTCTTCCTTCAAAAACAAGTGATAGCGTGGGTAACTTAACATTAATAAGCAAATATTTTATATCATGCGATAGCCAATAAAATTAGCTACTAGTAGAAGTAGAAAACAGACACAAGTTTCATACTTTTTAAGGGAGTAAGAATGGATTTAATTAGAAATAAATATGATTTTTTTCACATCTTTTTCAGTTATTTCCCAACACAAGAAAAACCAGGTCGTTAAGGTATGTTTTATTTGCATTGTATTATTAGTATTTGAGCCATTCTACAAAACGAATGTAAATTTATTAGTCTACGTCTATTAGTTTCGACGTAATTTTTGAACAGAGATACCCATTCCCAGCGGTTTCCATAGTAATCGGAATAGGTTGTGTGATTATTTCAGGCAGTGCATTTTCGCATGTCGCGTGCTCTATGGGAACCGCTGGGAAGGGGTATCTTTGTTCAACAATTACGTCGAAACTAATAGACGTAGACTAATAAATTTACATTCGTTTTGTAGAATAGCTCAAATACTAATAATAAAATGCCAATGAAACATACCTTAACGACCTGGTTTTTCTTGTGTTGGGAAATAACTGAAAAAGATGTGAAAAAAATCATATTTATTTCTAATTAAATCCATTCTTACTCCCTTAAAAAGTATGAAACTTGTATCTGTTTTCTACTTTTACTAATAGATAATTTTATTGGCTATCGCATGATATACAATTTTGCTTATTAATATTAAACTACCCACGCTATCACTTGTTTTTGAAGGAAGAGGTCAAAACTTAAAATTAAAAACTTAAATCCTTGTAAATATGCGAGAAATGGGTCAAGCCTCAAATTTAAAGTATTTTCACCGATAAAATTGTCCATAGATCACGCCCTTAAAGTTTGATCACTACATGCCCGGACACACTGTATATATAAAAGAAAGTCGTGTTAGTTACTTCGCTTATAACTCAAGAACGGCTGAACCGGTTTAGCTGAAAATTGTCAGGGAGGTAGTTTAGAGCCAGGAGAAGGACATAGGATACTTTTTATCCCGTTCGAAATAAAAAAAAAGTCTGCTTATTTATTGCCATTAAGGCGGAACAAAGTTCGCCGGGTCAGCTAGTTTCTAATAAAAGCATAATTACGAATAAATATTACCTCTTCAGGCGGGATGATGACCGACCACAGCTGGTGGCAGGAGTGGTACCACTTGGCGCGCACCATCACGGCTGCTTCCATCACCACCACGCGGTATCCTTGCTGGCCTAGCTCTCTGATTTGTCTCTGGGCCTCTTGGAGGACTGCCGGCCACATTATACCGTTTAGCTTCTCTAGCTGGTCCTAAAATGTGAAAGAAAGATATGTACTTAGTCGGTTTATGAGCTGATGACAGAAGAAAGAAAGCAAAAATATTTATTTGGTACAAGTAGAATAATAAAACAACGACTATCAAGCAGGCCAAAATGGCATCCGCCTTGCCGTAAAGGCAGATAGCTCGTCAGAAAGAAAACAAACGATACGTTGCGGCAGCGGCAGGACGTCTTACATAGAAATATCTGTCTGTGGGAGGCCCGCCCACAAGCGGTGCGGCGCCGCGTCGCACTATGAGATGAAATCGTTGCGGCTACGCATCGTGTTATCACGTGGTTGAAAAGAACAAAACTAAGGGTCAACGCTGAAACTCGCTCGCGTGTCTGTATCGAAAAATAGCAAGCAACGTAATGTGGCGTAAAAACGCGCGGCGGTAAGCAGGCACCCGCTCCGTGCACCCGCGCAAGTTTTAGCGTAGGCCATAACGCCATTGTACCTTGTCACTGAACACGATTTGCCCCAGCACTTTCCTATCCACCTCCCCTGTCTCAGTGAGGATGTGCTGCCCAAAGGCCTCGGCCAGCGTGCCGTTGAGCGGCAGACCCGGCTTGTACAACTCGTGCGCGATTATGTCGCAGTTTACTAGGCCCGCGCCTTTTTTCCTGTGAAGAAAGAAATTAGTGAATGAAAAGTTTATTTACATTAATATTTCGTAATATTTTGTTCATGTTAAGAAGACACAAATGCGTAGTAGATGAATAGATCAAACCAACCATTTTTAAGTGCCCTCATATAAACTAATTCAGTACCTCTTTGAAATCATTCAAAGAAATGACAAAAAAGATCATTATTAAATAACTTTTTTTAGATGTGGCTTTTTCAGTCTTATTTTATGATTGCAATATTTTAGTCCATAGTGTAAACAAAAGTAATGCTAGTCTTGAAATCTTATAATGATTGTGTCCTTTACCTTAACTTTTCTGCAATATTGCTTTTTCCACTAGCAATGCCACCTGCCAGTCCAATTACATAAGGCCAGTCTGGAATATGAGGATTTGGCTGCAAACACAATATAAAAACAATATAAAGGATTATTATTAGATTAATAAAAAAAGTTAGCATAATTACCAACCAGTGGTGGATTTACCAGCAGGCTGAGTAGGCTAAAGCCTAGGGCGGCAAATTTTTAGGGGCGGCAGATTTAATTCATAATTATAATTATTAGTAATAATAAGTGATTTTTTGCAGTACGTATTTCGGATACGAATATATCAATGTTCGCCAGGCCAGTCAAATAAGATCCAACAACAACTTTGAGTCGTTGTGAAGTTCATACAAATCTTTTGTGTAAAGTCAAAAACGCGTCGTAAATTACGGTCGTTTGGCTTTAGCCTAAGAATAATTATATTTACTTACCACTGGAGGCCTCAGAACAGTCCCAAGCAGCCTCATCCTCTGGTTACTAGAGCTGACCTTCTGCTCCTCCTCCTGAGACCTCTGAGGGTGAGAGTCCTCGGCCAAGTTGATGACGTACGTGTCCATTGGATGAAGGCCGTTTTCTTTCCTTTTCTCATTGATCTTCATAGCCCCACGGACTGTCTCCTCACTGACTACTATCATCTGTAGAAGAATATAGGTAACTGTTATAAAAATGTAACTAATAAAATTGTATTATTATTTTTATAATTTGACCATTTGTAAGTACTAATTCAATTAGCCTATGCAAATAAAGATGATTTTGATTACATACTTACGACCCGATCGAGTTTACTGTTTAAACCTTTCGAGTTCGAATCGTTTGCGTATTTAGTACGAAAACTGTAATTACAACAGCGCCCTTGTGAACGTGTCGTAAAGTGAACTTAGTATGAGAAATGGTTGCACGAAACTTATTTTGAGAATCAAAATTGTCACCTTATCGTTTAATTCGAAGGTTGAGTGTCGAATTTTGTCAAATACGCAAACGATTCGAAGACGAAAGTTGTTCATGCTAGAGGTACTGGCAGGCGTGACGTCACATCGATGCTCTGGTGCGGACGGGGCGAACGCGGGTAAGCAGGAGGGAAAGTCGCATTCCAGCGAGGTACGCAGTTGAACTGTCCCACCAAACTCAATGACAGGGGGGCGCTACCATCGTTCAACTATATGGTTTCCAACATGGCAAAAATCGGAACCAGCGATCCGGTATTGACGGTGGCGCCCCGCTGTCAATTTCATGGATAGGACAGTTCAGTATTTTGGAACTATAGACACCTCTAGCCATTTTAATCCACATTATAGACTTAAAAGACACATAAACAGAACATCATCCCATTACAGAAGCTTCTATGCATAGTTATAGTTAAAAATAATATTGAAATAAATAAAGTACACTTTACCTGGAACTTAGGATCATCTTTAGTAGGTCCATACAGGTCTTTCAGAGGGAACACATGGTATTCCAAGTCTGGGTTGATATCGGTTAGGAAGTTTAACACCGCCTTTATCCTCTGTTCCACTGGTTCTATTAGCTCCCATAATTTTTTAGCTGTAAAAATCATATTACAGTCAGTAATTTAATAAAAACAATTGAATTTAGAATTAGTATTGCATGACATATGTAATTATAAGTTATAAGGACGTGTGTTGACGATCCGGTTTCTCTCCGGTCCGACGCCGTGACGGTGCCGGAAGTCCGCCGATGTCCACGTTCGGTGACGAACCGGCCCGACGCCGGAACGGGCAAAAGCCGGGCCGAAACTGAACCGTCAACACACGTCTATAGTATACAGATAATACAATTAACAAAAAAACTACACTTTGATTAAAGAATAAAAGAAGTTGTTTGCAGGTCCTTACACTGAATCATATTAACATCAGTGACGCCCACCGTAACATGTTTCTTGGAGCGCAGAACAGCTTGCGATAGAAGGATTTTATGGCCATTGTGCAAGCGGTCAAATGTTCCACCAAGGGCTACATATTCGTAAGTCTTTACCTCTTGCTCTTTGGTGTTAATATCTCGTAGACTTACATCTGAAAAATCTGGAAACATGGATTTTATTAGGATACTAAAACTTCAGGACACAACACTTCTTTGGTCTACTAAACAAATGCTTTTCTCTAAATTATCATCATCATTTCAGCCATAGGATGTCCACTGCTGAACATAGGTGTCCCCCAATGACTTCCATATTGACCTATTCTCTTCAGTGAACTTAAAATGTGTTAAAATACTACCATAATAATCATGAATACAAATAAAAATATTAGGAATCTCCCTTACCAATGCTTTGAAGTTTACAATCAGTATTTAGTGTGGCTACAGATTTTTTTATATCTTCCAGTTCATTAGTTAAGGCACTATCATACAGCAAAATATCTATTGGTTTACTCGTTTTTATAGTTTTCGCAGCTTCAGTTGGCTTTAGCATCAGTCTTACATCTAAATTAATGCACTCGGATGTAGCCTAAAAAGTGAAATCATAGTTATAAAACTGAGAAGTTGGATGTAATAAGATCCTGTCTTTAATATTTTATGATAATCTTATGGTTAAAAACTTAAACAAACTAGGGATCTTGGTTAAAATTATAGACAAGAATGTATTAATTTCATATTCTAGCTGCAGCTTTTTCAATACTTCTTTACTTCATAAATAAGTATAGAGTTTATAGAATAAAGTTATTCAGGTTACCTTGGTGTACAGTTGTTCTATTTCTTTACTGACTACTGGCAATGAGTTTTGTGTGTTCTTCATGAAGTTTATGTACAATGTTTTTTGAACATGTTTAGAAGCTTTTTGGCACACACTGTGCGCTTTCGCAGCATGAGACACAAATAATAGCCCATTTTTTGCCATCGTTTCTCCTGAAATTTGAAACAATATAGAGGATACTGCAATAGAATACTGCAAGTAAGTTTCCAATGATGCAACATCATAATAATACACCCACCTGCGGTATTCATAATGAAAATGTAGTATGAAGTTAATGACAGTACCAAGAATAAGAAATATTCACTGTATGAACGACAATTACACATTATAAAACTAAGTCCAAAGGTTATCTATATTACCTACATCCATGTAAATCCCTCTCCAAGTATAAAATGACATGACAAAGTACAAACACACTCTTACATTATTAAATGCACGTATATACACAATGTCTTTAATATTTTATGAATAATGAATATATTAAAAATTGTAAACAGCAATAAAACGGGTACGTAAGGAGAAACTTTAGTATTACCTATTAAATAAAATAACAAAAATCCACACTTATTTTATCTGAATTATTGCGAAACAGAGTCTATAAAAATAACTCAGTTTATTATTTAGATAGTTTGGATTTTAATTCAAATTCCAAATTGGTTTGAGGTTATGTTGTTGACAAACAAAATGTCAAAGTCATCGATGTCAAAGTGACATCGGTTGTCTAATGATAAAGGCAAAGGAATTAAGAATTATACTAGCTAAGCCAGTAGTGTCTGTGAGAGTAGCCGAAAAAGAATTTTATTAAAGACTAGCTTTCCGCCCGCGGCTTCGCACGCGTGAAATTTCGTTTGTCACAGATCGTCATAAATTATAGCCTATACCTATGTTATTCTAGATTTTGAACAATAATACTGTAAAGTTTCATCAAAATCCGTTCAGTGGTTTTTGAGCCTATTTTTTAGTAAACAACTCAATGCTTGTGTTATGGGTGCTAGCTTAACGGATATACTACTTAGGTATATACTTTTTTTTTAATTAAATACATACATATTATACATATTTACACCCAGACCCGTCACAGAAATTAAAATTCATCATTTCAATTTCTGCCCGGCCGGGATTCGAACCCGGAACCTCTCGGCATAGTAGTCCGTTCTGAACCACTACACCAAACGGCCGACAACTATTCATTACAAACATACAAAAATAGGTACAAATCTTTCCTCTTTATATAATACTAGCTGACCCGGCGAACTTTGTTCCGCCTTAATGGCAATAAATAAGCAGACTTTTTTTTAATTTCGAACGGGATAAAAAGTATCCTATGTCCTTTTCCTGGCTCTAAACTACCTCCCTGACAATTTTCAGCTAAATCGGTTCAGCCGTTCTTGAGTTATAAGCGAAGTAACTAACACGACTTTCTTTTATATATATAGATTAGTATGGATATACGAGTAGATATAGCCACCATCGTTGCGAAAATTTATATAATCTCTCTACTTTAATATGTTTGTATGCGCCTTAACTTAAAATATAATATTTATTCATAGTCGTACATTCTGCATCTTATCATTTTATTCTAACTCGTTCCAGAATATCTCTTTTCCCTGCAATAGATAATAATTTTATTCGTTTCCTTTCTTGCTTTTACACTCACTCACTAAGGACAGAGGAAGTTGGGTTGGGGTAGAGTGGAACTAAAAATTGATCTGCGCGAGCTATGATCAAATCAATCGGTCAGAACCTTGCTTGCTAGCTTTCCCCCTTCATCATGTTGGTTAATGTATGTAGTAAGGCAGTGTAGGTAAGTGCATTGTAGATAGACTTGCCTAGAGTCTATTAAGTGGATCTGGGTTTTGATTGATCAAAAAGGTTTAAACTACATAAATAAAATAACACGATCTTAGAATGGTTACATTTTATTTTTAGCGGTGGCATGTAATAACAAAAGGTATAACTTACATTATATCATTCACTTGGAAAATTTAACTACAAACTTCATAAAAATATTAATTTATCAACACAGCGAAGGCAGATAAACTTAAAAATATTTTAGTAGAGAGAATATTTATTTTTAATACAAGTAAGTAAATATAGTATACAATGTAAATATTACTATACTTGCTTGTATACCTACTATTAGCATAGGTACCTACTTATTTCGGTTCGTCCAGTTGATTTTTGCAATTGGATATTTACACTGCGCAGCTAGCCCCAAACTAAGCAAAGCTTGTACTATTGGTCTAGCTTTAAAGCTTATAATAATTTCCTTAAAAATTAAAATTAATCTAAGATAATTTCCTATAACAGTTAGGTAAGTATCTATCAGTATTTACTACATATAAAATTACATATTAAAAAAATGTTAGCTTATCACTAACAGAAAGTTAAGTTAGCTTAATTTATTAATGATAACTTATTTGTACTTAATTCAATAGACTTCTTAATTACCAATTGGTGGTATCTACTTCACACGAACAACAAACAAGTTTTATTACAGGAAATGTTTCCTAAATTCAAAATATAGACTAGAATTCACAACGTAATCGTGTTCATTGCATTCATGAGAATTCTTTGTCTCCATTGTGTCATGATGTCATGCGCGTCGGGATCTGAAATTATAAAAAGAATCAAAATCAAAAACAGAAAAAGCACCAAAGCACGGTAATACCAAAGTGTAGGTACCTATTAATTACTTTGGGCGTCCTTCGTAGGTCAACAGACAGCTACGAGGTGAAAAGTCCCCATATTACTCAGCCTGGGTGACCCAGTGTGGACATTAACCATAAAACATAGAAAGTGGTTCAGTGGATAAAACGTAAAAAGCTCTGTGCTAACAGTACCCATGATGTAAAAGTTTCGATGGAGCAAAGAACCAAAGGGGTGCCGGGAGACAATATTGATCTACTAACCTAATCAAGCATAGGGCCGGCGCACACGTCGCAAAGTGTTTAATATTTTTAATAGGTGGAAATTCGATTGAAAGTTCATTTCACCGCGCGCTGAGTCCAAGCCAGCTATGTTTCATCATCACAAAGTGGCGTAACTACAGGATGGCAGGACTGGCAAAATGCCACGGACCCTCGACACCAGGGGCCCAAGGGCCGAGCTAAAAAAAATTAAATTTAAGTAAAATGCACACATTACATTGGTATGTACTTGCGTTACCGATTCGAAGATGATAGTTGATAGTAGCACAGATAATGTAATAGTAGGTACTCATTCATACGTGTGCTGACTGCTATGATACCAACCCATATTATGGCATTTCATACCCCCCTCAGTGCCACGAGTCTCGGATGGTATACTTAGCATCACATCATTTATCTCTGTGTGCCTGCTCTTCCAGGGGCTCTTTGCGATGTCCAGGGCCGGTGCTACCATTCCTACCATATTGAACCCACCTCGCTGATCAGCGTAGATCCTTCAACCTCATGCTGGGGTCGTCGGCGGAAGCGGACACGCGCGTGTCCTCCGTGTGTGTGCTGCTCGTCCAAGGACTCTTGCGCATGTCTGGTGCTGTTGTCGCCATTCCGAACATGGTGCGGAACCTGCGGAGAAATATATCGACTGTAGTTAGTTTGAAAATAGATTCCTCAATAGACAGCTCTTTCAGTTGATTAGTATCTGGATTCTGGAGGCACGCGAGATGGCAGAGACGAGGTAAGGCAAAAACTACTTATCTAACAACCAGTATTTACTGAAGCGGCCATAAGCGGCTCATAAATGGCCGTGGCCGTGCCACATACCTAGTATTTTAACTAAGGCTGAGTTGCACCACCTAACTTTGACCGTAACTATAACGATAACCGGTGGTTTTTGTATGGAGTTTGACAGATTTTTGACGTTTGTCAAAGTTAAAGTAAGATGGTGCAACCCAGCCTACGAGTGTAGAGTTTGCTTTTTGTATAGTTAGGGCTCTAAGTACGTGTGATCTGATAACTTCACAATGCAATCGTTTAAATTGCTAGTTTAAAATAATATTTGCGAGTAAGGTAAAAATAACATCAATATCGTTTTTATGAACTCCGTCAACAATAGCTATGTTTGCTATGACTATGTGCATGTATACACATATGTAATTACAGTGTTGTTCTAATTTGGATTACTACCCCCTCACCCATAATACGCCAATATTGACATGGCCCGCCCATAGTCCCCTCCTAATGGAAAAAATAAAGCCTGCCATTTAATGCTGGACCATGTAACCAATTTGCTAACTTTGTCGGCGTAATTAAGTTGTATGTCCACGTCAAATCATTATAATTGCTATGTAAATAACATAGTATCTGAATTAAGCCACAGAGATAGAGTCGGGTAAACTTTAATATGTAGAATATTTTATTAGCCCCAAGAGGTGCAACTTCTCAGGTAATAAAAAACACTTCATTCCAATAAAAACTGAGTTAGTTTTCAATTGGCTGTAATTTTCGTTTTTAGTAGCTTTCAATCGAAGTTAGCCAATTGAGTTCGGGAAGTAGTGATAAAGCTTCTTTGCGATACAAAACTATAGAGTCGCGTTTTGATAGCTCATAAAAAAGTATTACGATTGACTAGAAACGAATACCTTCTACCGACCCCTATCCCTATTCTATTGGGCTATTGGGTAGTGACCTCATCAATCAATTGACATCCTGTTATGAGTTATTGAGACGCAATTCCTCGAATAGATTTTGTGTAGCAATATCTATATTTTCCTAGTAGATTTAATACGTGTAGATATACCTACATCTGACCAATCTAGAGACCCAATTCGAGTGGATATTGGAAATAACTTTTACTTAAGTGAAAAAGTTTTTTCGTCTCACAGACGATTTCTGAAAGTCGACGGACCCCATCCGTTTTAACGATGAGACTGAAACAAATTACTGTAAACCCTTCGTAAGCTCATGGTGTGTTTTCAGGTCGATGTTCAAACAACCAATATCCATTAATTTTAGCTTAGTCTAGCATTGAGTGTAGCTGCTCAAAATATTTATAATAAAAGAGGATTACGCTATCAGAGTATGAATTAATTAACGGAAATATACAAAGACAAATCCGTTGATAAATAATTTTACCGCAAATCTGCAGTTTCTAGAAAAATAACAAAACAACGCATGCATGATACTACGAAACACGAAACCAATGTTTTATTGATATTGTTTTTGTATTGCTCATTCAACATAGGTGATGACGATTTATTATGTTTTGATTCATAAGTATTTTTGTACGACAAGTATTTGACATGTTTTACCACAATGTTTGTTATAAAGTAATTAATGTTTTTTACATGACAAATACCCTCTATGTGGATGAGCTCTCTCTCAATCGATTACTACGAGAGTAGGTATCAGGCGATCTAACATCTTGAAACCTGTATACCGTTTCATGATCGAACATACATTCTGAACCTGACAACCCATCAGGTATACAAACGATCGACGAGCATCGGGTTTACCCACAGCCATTCATCATTACCTTGCCTTAACCGGGCACGGATCAAGGGGAGGGTTATTTTGAAGCGAAAAATCAATATCAATTGAGCGCGTCACCTGTTTTATATTTTAGGTTTTTTATAGGATTAGAGGCAAAAGAGCGAACGGATCACCTAATGGTAAATGATTACCGTCGCCCATAGACACCCGCAGCCCCTGGGGAATACAGATGCGCTGCTCTTTGGGGTTTGAATACGCTCTCTTCTTGAAGGTTTGTTGGAAATACCGTAGACGACACTCCAGGAAGGTATCTCAAACGCTCTTAAGCACAACAATAAAAGTTTTGTCCCGGTTGAAAAAATCGTAGTTCCGTGACTATTACCACTGTCACCCAAAGCCATCATTACCTTCCCTTATCTCGATGACACATAGCGCATTAGCCGGTAATTGGAAATGTTATCTTCATAGAGGGCCCTCAATGTAATGATATGATCTCTTTCATGAAGGGCAGCGATAACGCATGATGTGGAGAGCTGTGTAAGTGCTAAATCTGATTTCAGATTTTATGTAAATTTATGTATAGAGGTAATTATTGGGTGAAGCGTAACCTAATTTTATGGTAGATAAAACTGAATACTAAATCATGTTTAAAATTGTAAATGCAAAGCACGTAAATACATGGATTCATTAACGTGTTTCAGCAATAACTGAAACAGCTACCTACGTTTGTTTAATTGGTACAATAAAAGTAAAATAATTACGTGTTCAATTCATATAAATGGTCAAGCTTCGAAAACAAAGGAAAAAGCTTTTGCTATAACTACGGGTATGTAGTATTGAGGTTTTGTTTATTTTGGTTATAAGACCATACCAGTGCTTCGGTATCGGTATATGTTTATTGAGAGAATGCAATGAGATCTTTTTCTAAATAAAACTTATTTATTAACAACCAGTTACTCACCTCTTCGCAGCCAAATTGCGCACCTTCTTCTTCCAAACGAAGATGAAGAAGATGAAGAAGCCCAGAGCAATGTTGGAGATGTCGACCAGGATCCAGTACCAGTTGGAGCCTCCCACGGCGAAGCTGATCAGCTCTACTGTCCAGTTCACGCCCATAACCACGAACAGCTTTACGTAGAGGCCGTATCTGGGAAAGATTTGTATCTTTATTACATATTTTATGTAGTTTTATTTACCTATACAGAGTGGAAACGATTAGTGATATCACTCGATTATTCCTAAACTATACAATAAGCCTTTCCTAAAATAACTTAAAATCACGTTAACAGGATTAATTACCTTCGTTGTTTTATCGTTCATCATAATGCGAGGGGTCTTCAAAAAGTTCAGGTGAATACGTAATTCTTAAACGCAAAGAGGTGAACTTAGGTATATGATTTTTTTACCAGTTTCTAGTGAAGAATTAACCTATCTACCCAATTTTTTTTAGATTTTTGTGATGGCTAGGAATTCCCATTCTCATTACTTTTTGCACAACCCTAGTAGGTATTGTAAATTAGTTTATTCGCTCGCAATCAATATGAATAAATTTGTGACATAATGCAGTAGAGGGCGCTTTTTAATCTTTAAACACATTTTAATTAGATTAGCTTTTTAGTTCTTGATTTTAATGTTACTTACCTCTGCTTATCCTTCTTGAGTTTGTCGCTCCTAGCAGACTCCGATCCCTTCAAGATGGCCGTCTCCTGCCTGATGGAGCGGATGCGGTATGACGTAATGGAGAACAGTACCACGTTGCATACCACCAATATCAACACTGGCGTGAAGAAGTATACCATCTCGCTAAGCCAGTCTGTAATGTGGAGAAATATTTATTTTATATCCTTTAGATAGGTACGAGTATATCACCTATTTTGCCTGATTAATATTTTGACAATGATCAATTCTTCACTAAAAAGAAGTCCTTCATCAAAAGTGACTGCACCAGCAGAGTATCTTAAAGGCATTAATATGTTATGAAAAAAATGCGTTTTGTAGTATGATCACTAGTGATTTTAGTTATGAGTGCGTAAATATAACCAAAAAAGAAGAATCGTTAATTCCTAATTTGTATTAAAAAATCATCTCTTACTTTCAAACCAGCACCTTCTAGTTCCGAATCCAGGCTTAATGATCCCCGAGGGTAGTTCGGCGAACTGCATTCCGATAGTACAGCCCGCCAACGCCAAGGGGATTCCCCATGCGTATGCGCCGTACAGAGCGAACCTCCGGTTTTCACGTCGCTTGTGAGAACTGCCACCTCGGTAGCCGCTGTGTATTAAATTATTAATATTATTAATAAACATATTATTATAATACCTAAATAATTGCTACGAAGACAGCTCCAGTTACATTAATTTTGTATTAATCTTATCCTAACAGGCTTATATCATACCCTAACAGTGTGTTCGCTGAAGTCTATTCCTAATACAACTTACTTAAATTATGCATACATTTATTTACAACAGCAAAAAAACACACAGCCAACAAAACAGTAAACCAATTTCCATCCTGTTTCCACTTCAAGAAAATTGTATTTTCCTTACTGATGAAGGTACTTAGGCGAAAAAATAACAACGAGTAAGTGCAAATTGTGAAAAATAGATTTGTCCGTAGGCAGTGAAATAGTTACGTAGTCCGTAGCCATTCGTAGCCTCTACGGTATAATGCTACGAGTACGTTATGCTACGAATTCGCTACGGTTTTATTAACGTAGTTATTTCGTAGCGATCTACGTCAACACTTGTGTATTTTTATTACTAAGCTTTTTAATTTATTTAATTTTATGTTATTTAGATCTTATGTTGACCTGAATGTACGACTTATAATATTAATTGTGGTTTGTAAAATGAGTATAAGAATTGGTAGGCCTTTGACTTACTATTATATTTAGAATGATTAAATTCACAGCATGTATATTAATATTTTGCCGCTAATAAACACGTGACACATACTATAAATCATACGAGTACAATAAGTATTTCATTTATTCATTCTAAACAATAGAACGCTATAAATAAAGGCAGTTCTCATCACAATGACTGGAATCCCATTCATGGCAGTGCCAACACGCTCCGTTGTAATAAATAAATAAGCAAATCATCGTACGAATATAGCGGTATGTTTGTAAAACAAGAGTTGACTGATGATGCAAACCGCCTCTCCTGTCCTGAGCACAAATGACTCGTAATCGTATACCTTTTTATACCATAGCGGCGCTGTTTTGTTTTTTATAAAAAAATATAGTTTTATTTAGTTTTTATGTGTAAAACGATAACAAACCATAAAACATTTGACACACTGGATGCGGTCTGCGTTCAGGTCACAGTGAATGCAGTCCGCACCTTATCAGTTTGCGTTCTTTTCTTTGCTCGTTCCCACGCTATCAAACCGTATCAATTTAATATCATAGAGACCAATAATGTTCTTCATACTGGATACGGGCTGCTTTCACTTTGACCTGACCGCAGAGCGCAGAACACATCCAGAGTGGCTAATCCTTATCGAGATCGAAATTGTTCGTGCTTCGGGTACTGAAATAAACCTTACCGATGTGACTGCTGCAGAGAGGCAGCGATCGCTGGCCTTTTTTTCCAGAGCAGCATCATAAATACATGGTATCATTAAAATCAATACAAAAAATACTACGTTTCAATATAAGAGGTTTTCTAATAATAAACTGCTTTTCTAGTGCACCGGTGAAGTTAATAAAATGACCAAAAAAATTATAAGTAGGTACACCCGTTTCTGAAAATACGATAGCGGTGCAAAATAGTCAGGTAAACACAATGTTCCTATCTAAGCAGATATATCTAAAGAGTGTATAATATAGCAAGCAGGGCCTTGATTATCATAACCAAAGTGAAGGGTAACATTTTTTTTCAGTTATTCGATAGCCAGCCTCAGAATAGTGAGTGTGCACCCACTATCGGTACGTCACAAAACAAATGCAAATATTTATATTTGAGTTCTAGTTTATTCCCTCTCCCCAAAGCTAGATCACTTCGAAAGTACTCACTTTCACCACACAAGAATCCGGTGGTCCGTAGGGATCGAACTAATGACCCTTGACAGGATTATCGTAAGGGTAATTTCAATCTGCCTTCGTCGTTGGCCAGCTGGATTAAAAACCTAGTCCAACTTGGAAACCCTGATCTGCACACTAGGTACTTATTATGTACTTTTGATTTCAAGATTATCAAGTCCCTGTTTGTAAATGAATGCAATAAAATCAGTACAAAGATATCAATGCAATAAATAAGTTTTATCTAGCATCAGATTGCGTCAGGCATAATAAAGTAAATTAAATCTTGATATCAGTTTGTTTCCCCTCGTATTTACTTTACCTACTTACCTTTTAATATTTCTATAAATATCTATCTACAAATGTTTCCAACAAAAACGAGGATTATTAAACGCCTACGAGTAGGTACTTAACTACCAACGTTCTATGGCTAAGAAAAATACTAAACTAAGTCTATGATAAAAGTTTACCTACTTATGTTTCGTGATGTTAAAAAAAAGTTTAACATCATCATAGGTCTATTTCAAAAGAAAAAGTTAAATAACTATTCATTGTGCATGAATAGTTCTGTTTACGGGTGCTTGGACTACAAACGATTTGAAAACGTATCTTCTTTAGTTTATAATAAAATCTAATATTTTATGCATGCATTCAAGCACCACTTGCTCGCCAAATTACGAATTATTTACAACAGCTAGGTATTCATGACAGCAACCATAACATAACTGACAACAACTAGTGTTAACTTGCAATCTAGCATTAAAATCATGCCAGTTACAGACAAAGACCTGGTAAGGGCACCTACAGTCGAACGCTGGGGCCGGTCGGTGCTGGGGTCACCGTCCTGCAATCCAGGTTGGTTCACTTCAAAAATTGTCCTCAACACTCCAACCAGGTTTTATTGGGTTCAGTAGATCTTGGCTACACGTTGTAGAGCTACAGTGGAGGTAACGAGAGATGGGAATAGCCCCGTAATCGTACGCCAATACTCTTCGTGACTGCATTTTTCATAAAGGCCTAATTGGGTTTGATTTTAACCAATCCGCAGTCTCGAACTTCAGCTAGATAATACGAGTACGTCTTCCTTCGTTGCGCGCGCTGAGTCGAGTCGACTATCATAATCATTTATGATATAAGTATCAAGTATATATCGAGTTATAATCAACACATTGCGAGACAAATTAGGTACGCGTCTGCAGTCACGTTCAACACCTAGTGTATCTTTTTTAATATCACTCCCCATTTTCCCACACAGCAAAAGCTTTATTTATGCTTCACACATACCTGAATGTCCTCCAGATGTCAAAACACATGACGTTGAGCCAGAAGAAGCTGGATTGGAAGCTGTAGTACACGATGAATGCTGAAACAATAACCTTAATTATTCGCGGTACTTTTTTACTAGGTAGGTAGGTACTAAGTAATGCCACAGAATATTAATAAGTACCTACTAACTATACCTACACATTATGATATCTAAGCGTACTTAATGTCAAGAAAAAAGGTAAACAAGAGTGAGTACCTATAAGTAAGCAAACGATAGGCTAGGGTACAGGGGTAAAAGAGCCGAACGAATATCACGTTTATTAAGGTAAGGTAACCAAACCATTTTGTTGCGGTAAACTGAAAATGATTAAAGGTACACTTTGAACCTTCCTTAAAGGTATCACGAACACCTAGATAAGAGAGCTCGTATCTAATACATTTTGATTACAGACATTCTCATAGGATAAACAACGTAAGTATTAACCCAAATAAGAGTTAAAATTAACATCAACAGCTGTATTTTAGATTTTCCAAAGATAATGTTAGCAATGTTAGCATCAAGTATTTATTTAGTTTACGCCAGAGATCGCCCACTCGATTAGTTGTGGTGTGGCACGCCTGTATCATAGATCTTTGATATCATCTAATAAAGTTGGTATTCAAAGGTTTGTCTTTGTTTTATGACATAATATGAGTTAAATCTTTGAAAAAGAAATCCCCATTCATCATGATGCCACGTAGCGGAGAAAACTCAAAATTATGTATATATATCGTTTATCATTTATGATTGAGGTTTTCCTCGTTTTTAAACAAATATTCCATTACATTATTTTTTCAAATGATTATTTTACGCTACTTTTTTTAAACAATACGACAGTGAGTGAGATAATTTTAGCGATTGCTACTAATTTCAGGCTTGCTTTAGATGCCCAGGAGGGAAAGTCGAACCTTAACTTCGAACTCCTCCTACGAGTATGTTCTTCTGATTAATTTCATTGCGGGTCCAATGACAGTTTTCCCCGGGACAAACTTGACTTGGTTGGGTTATTATTGTCGGTCAAGCTGTAAATCCTGGCTATACAGGTGTTGCTTTACTTTTGTGTCGACATTTTCTGCACTTTTTTCAAACATCCAAACACAAACAATACAAGTCGACGAATGAGATTTTAACCTGATGACACAGTCACAGTCTGCGGTAAAGGTCACAGACAGATGCCCTATTAACGACACTGATGTGGGAGTACACGATACATCTTACGTTATTGAACAATGCAAGCGAGGTGACCTTTAAATTAGAATATTACGCTATTTTTAAGCGGCTATAATTAGATCACGCCTACGTTCCCGAACATAGTTAATAGATCATTATAAATTATGAATCTATTTAATTAAGTTATTACATTATTAAAGCTTCAACCACACCGATGCGTGCAGATTGCCATCGCTGACGCGATCAAAGGCCAATGACAGGTCGCGCGACCCATGACAGTCCGCGCGACCTGTCATTGGCCTATGATCGCGCCGTGATCGCGCCGGCGATGGCGATCTGCACGCATTGGTGTGGTTGAAGCATTAGACATGGCTATTACGAGGGAAAGCTCATTAGAGCAACGTACGAAAACTCTACCGTTGGTGTTTAAAAATGGGTCGTATTATTAATATTTTAGTGTTTTGTTACGTGATCTAGACCAGTCTAGCTGCTATTATAATAATGCTGCGGTCATGAAAATATTTGTTCAACTTTTTCAGCAGGTGTTTGACGGGGTCCGATCAAACTAAGGTCAACGACTGAATCCACCAATATTTTTACGATGCACCAAACAAACGATTCCATTAATCTTTAAAAGTAAACAAGATTTGAGTGTTTTTAAAACGTGACAGGCGGTGATAGGTAACACGCTCTATAGGTAACATACTCGTAGTAGAGTATACCTATGCTAGAATTTTATACTCCTATTCGTTTACTATTAGGCCTCAGCCTCGAACTTAGCGGGCAGCGGGGCGGCGGCGGCGGCGGCGCGGGAGCGGCAGGATCTTATGCGTAAAATCAAATAGACCGGTTCTCGAAAACAGCGGCGCGGCAGCGGGGCGGCAGCGGGCAACGAGCGGGCAGCGGCGAGGGAGCGGGCAACGAGCGGGCAAAGCGCACTCCTTCTTTTGCCCACAATAAATCGAGCGTTAGGAATAAATTTGAATCGAAATAAAATTGTCGCCGTTGTTCAGACATTTCGTTTGCGAATAAAAACAAATATCTCGACAACACAACCCCGAACACAACACTTCGCCGCTAAAGCGCCGCGCGAGCTGCCCGCTTGTTTCGAGAACGGGTCTGCGTTGCCCGCCCCGCTCCAGCGCCGCCGCCGCTCCCGCCCCGCTGCCCGCTAAGTTCGAGGCTGAGGCCTTAGGGGCTCTTAATGAAGTAGGTAATCATTTTAGAGAGGGCACTAATCCGTATCCTTCTAATTTAACCGTAAGAAAATAATAGACATCGTTTGAAATCATTTTGCCAGATCATAATAAGTTTGTCAATTGATTAATGTTGATTAACATTAACAGATTTCTCCCTGACGAACTCGAGGCCACTACTAAATAAACTTTTAATAACGGGTGACTATTAATTTCTTGCTTAATTATTATGATCATGACTCATCATATTATATGTCACTACACTACAGCACAAAACCATTGTAAATTAACGCGTTATGAAACGTTAATTAAAACTGAATAAAAGCCTGCACGAGCCGTGTATCGTACGAAAGAATGTTCCCTGCCTTATTTACAATAATTTGCATATTATAAAATGTTATGGGGTAATTAAATAATTACATTTAACATAGGACAATGGCCGTCCACTTGACATGTTGACACGCCCAGAAAAACAGTGTATAACAACGTTTCCCTAATTAATTAAGGTTCCACAGACAAATTAACCTTATTTACAAACGGATTTTTTCCAGATTTATGATCGCGAAATCCTATTTAAAAGAAAGATTATGAAGCTCTACATGATAGAGATTTTTGGCAAAAAGTGTGCTAGAATAGAATGTATATTTTACGATAATACTATAACCGGGTGTTTAATATGTATATTGGCTTGTATTCTTGAATCTCTTAAACTCAGGCAGTGTTGAAAATGGTTTTGGTGGGAGCTAACGACTGAAATCAATCGCAATTCGAAAAGTGTCTGTACTTTTCCTCGTTAATCTTCCTCTTTACACGATGTAACATACTTTACTCAAGTCTTGAAGAAGAAACAAAAATAACAATAAGTCTTTCTGAATTATTAGCTACGGAACTAAACCAAGTAAAAGTTGATTCGGTTCTGGCCGTTTTTTTAATTACATGCATTTGTTTGTATCAAATTAGCAGGGAGTGCCTCAGTGGATATTAGTCATTCTGAGACTGGACTAACTACTTTGATAAGTATAGTGATTCGCATGGGTAAAACACTTCTAATCGAGAGAGTGCTTTCCGCCATTTTTATTACAGCTACACAATATATTATCAGACTATCTACAACTAATTACTTTACATATTCAAGCTTGTTTGTCCGAGCCAAATTTTTCGTAATTAGCCAGTCTAGTAACTGACTTTAATTATGTAAGATAGTGTACAATGACCAATTAACCTTAATAACCTTGACACTTATCAACAAAAATGTAGCTGGCCATTAGGCACTCCCAAACCGTTTACTCTCAGGTTAAAGGAGGCTAAAAGACGTTACGGAATTCCATTTTAATAGGTGAGGCGATCTTCGTTTACGAACGAGAAATTTTAACATATCACTAATGCCTGTTCGCAAATTTTTAAGTGACCCCTATGGTAACACATAACAGGAATTTTGTTTTCATAGGGTACACTTAAAAATTAGAAATTGATGGTGAAAAAAGACTAAACTAACATTAGTGTTCAGACACCATCATAATAGCTTTTCTTTTTATTAAATAGGTAGAGTTTGTAATACCTATAATATTTTCATGTTGACATTCTCACGCTTGCTCGCTAAATCCAGTCATATTATCTTCGCTCATACATACAAAAACTGAGGACTGCACTCTCATTATCAACATAAATTGGACAAAAAAGGTTGAATTTAAAAAAAAAAACTCACCAATGACGTAACAGCCAGTCATAGCCACTCCTATCTGCCCTGTCTGCACCTTGAGGTACGCCAGGAAAATGTAAGCCACCATCAGGCCAGCGCAGTACGACATTAGGCACATGCCGTGCAGGTTACGCAGGTCTGGGATGAATGCGTACACCAGAAACGTGGCCAGCAGAAACGGCACTGACAGCAGAAGACCTAGAAAAAGAGTTAGGTTACAACTAGTTCATATGTATACGCTTCCAGTCGCACTTGGCGTGGGAGGTTTAATACCTTTTTTTTTACCCGACTGTGCCAGAAGGAGGGTTATGTTTTGTAATACCACAGAATAATAATAAGTACACAGAATAATAAAAAGTACTATCGCTTTACAACGGAAGGAAGTCTATAGTTTCGAGCTCTATCCATGCTATCCTCCATAACTCAGTGGCTAGGTTACATTGGAGGTCAAATTGTAGATTTGCAGTGGTGGGTAAGAGTTGGATAAGTCCCGTATATCGTGGAAGACTCGATTATCGTGGTATTCAGTATTCATAGAGACGACACGTACCTACATACGTAAAGTCATGGTGTCTCACACTTGTCCGGCAAGTTATTATCTATCAATCTAGGATTACTTACAGTGAAAAGAACAAGGATCCCTTAATCTCTCACAGTAAACAAGGCAACAAAAATATCACTTGTAAAAGCAGTAAGAAACGCTTCATCAACCACAGCAAATGAGATGTTAACAATACTTTAGCGGACCATTAATTTTCGTTGGCTGCAGCACCACTTGCAGGAGTATCTTCTTGTATCGTATATTATCGTGATTTTAATGAACTACGAACCAGTTACTTACTACTTATAATTATATCGTATACATAGACGACAAACAAAAAACAAAATGCTATGGCACGATGGTTACGAAATGTAAAAGTTCGGCCAAACCAACGCTTCCAGCCTGCGTGAGCGATGGCGATGACGATCCTACTGATTTCTACTGATCGTCATCGCGCACGCAGGCTACACGCGTTGGTTTGGCCGAACCTAAGGCTCGAAAGGCCTATTTACTACTATCTCGCTCAAAGGAATTTTCTTTCAGTTCATCTTTTACAGTGTATCATTTACGTTTTGAAAGTCTAGTCATTTCCAATAAACGTGAATCATTAATATTATGTACATGTACAGTCCTTCGTACATAACAACACGTGACGTGTTCTTTCAATATTACTATGGTACACAAATACTATCAATGAATGAGTAATGACGGTTCAAAACAAATAAAATAATATACATATTTGTACAAACTTATTAGTAATGCAACGTAATTTTAATTCTTAAAAACATTTGTGTTGAGAAATGTTCAAATCGAAAAGCTATGAACCTTTACTTTTTAAGAGGATTATAAGTAACTTCTAAAATTCAAAACTGAAAAGAGATTAACCTGACCTGTCTCTCCAGACTGAAAAGTTTACCTACCTTATAATATTGAGATTAGTAATGTGATTACATTAGTGTGTTTTTGGTTTCCCTTTTTATGGATCAAATATCAATTTAAAAACTAGACTAGGTAGATTAAAATTTCATAACGATTAGAGTCGCTTCTCAAACTAAATGAAAAAAATCGAACTGCCTAAGTTAAGGTCGTGGGTTCGATTCTCGCTTTAGGTAGTTCGATTTTTTCAAGTTGTTTATGTGTGATTGCAAACGCGCTCGTATTCATTGCCAAAGATCATTTCTAAAATATTTTCATGTGGGCCACCTGGGGCTGAAACAACCGTTTGCTTTATTTTGTTTAGCGATTAACGTTATTAATGGCTTTTGGTACGTATGCCAAAGCCAGAAGGCAGACCATTCTCATTTCTCGTCTCGAAGAGGCAATAACATTTTATTAGCTATTAACTTAAATATTCTAGCTAAATGGGTCCTGTTTTACTGCGCCCATTAGGTAGTTATTTGCAAAAATTATGTAGGTACACGAAAGCAATACACATAATTCATACTACCATTTTATTTTTGCGACCAGCCAATAAAATATTAGCTACCTACCCTCCATCCTTTAGTAATCCTCTGTCAAAAACGAGTATTAACCCATCAAACCCCAAGCGGTCGCATAAGACCGCATATTCCCTAAGGGTTCAATTGAGTAAATAGGCTTTAAAAGGCTTTATTTTGATAATTTGGCGGCGTGGGTACCCAACCTTAACCTGTAATCCTTTATTTGCCTCTGGTAAATTGCAAAATATCGTGCCTGCACTGAAGACTAGATGACCTGATGAAGATCACTGGGCACTTAAGGATCAAGGGATCCTTTTTATCTTTAAAAGTCTTTTTTGAGAGCAGACGGGGCCCCCTCGATGCCCAGTGGGAATGAGAGGCTGATGATGATACCAACCTATAGCATATGCGATGTACAGCACAGGGCTGTCGCCTTCCTGAATCTCAGGGTAGCAGACCGCAGCGATCGCGCGCGGCTTCTCGGTCGTGTTGTCAGTCAACATGTCCACACAGTACAGGATAGGGTCGTGCCATTGCTGACGCCCTGCCGACACCTCGTAGAGGGTAGCATTCTGGAACAATCGAGAATGACGTAAGATTTCAACTACTGCTAGAACTCCTAGATAAAGTGACTTACGTGACAGATAAAATGATGAAAACGATTCGCTCTGGCGTATTTTTGAGTGTATAGTTACTTCGCTCTGTGAAATGATTTTGAAAGTACCTATAAGATTTCGAATCATAAGGAGGCTGACATTGACCGCTTCTAATAACTATTTAATAGGTAATATTTGAACAGTTCGTAGATTGCAAATACGGCCAACGAGAAAAATACAGAGATATGGCAAAAAATAAAGAGACACGTAAACTTCAATTCAAGCAACAACAGCAACATAGTAATTACTTGTAAATACTTAAGAAACCACAAATAATAAAAACCATGCAGACACGCGTGTTGTTTTTGTTTTTTATGAATATTTGTCCTTTATTTAATTTTGTTGACGAAAGAACAACATTTTTATACTTTTTTAGAATATTGTTTTTATATGTACTTTTTTGTATGTCTTTTAGACGTTATATTGTATATGTCGGNGATGCTGAATTATATAACTAGATGGCGATACAGTTATTTAATTGATACCATAAATAATTATTTTAGAAGTTTACTGCTTGAATCTGAGTTAAAAATTATAAAAGGGCAGAAGAGGACCTCTAGGCAAGTTGTTTTGAGGATTGTTTACTATTTCTGGGTTTACAATGATTAATTTAGAGTCATTTGCTTAAATAGAATAGCAATACGTAAAATAACATTAGTATTTCATATTAAAATGAAGTTTACATTTTTGTGATCATTTGCTTACTATTTTTGTCGGTAAAAAGTATTTGTTTGACTTAATATTATCATCTTTATTTGACATTATTGATTGACAAACATTTGTGTGCATGAACATTATAATAATGTTTGTTTCGGGCTGGGTGTTTTCTAACCATAATATGAATGTATTTATTTATGTTATGTTATTTAAGTAATATGTTCATATCCTATAGTACAAGCTTTGGTTAGTTTGAGACTAGAGGCGCAGTGTTAAAATATTATGTCGAAGGATATTTAATTTTATTATTTATTTATTCACTATTTGAAGGTTACGGTTTAATCCAACTTACGGCTTGTTTTTACACTGTGGCGTCATCGCGAAGCGCGAGTGTCAGCGCGAGTGTCAGTGCGAGGTGTGCGGGGGCTGAGGTAACGAATGCACGGCATCGAGACGGTAAATCCTAGCCTTAAATACTTTTTTTTTGGAAATACATGCTAATACATATCATAGTAAAATTGAAATTCAAACAAATAAGGCAACTGTTGCTGGCTGGCTGATCTATCAACACACAGCTTTAACACTATTATTGTCCTTAAGCAGTGGTAGGGTTAGTACTGGGACATGTAAAAGTGCTTTTTAAAAGCCTACTTGCTTCAATAAATGAGTTTTATGAGTAACTAGCTTTCCGCCCGCGGCTTCGCCCGCGTGGATTTTTGTCTGTAACAGAAAAACTTTATCGCGCGCGTCCCTGTTTCAAAAACCGGGATAAAAACTATCCTATGTTCTTTCCCGGGACTCAAACTATCTCTATGCCAAATTTCATCAAAATCGGTTGCGAGGTTTAAGCGGGAAAGCGTAACAGACAGACAGACAGACAGACAGACAGACAGACAGACAGACAGACAGACAGACAGAGTTACTTTCGCATTTATAATATTAGTTGGGATAGACAGTCAAATAACCTATTGATAGTGGTATCAAATTCACACTTACCTCGACTTCTCTATAGAATATATTCCACAGTAACGGAGCGAGGAGATGTTTAGCGTCGAACAGAGTCACGAACACGCGGGCCAGTTCGTCCATTTGAGAAGTGCTGACCACGTTAGCCAAGGCCATTGCGATTGGCAGTTCACCCTGGGGAAACAAAAATGTGAGACTTTTAAAATCCCTCTATCTCCTTAATCTACTTTTGTACCTCTCCCTAGTTAGTAATAGGGAATATGCAAGGTGTTTTTATTTCTCACATTTCAGTAGCCTTCATTATCAAATCAATCAGTGCTTTTCTTTAACAATTTCAAAAGATACCTACGTTATATACGTTGGAGATCTCATGTCATAACGTCATTGGTCAAGTTAGAACGACATGCAGAATCCCATATCGACATGCAAGTTACTATGGGCGGGTGACATTTGACGTCACGCTCAGCTATTCCCATACAAAGTTTAAATACTTATAACTTTTTTGTTTCCAGTTCGATTTCAATACTAGTTTTTCATAAATTCTATGATTTAACTAAAGTATTTATTTATACATAATTTATTAACTTTTAAAATCGATGCATAGCATAATAAAAAGTATTTCCTACCTTATCAGAAATCATGGTGACCAACTGCACCAGCTGTTCGAAGCGGTCTGCCAAGACCGTTTCCGCCAGAGTGTCGAACTCTGTCCCCTGATGCAGGATCTTCGTCAGGACTTCCATGAACGCTGCCCTGGTCTGCAGGTCTCGGTGGTAGCCTAGGTCTGAAGAGGATTTTGGGTTAAAGTCGGTCGCCAAGCTTGTAGAATTTCGTTAAATGATCCCAAGCTACCCATCGTTATCGCTCGCGAGTAATTATATTGCTGTCGCACTCGCACACTCACTGCGGCCGCCCGTCGCAGTCGCGACAGCAATATAATTACGCGCGAGCGATAAGGATGGGTAACTTGGGGTCTTTGGACAAAATTCTACGTGCTCACAGACCGGGCATTAGTAATCGAGTAAACCGAGTATACGTTCGACAGTTGACAAAATCAAACACTAGTGAAGACCATTTTTGTCTCACTTTAGAAGAAGCGCTTGTATAAAGACTATTCATTGAGGCTTTGCTAATTTATTTATTTACACACACACACACACACACACACACACATTGGCCTTCTAAGGCTAGGTTGACGGTCAAAGTTGAAAAGGAGACAGATGTGAAACACAATTTATGCATGCAATTTAATTTAACCAGTACCACAAGCACAATCTCGTAAGTAGAGAGCTGTAATTGTGATGACAAAAACTCTATTATCGTCAATAGGCTAGTTGCCTAAAAAAATTTTTTTAGTCCGTAATGTTTAATATCAAAAAATATTGAACACATTTATTTTTATTTGTCAATCTAACAAATAATTACATAGTTATGGTGCGTTGAAGTTGCGCACGACGTCACAACGTGCGGCATTTTTAAGCAAGCGTTGACGTCACGGGCCTCTTCTTATGAACTTTGGGGCGCTTTATCTCTTTAAATTTTTATTAGTTTGAAAAAGTGAAAAATACGTGTAGAGTATTTTTTGATAAGTTAACTGACGGACTAATTAAAACTCTTGCTTTTTGACCCAGGCAACATCCCCATTATAGCTCTACGATTACAAGAGTATTTCGTACTTGGTACTGATGATGATGATTACTTACCGATGCTATGCATAAGTCCCGAGTCGATGTTAGCACTCAGCAAATTTGACATGGCCTGGATGGTAGCAGTGCGTAACGGCTCCAATCGTCCTGGACCCTCGGCCAATTCCACCTCGTTGCAGTCGTTCAGCAAGTTCATGAACAGAGTGAAGTACCTGTGGAATGGTTATCTGGATGATGAGGAATAAGCAATTCGCAAATGGTGCACTTCGAAAAATATGCACTTCGAAAAATGCGCACTTTTCTATACTATGCGTACTTATCTAAACTACGAGTAATATCAAAGTTTGTATAATTTATAGAAAAGTGCGCATTTTGCGAAGTGTACACTTTGCGTCAAAAACTTTTATTTTGGCAAAAACAGAAACTAATCAGAATTTCCTTCAACTAACTAAAATTTACTTTTCTTTGATTTGAAAATAACAGACTTTTCAGTTTTTTTTTTAGGTTTTAAATTAAAGGACGTAGCAAATTTATCAACCCGGAAAGGGATCGTAACGTCCACGCCTCGCGGTTGACAGCGCGGGAAAGGCGATGACAGCTCGCGAAAGACGATACGGTGTTGATCCCTATCAGAGTTGATAAGTCTGCTATGACCGTTATACAGCTATGCTATGCTGCAGCAGTCGAGTAAGTTCCTCAACCTTCAACCTGCTTACATTCGAAAAACAGCTCTAACGTCACTTACTTAAGAAACAGTTGGCTTTTAGCTTCCATCAGATCCCCTCTATCAGACTCTTCAGGTTGAAGCGGTAGGCCTTTCAACAGCGCTGCGACTGCCTCCATGCAGGCTTGATCAAGCTCCCTGCAGCATACCAGGTACCTGACCAGTCGTATTGGCGCTTTAGCCGTGACCCTTGAAGGGCTACTTGGGATACAAAGGCTGTATAGGCATAGCCTGGAGAAGCCACTACTGGGGATAGATTCGGTTGGGACTTGGGTTCATGCGATGAAGGTTGAAATGGAGATACCAGGTGGATTTTGGAAGCATTCGATAGCTAAATATCGGGCGGATTTGTACAAAGAAATGCATTGTAAAAACGTTATTGTTCGTCGTTTACGATTTGCACAATAAACTGACTTCGACAAATTCAAAGTTTATTACAATTCCAGTGCACCATTCTGCCTCTATATCCTAAGAAAGAACTAAACCTGTTAGAATACAGGTTACACATCTGTGTTTTAATTGTACAATTTGTTTAGCAGAAATAACTATCGTTAAAGAATTTGGCTGGCATTCGCAAAAAATCTTCTTTTTTTACACTACTTTTTTTGTAAAGTGTTGTAAATAATTTTCAGTTTTATGCAACATGGTCAATGTTCATTTTCGTATACGATTAAAGATACGAATGCTTCCAAAATACGTGTTTTTTCATAATAGAGACTGATGTAAGAGTCTTAGCTAGAAAGAAGGAAACATCCTAATAGATACTGAGAAGGATTCTGCGTAGAATAGAATATATCATTAGTTGCATGCAATAATGGGCGGGCTTCTGCAGATCAGGTCCTGGAGTACTTTTTCTTCTTCCTGAAATACTTCTAACTGGGCCAAGGGGGACAAAAAAGATAGTTTGAAGAAGGAAACTGCTAAGATGACTCAGTGTTAGCATATGTGTTGATATTCAAGCAGTGTTGATAGAACTATACAAAAGACGAGGTACAGACTATCGAAAATAATTTCGTGTCAAAGTCGACAGATATAAATAAGCCGCGAGCCATTTTAAGCTTTACTGTAAGTAATAAAGGGCAAGTGACTTTAAGAGTTACATGGAATTGCAAAAAGTAAGGCTAAGTTGCACCACCTAACTTTGACCGTGACTATAACGATAACCGGTATTTTTTGTACGGACTTTGCCAGATCTTTGACGTTTGTTAAAGTCAAAGTAAGATGGTATAACCCAGCCTAATATTGTCACCACGGGTGCAACGCCGCGCAACTCTCTTAAAAGCCATTTTAAACTTTATTGTAAGTGAATAAAGTTCAAAATGACACCACGAAAATAGCCCAACAAATTACTATTATTCCTTATAGCAAGTGACAACAATTACATCACAACTTTTTAAGTACATCTAAAAATTTATGGGCGAATCGGTACCCGATAGTATCGGACACAAACGATGGATTAGACATTCAATTTCAAATATCCAACACTAGTTTCCTCCCTCATAGTAAATGTCTGCAAGCGAGACAGATATTGTCAGTCCGACTTTAGCCTCAGAGTAGACAGATTATACATGTCGGTTCGTCAGGGATTCGAACCTCAGATATTGTGGGCGAAATAGGGTATCCTGCAATGAGAATGAGTCATGTGTTCAAACACTTTTAATAATCGTCAAACAGAGTTCAAAATCAGCACTTAGTACTACAATCTAGACTTCGTCGAGCGATAAAATAGGCACTAGGTGAAACGTGGGACAGTTCCGTGACGATGTCTTCTCTTGTCGGCGTCCGGAGCGAAAGTGAGTTCGATCCGTCCCGCCGTGACCGTTACGACTCTGTCGAAGCGCGCCAAAGCGGTGTTGCGCCGATTCGCCGCTAGGTGGCGCACTTGCGTTTCACTTTAGTGTCCGTACTCATGTCCGTCTGCGACACGGCCATCCTGCGTGTTACACGTCCTCGTGTGATCATCTGANTCACAATTCCTAATAATTGCTACATTGAAGTCACTAAGACCATGTGGTAAATTATCATTACCAAAAATTACTTCAAAAATTGAATGAGTCCCAGGTATCACAATCGCGGTCCACATTTTGCTACCCTACCTCGGGAGGCCAAAGTCAATCAACCAATGACTTTATGATCTTAGCTACACACTGCCAGATCCTACTGCACCACCATTGAAAAAGTAAGTTACACACGAAATACCACTGTTACATTACTGGTGCTCACAATAACCAACGCCACAAAGGCCAATGCCACAAAGGCGAGTGCCACACAGGCGAGTACCACACAGTCGAGTGCCACGCAGGCGAGTGCCACACAGGCGATTGCCACACAGGCGAGTGCCACACAGGCGAGTGCCACACAGGCGATTGCCACACAGGCGAGTGCCACACAGGCGAGTGCCACACAGGCGATTGCCACACNATGAGAAATAATGTGTCTAGCTAGGTACGTACCTACGTATCAAATTTGGATTTGTTAATTCTAACAATATGTGAAAATATTAGAAATGTGGGGTGACTTACCACCTTCCCCCCCCCCATAAAATTTTGATTTGTTATTTCTGACGATAAGTGTATAAAAATAGTTATACAAGTCATTAGAAATGTGGGGGGGGGGCTAACCCCCCCTTCCCCCTAATCCCACCCCTGGAGCTGCTTCAAGTGAGGGTAGCCCCCCCCCCTGAAAATAACCCCAGATTCGCCAATGACTCATAGTAAAAAGTAAGTAATTAATTAATTTCAGGAGTTTTGGGCTGACACTGTGTAGGTTTGTTGTCGACACGAAAAGAAAAGAAATTAATTTCTCAGGTAGGTAAGTATTAAAAACTAAAAAATATGTTGATGTCTTTTATGGTATGTATAAAACTACAAAACACTATACATTTATACATATATCACGAACTTGGAAAAGAGTAACAATAATACGGTTTCTTGTTTCGTGATACTGATTATTCCAAATTCCCCAAGTAAAATTCATGGATTATTGTCAAATTGTGTCAATTAACTATTATCAGTCTATCTCATATACAATACAAATAAACAAATATAAATAAAACATATCGAGATAAAACCAAAATTACGTTGGTAGTACTTATGCTAATTTCTCTTAAAATTGGTCATTTATGTGAACTTCAAACTCGTGTCATGTAGATTCTAGTGAACGAAACATATACCGAATTTAGGTCATGAGAAACTTAAATAATTGTATTATTTGTTTCATAACTTACATTTAAATTATCATAAATAATTATTTAAAAACCAAGCATCAAAATGTTATCCATAATATCCTTGGTTCGGTAGTGTCACGAAATAGGGGACACCCGAGAAAAAATATGTACGCTATTTCGTGAGTCAAATAATCGCAATTTTAAAGGAATTCTACGTTTTCTTATAACTTTTTTCTAAGTCAAATCAATTGTCAAGGAACAGATGAAACCACTATTATAAGTTTTATTCAAATGGACGTTCATTCGCCTTTCTATAAGCTTAAGAAGTTGGAGTGCTAACCTTACGGTGAGAGCAACCTTTTCACGCCGCACGGCTGATTTTGGTTCTCTGAGAGTTTGAAGCTTCGTATTGCTCTCATTTTTGGCGCCACAATGTTGGTACTAGGTTTTTTAGATAGCTTAAAGTATAGAGTTTTTGTAGTGATGAAGAATTTTTATAAATAATATACCATTTGCTTATTATTTGGGCTAGAAAAAAAACTTACGAACTTACGTACTATCACGAACTAGTAGCCGTTTACCTTACTACAATCTAGACTTCGTCGAGCGATAAAATAGGCAGCTAGATGAAACGTGGGACCTCAGATCATAGAAGGGAAACAGTTCCGTGATGATGTCTTCTCTTGTCGGCGTCCGGAGCGAAAGTGAGTTCGATCACTTCGATCCTTCCCGCCGTGACCGTTACGACTCTGTCGAAGCGCGCCAAAGCGGTTTTGCGCCGATTCGCCGCTAGGTGGCGCACTTGCGTTTCACTTTAGTGTCCGTACTCATGACCGTCTGCGACACGGCCATCCTGTGTGTCACACGTCCTCGTGTGATCATCTGAAAAAACCATGCCACACAGGCGAGTGCCACACAGGCGATTGCCACACAGGCGAGTGCCACGCAGGCGAGTTCCACACAGGCGAGTGCCACACAGGCGATTGCCACACAGGCGAGTGCCACGCAGGCGATTGCCACACAGGCGAGTGCCACACAGGCGAGTGCCACACAGGCGATTGCCACACAGGCGAGTGCCACAAAGGCGCTTAATGGCAAATACGACAAATTATCCTCACTCACCGACTACACACCATGATTTATGGCTCAAGAGCAAACTCGAGTTCCCATTACAGAAAAAATAATCATCACCACAACTGTGATCAGCATGTACCTCGACTTCAACTTTACACTGGTACATAACCCTATGGCATTCTTCTCAATTGATCATGAATAGTAGGTACGCAAGTGCAAAGTGGCAAGGCTGCTACTTTCCTAAGATGAAATCTTATTTTAAGCTCACCGCCCGTATTCTACTAAACGAGTAGCTACAAGGTAAACCGACAAGGAATTCAAGAAGTCTATTTAAGCAATTCTAATAGTTTTAGTCTACATCCGTCACGTACGTCCGTATCGATAATATTCACATCAGTGGTGAACCTACCACCTAGGAATCAAATAATTTACAATAACATCTTCATTCAATGTAAACTCAGCTGAGGTCACGCGTGATTGAGCACGTGACGTAATTTATTGCATGTTCTTAACGGGCCCCTTTTTTTTGATACCATTTGTACTAATGAGCCAAACCAAAAATTATTTTGAATTAAGATTAAAATATCACTTGATTGGACGTAATGCTAATTTGCAAACAACTACCTTTTACCAGATGGTAAAACATGAAAATTCATCAACTGAAAACTACCTTTGTCCTATAAAACGTACTTTAACAAAAATACTAGAGAAAAGCCAAAAAGTACAAGTGCCTTTTAGTCAAATTTAAAGAAAGCATCCTGAATAGTAGGTATGTAAGTGCCACAACTTTGAAAGCCATCCCTGTGACTCTCAAAATGAGTGAATGTTATCCCTGTAACAATCACTTTCACTAGTAATCATCCCTGTGACTACTATTGCAATTATCCCTGTGATCACGATATCGTCATAAGTCGAAAGTCTATGGTCCGTCATCAGGTCAAAATTATGTAATCATCCCTGTGATTACATCACACATCGCAATCATCCCTGTGACTATCACTCAGTGGCCTCTACATCACTAATATCATTACTCAAATCATCGTTATTACTAATCAATCGGCACTCGACTGATGGGCATTCCTCCAATTCGATCGTTAATGATTACAAAACATAAAATGTATTCTGTGCTGACTACTTGTATTTGACCTATACCGGTCATTACAGTAACATTATTGAAACGTCTGCCACTCAATCTTGGCGATAATCTTTAACCAACAACAAGTATTCAGCAAAAGAATTAAANCGGCCAATCCCTATTTCAAGCAACTTATGTGCTTTCAGAAATGAGGAAACTAAACTTTCTAGTTACTCTTTCTACTACTAGTTTCCTATACTCTATCCACTTTTCCAAGATTCAGCAAGTATTCAGCAAAAGAATCAAATGAAAAACAATATCGCTCACCCTTGTGATCCAAAGTACTCGCGGGCAACCTCGTTCCGCGCCGCGCCGGTCCAATGTTCTCCACTTGACCGCCGCCGCCGTCTATTGCTGTGAGCTTGACCACCACCCCGCGCCAGTTCAATGCTGTGAGCTTGACTGCCGTCCTGCGCCGGTCCAACGCTGTGAGCTTGACCGCCGTCCCGCGCCGGTCCAATGCTGTGAGCCAATCCTTCAACCTTCTGGCCGGTTATTTTCCGGGCATACCCTCAGCTCGACTTTGACACCACTACCCCACCCTCAGCGCGGTACTAGCCCACCGAGTGAGACGACGTTGGTCGAGGCCCAGTGAACGACCAGCGAGCGAGCGGTTCCTGGATGCCAAAGGAGCTTGCCGGTAGTAGGTATAGGTAGGTATGTTCTTATTTTGTTGGTCCAAAATAGCACATCTCAAATGTTGGCCTCTTCATTAACGTGTTGGTATTTCAATATCGTTGAAAGTGATCTCAAATAAATATTTTTTCTTTCTTTCTTTCTTTCAATTGCACGATTCGATCCCAATTCTGATGTCGGCTCGTCAGGGATTCGAACCTCAGATATTGTGGGCGAAATAGGGTATCGTGCAATGAGAATGAGACTTGTGTTCGAACACTTTTAATAATCGTCAGAGTTCAAAATCAGCACTTAGTTCTTAGTACTACAATCTAGACTTCGTCGAGCGATAAAATAGGCACTAGATGAAACGTGGGACAGTTCCGTGACGATGTCTTCTCTTGTCGGCGTCCGGAGCGAAAATGAGTTCGATCCGTCCCGCCGTGACCGTTACGACTCTGTCGAAGCGCGCCAAAGCGGTGTTGCGCCGATTCGCCGCTAGGTGGCGCACTTGCGTTTCACTTTAGTGTCCGTACTCATGACCGTCTGCGACATATACAATAATTCAAATGTGACTGACCGACATAGTGATCTATCAATGCACAGCCTAAACCACTGGACGGATCGGGCTGAAAGAACAATGGGACATTTTGTATGGATTCCGTCCCCAGAAATGTAGCACTTTAATACCTACCTTGTATGATAGTACATGCTAATACTATGATTTTATTATATGACAGCTCAAGTCTGATATGTCTCTGAAAAAAGTTATGTCAAAAAATAAAAAATCATAATCAACCCTCAAAAAATACACATTAAATCACTTTCGACTAATTTAAAATGGTATCACGACAGCTCGACCCCGGGACAAATCGACTCCTGCGACAACTCGACCCCTGTGACAACTCAACCCCTGCGATAACTCGATTTTTTTCAACGTTCGACACTTTTGACTTACTTCAAATGGTTTCACGACTGGTGGACCCTACGACAGTTCGACCCAGATGAGAACTGGATCCCTGTGACAACTTGACCCCTGCGACAACTCGACCCCTGTGACAACTCGACCCCTGCGACAACTCGACCCCTGCGACAACTCGACCCCTGCGACAACTCGATTAACCTACTTCAAACGATGCTCGACACTACGAAAACTTGACCCGGACAACTCGACCCCTACGACAAGTCTACCACTGACAATTTGACTCCAAATTATTCAACTATGATACTTATTGCAAACCATTTAGCTCCATCAATCAATGCCTGAACTGAATCTACAATTCAATAAAATAATAATACAATACAATAAAATAATAGTATTAGCATGGTCTATCATATAGGGTAGGTATTAAAGTGCTACAGTTCTGGGGACTTTTGTCCCATTGTTCTTTGGCATGCAGGTAGATGTTATGACGTAGGCATCCGCTAAGAAAGGATTTTACGAAACTCCTCCCCTAAGGGGGTAAAACGGGATTTACGCGTACGAAGTCGCGGGCGCCCGCTAGTGTATAATATTAGTATAGAAATGTAGTTTAGACGGAACTTATGAGTTTATTTTTTATTGCAATTATTATTTTCCAGGCGACCAAAAACTTAAAGGGCAACTAACTGCGTGCCACTAATAAAATATCTAGGCAGCATTTTTATTTCGGCCACAATAATTATTGTATACATATCCTACTGGAGTACGTAGGTAGTTATTCTGAGGCTGGGCTCAAAATGATATAACAAACTTACCTTTAAATAATAAATTCATTGAGCGAATATATTTATTATGTCTTGGACCCCCGACTTTTTTTGACCACAACTCGTCAATCGATATTATAATCTTTTCAATTTTCTTCCCATGAACTACTAAGACATAACTGACAGATATCACTGAAATTGTAATAAGATTAAACATACAACTTAAGTGACAATGGGCATTGGGCAGGGCACATGGTAAGCAGAACTGGCGGCCGATGGGGCAGCAAGGTTCTGGAGTGGAGGCCACGTACCGGAAAGCGTGGGACGTCCACCCACAAGTTGGGCCGACGTCTTCATCAAGGTAGAGGAATGCGCTGGATGCAGGCCGCCACCAACCGGTCAATATGGAAATCAATGGGGGCTATGTTCAGCAATGGACGTCCTGTGGCTGAAATCATGATGATGAACTCACTGCAGTGTGTTGTAACGTAAGCTCTCTCAACATCAAGAATGTGTTGATGTAATGTTAAACCTCGGATTAGACACACCACAATTATAATAAATAAACACACATAGTAANACATACAAATCTTTTCTAGTGTATGGCCTCAACTCTCGTTGAGCGACCTATATCACATTTTTTGTTCGATAATTTCAAAATATCGATTCTTAAAATTTTAACTGGACATTTAATATGTTTATAGATGACCTACACTGAATCGTCCCAGCTAAGAAATTGTCAGAAGGGCGCTACTATCTGTACTGGATTATTAGTTCTCATTATTGCCACGTTGGGCAACCATATAATTATTTTGGATTTTGGAATTACAGGACGGCGCTACTATCAATGCTGGGTTGTTAGTTTTAGATTTTTGCCACTTGACGTTTCAAACTCGTTGGACTATAGTAACGTATACTGACACCCCATTTTTTAGATGTACCTAAAACGTAGTGGTGTACGAGACAAGTCCAGGCGAGGAAAGGAGCTGGTATAAGCGTTTATCAGGTAAGTTGGGCCTCCAAGCAGACATGTTGAACTCGAAGCGGCGTAACACGTGATCTCTCGGCGGGCAACGCTGTGTCCCTTGGTGCGCACCAAATCCCTGATTGGTTATACACCACTACATTTTTATCACCGAAAAAAAAATTCTGGGTAATGAGCTATTGATACTGATTCTATTTATGCAAAAAAGTTAAATAAAGTTACTCCAAATTTCATCCCAAAATTGGTAATAATGAACTTAGTGAAAAAAAGTTTTTTTTTTTTACTTTAAATTTTTCACACGTTTCTACATAACCTGTTAAATTTTTTTCGGTGGTAAAAATGTAGTGGTGTATAGGGGTTTAGACGTGGCCCTATATTAGAACTTATGATAAAACATGGCTTGTGATTGTTGCCATTGTAATTTGACCTTTGTGAAAATTATATACAGTTCTAAATGGATTGAAACATTTGGTTCAGTAATAAATTGCGGTAAAATGTAAAGCCCCCTCCCATTCCGCTCCATACCTCAAACACTGACTGAGGTAATTGCTAGAACTATAGTTTATTTATGACTATGTATGACGACTATATGTGTATGATTGACGATACCTGCTGATGGTTGACGAGTCGGGCCGCAGCGGTGGCGCGATCTGGTGGCTGGTTCCGAGGACCCAATCCGTGACGTATTCCACCATCTTGTTGCGGAATTTCATCTCCTGCGAAAACCATAGAAATGTTACGAATGCGAAACAATATGTATTACCTTTTTACGGCGAAACCGCAGTTAAATATTTTGGTAGTTTTTATCGCTTAATTAAATATCAAATACATTAGCTACTTCGCTCATGTGAGCAAGCAAGATAGAAAGCATTTGTCATTCAGAATACGTAAGTACACACGAGGCAAGCGTACACAACTTTTTGATCGCCTTTCTCGCTGCCCGTCCTATAAATCTATACAACATAAAACTGACTGACTCACTCATCACGAAATCTCAGAAACTACAAGTGCTAGGAGTCTCAAATTTTGCATGGGGGTTCCTTTTAGAACGTAGGTGCTCACTAAGACGGGATTTCGCAAAATTCAAAGGGGGTAAAACGGGATCCAAGCGTACAAATTGGCAATGTGAGCGCTTTGGATTTATCTGTAAAATCACTTGCATTTTAATTAAATAAAAAAATAAATAAAATAAATAAAGTCGCGGGAACAGCTATAGTCAACCCTTACCCATGTGACATGCAATAAATAATTTGAATTTGAATTTAGTCTGGTCCGTGAGCACGTAGAATTTTGTCCAATAACCCCAAGCTACCCATCCTTATCGCTCGCGCGTAATTATGTTGCGCTCACACACTCACTGCGGGCGCCCGTCGCACAGTCGCGACAGCAATATAATTACGCGCGAGCGATAAGGATGGGTAGCTTGGGGTTATTGGACAAAATTCTACGTGCTCACGGACCAGGCTTTAGTAGGCAACAAAACTGACCTGTCTGAAAGCGAGGTCGTCGCGCCTCTTCATCATGGCCTCCACCACTTGGCAGAGCTTCGTCTTGATGTGAACAGACAGCACTGTCATGTCCAGATGGCGGACGTATCTGGCAAAGGAATATAGGTTGTAAGCATTACCAGGCCTGTTCATCTCCGCGAGTTTACATCGAAAACAAAACACGCACGATGGCCCACCTACAGGATACTATTCGAGGAGGCCTCACATACGAGCGAACATTGACTCACGCACGCGTATTCTTGTGTATGATGGAAGAAAATAAAGAAAATGGTGTACTAAATACTGTGCAGTATTTAACTGCCTAAATAATAATAAAAACACAGAATGTACTTTTTTAAGTTGCCTCAAGACACTGAGAGGTAAATAAGTAGTTAATGTTATTCATGATAATTTATGCTAAATCATGTATTCCTCCGCCATTTTCCGCAGTTTGGCACCTCACGTCATCACGTCACATCATTTTACCGAAGTCAGCCCTATAGCTTCGGCGCAGTGCCGATCACTGACGTTTGTCAACAAAATGGTGCTTGACTTTTGAGACAGGCTAAATTACACCATATTGTTAATGACATTGAGCATACATTTTTTTAAACACCTTCGCGAAGTAAAACTTCTGTACGTAGTACTTATTATTATTCTGTGGCATTACGCAATAAGGTTCTTGCATCCAGTAAGATTCGAAGAAGCACATGATGTCGTGCCCGGCGTGCCCAAACGCAGGAAGATTTAATGAATGCTACTGACAACGCCACTCTTGTAGCGGAGTTTTGGGCTGACACTGTGTAGGTTTGTTGTCGACACGACAAGAAGAATCTAATAAGATTGATCAAGTCAGATCGATGAAGATCTAAACTAGATACAATCCAGGATAGGATATCTAGGATTTAATACAGTCAGCGTCAAATAGTTGTTGACACCCAAAGTGACCAAAAGTTGTTGTCAACTTTTTGCCAACTTTGGGTGTCACGAATTATTTGACGCTGATTGTAGACATTGTAGTAGCGACTAAGAGGCGCTATGTTCTTCTGATTAATTTCGTTGCGGATCCAATGACAGTTAAATTTCCCCCGAGATAAACTTGGCCTTCACTGGTTGGTTATTGGCGGTCAAGCTGTAGATCCTGGCTACACAGGAGTTGCAGCGGTGGGAACGAGAGGTGTGAATAATTCCGTCCTTACCTGACTATGGCGAGCATGAGTCCCTCAATGGAGGTGGTGCTGAGAGGCTCTGACGATGATGATGAGATAATGATGTTGAATTGAATCTATGATGAAATTCACACACAAAGTAATCAAAATATGTGCTCATTATCCACTGCGATATCAGTACCCAACATTCGTACTATGCAAGCAATGTAAACTTTTTAAATTATGACGTCGCTGCTGTCATCATTGCTTTCTCAAGCAATGTGTTCTGTTTTTGGGCATATTGCTGCGACACCGGCCACGCCCCCTTCTCACATCTCCCTTTAGTGTCTGTGATCTGTGTTTATGACCTTACCTGACTATAGCCATCACGAGTCCCTCAATAGAGGTGGTGCTGAGAGGTTCTGACGATGATGATGAGATAATGATGATGAATTGAATCTATGATGAAATTCACACGCACAAAGTAATCAAAATATGTGCTCATTATCCACTGCGGTATCAGTACCCATCATTCGTAATATGCAAGCTATGTAAGCTTTTTAAATTATGACGTCGCTGCTATCATCATTGCTTTCACAAGCATTGTGTTCTGTTTTTGGGCATATTTCTGCGACACCGGCCACGCCCCCTTCTCACATCTCCCTTTAGTTGCTGTGATCTGTGTTTATGACCTTACCTGACTATAGCCATCACGAGTCCCTCAATAGAGGTGGTGCTGAGAGGCTCTGACGATGATGATGAGATAATGATGATGAATTGAATCTATGATGAAATGCACACACACAAAATAATCAAAATATGTGCTCATTATCCACTGCGGTATAGTACCCAACATTCGTATTATGCAAGCAATGTAAACTTTTTAAATTATGACGTCGCTGCTATCATCATTGCTTTCACAAGCATTCTGTTCTGTTTTTGGGCATATTGCTGCGACACCGGCCACGCCCCCTTCTCACATCTCCCTTTAGTGTCTGTGATCTGTGTTTATGACCTTACCTGACTATAGCCAGCATGAGTCCCTCAATGGAGGTGGTGCTGAGAGGTTCTGAAGGCTGGCCACTCTTCTTGTTGTCGAGGATGCTCTTCATGATGAAGATTGTGTGCTCTACGAACTGCGTGTTGATGTCTGTTAGCATCACCTGAAACGTATTATTATGTGTTAGTCTAAAGTTCGGTTGCCACTAAGGCCCAGAACAGACGGTGAAACGCAACTGCAACGACACTGCAACTGCTAGTTACTTTTGAGTTGCATCTATGTTTCTGCCATAGCGTCCGTTGAGAGACCACACATGACGCGACCAGTTTGAAACTTTCAGTTTCAGTTTCATTCATCAGAATCATCAGAAAGTTGCAGTTTCATTGCAGTTGCGTTTCACCGCCTGTTCTGGGTCTAAGGCGGAGCAGAACGCAGCGGAGCGGAGAAGCGTTTTGAATAACCAATCAGATTTCATTATTTTCACTTCTGTCTTCTTCGCTACGCGCCGCGCCGCAAACGCTGTCAGACAGCCTGACACTTCTACAGGAACTATAACTTTAGTCGGTGTTTTTGTATGGAGTTTGACAGACTTTTGGCGTTTGTTATAGTTAAAATAAGATGGTATTAGTACAGTACACGTATTAAATAGTCCGATGAGAAAAAGGGTCTTTCTATTGTTGAAATACAACTGAATATTGTTTAGTATAGATTGACGGGGCAATTTTAACACACTTATGTCTGTTTTCACCATCAATCCAAAATTTTTAAGTGACCCCTATGGTAATACATAACAGGCACTTTTGTTTTCATAGGGGTCACTTAAAAATTAGGGATTGATGGTGAAAACGGGCACTAGCCTACTGATCTATTGTCAAGAGTGCATATTTATTCTATTTTTACCTGTTGCTGCTGATCGAAGAACTTGTCAATGATAGCCTTTATTTGGTCAAACAGTGTCGGGTACAGTGCCGGCGACATTTCGTGACCGACTAACTCTTTCACGTGGGTTTGTATCTGATGCCCAAACCTTTCGTTCCTGCCTATAAGGTCACCTTAATCCCAAGTGTAATAAGGGGGATTTTTCAGTGCAACTGTCACACTTTATGGTCAACTCCATCATAATAATTGTCATAAGGTTATCGAATACCGAAGAAATTCGTTGATAAAATGTTGATATTGGGACCGTCTTAACTAACACCGTAATAAGAGCGACTTTTGCGAGGCTCGCGTTAGGTGTTAGAGTGAGAAAGATAGATAAGTTTTAAGAGATAATTACCTGTTGCTGCTGATCGAAGAACTTGTCAATGATAGCCTTTATTTGGTCAAACAGTGTCGGGTACAGTGCCGGCGACATTTCGTGACCGACTAACTCTTTCACGTGGGTTTGTATCTGATGCCCAAAGCGTTCGTTACTGCATAGCAAGAGTCGGAGTAACTGCCCTATGAATCTGTAGATGTGGAAGCTACGCATTAATGTTACTGTAGTTTGTATATGCATCGATATTTTAAAGTTATAGGTCGTGCCCGTGCTAGAATGGCAATAGAAAAGACAAGTGATTGCCCGCCAATTGAGGCATATTCATCTCTGTCTGACGACAGGTTTTACTTATAGTTTTGTTATTTTCTTCTCAAAATGTCATAATGAATAGCTGTACGTAACTTAAAAATACAATAATGTGAGCGCATGACCTGTCAATATTTTTTGGTTGACATATTATTATGCTTGGAAGCAATTGTAGGGTAAATATACAAGGTGTGGCTTTTTTTACTCAAATGCAAAAAAAAACTTTCCCCTAGAGAAGGAAGATCAAATCTTGCAAAAAATGTATGTTTCCATACAAAATCGAAATACATAATTTTGGTATATTTTTTTATAAAAACATGAGTACTTACTGAGTAACCGGACAGTATTGAACTTCTTGTGAGCTGTTTGCAAGAACGTTGTATTTTCGGGAATCTGCGAAAGAACAATTTTATTAGTTTTCTTAGAACTAAATTGTACATCAAAGTAATCGCTGTGGCATTTTACGTAGTTGATATAAGAGCTATTTTAAAAGTGCTATGGTCGGTGCACATTTTTTTACTTTCATATTCCATGAAATTTAAAACTGATGATTTTTTAACTAAAACTGAGCGGGGTCCATTTTACACAAACACAGTTTCTTTCTTAATTTTTTTACTAGCTTTCCGCCCGCGACTTCTCCCGCGAGGAATTTTGTCAGTCACAGAACAATTTTATCGCGGCGTCCCTGTTTCAAAAACCGGGATAAAAACTATTTTATGTTCTTTCCCGGGACTCAAACTATATCTATGCCAAATTTCATCAAAATCGGTTCAGTAGTTTAGACGTGAAAGCGAGACAGACAGACAGTTACTTTCGCATTTATAATATTAAGTATAGATGTACTGTTTATGTGTGTTTATCAATAAAGCTTTATCTTATCTTAAACTGGAAGCTACGGGATTCGCAACGCGAAATTGTCTGTAGCAACACAGTCGAAACGTCATACTTCAAGCACTCATGTTAATTCAGCGTCAAATAGTGCGTGACACCCAAAATGGCCAAAAAGTTGATAACACAATCTTCTTCTTCTTCTTCTTCTTTTTTATTAATGGCGATGAACTTGTGTATTTTCGGCACAAGGCACACTGTTCCGCCAATATCACGTGCGCAGCTTTTACACAATGTAGGTATTTGAGAAATTTAAATTCAAAGGTATGCTAAGCAAAATACCTAAAACAAAGAGACATCACAAATAAGACAACACAATACATAAAAATAACACATACGAGTGAACACAAATGGGGAGGTTTAGTTTGGAAAAAGTTTACTGCCAACTCTTGCTTGTTACAAAAGGTTACAAATTAATTTTATTAGTTAATGAATTTAACTAGAGATTTCAAAGTATGGGGATTAGTAAAGTTAAGAACACATTTAAGGAAAAAGGATTTTTTTGGGAAGGAAGTCATACAACGAATGGTCAATTTTGGGGCAGTTGAAAAAAATGTGATTAGCTGTTCCTTCATCCAAGCCGCATTCGCATATGTAACACAATCTTATTCCCATTGGAACAAAGACGTGTGGCGAACTTTTTGGACACTGGGTCACTGGGTGTCGAACTATTTGACGCTGGCGTTTCATTCCTAAACTTTCCATATGGTTAAAAATATGGTGGGAACTATATTCCCACTCCCCTATATACAGTGTGTCCGGGCATGTAGTGATCAAACTTTAAAGGCGTAATCTATGGACAATTTTATCGATGAAAATACTTCAAATTTGGGGCCTGACCCATTTCTCGAAAAATTACATGGATTTAAGTTTTTAAGTTTTAGTTTACACCTCTTCTTTAAAAAACAAGTGAAAGCGTGGGTAGCTTAACATTAATAGGCAAATATTTTATATCATGCGATAGCCAATAAAATTATCTATTAGTAGAAGAAGAAAGCAGACACAAGTTTCATACATTTTATGGGAGTAAGAATGGATTTAATAAGAAAAATACATTACTTTTTTCACTTCTTTTTCAGTTATTTTCCAACACAAGGAAAACCAGGTCGTTAAGGTATGTTTTATTTGCATTGTATTTTTAGTATTTGAGCTATTCTACAAAACGAATGTAAATTTATTAGTCTACGTCTATTAGTTTCGAAGTAATTGTTGAACAAAGATACCCCTTCCCAGCGGTTTCCATAGCGCACGCGACATGCGAAAATGCACTGCCTGAAAGAATCACACAACCTATTCCGATTACTATGGAAACCGCTGGGAAGGGGTATCTTTGTTCAACAATTACGTCGAAACTAATAGACGTAGACTAATAAATTTACATTCGTTTTGTAGAATAGCTCAAATACTAAAAATACAATGCAAATAAAACATACCTTAACGACCTGGTTTTCCTTGTGTTGGAAAATAACTGAAAAAGAAGTGAAAAAAGTAATGTATTTTTCTTATTAAATCCATTCTTACTCCCATAAAATGTATGAAACTTGTGTCTGCTTTCTTTTTCTACTAATAGATAATTTTATTGGCTATCGCATAATATAAAATGTTTGCTTATTAGTGTTAAGCTACCCACGCTATCACTTGTTTTTGAAGGAAGAGGTGAAAACTTAAAATTCAATACTTAAATCCTTGCAATTTTGCGAGAAATGGGTCAAGCCCCAAATTTGAAGTATTTTCATCGATAAAATTGTCCATAGATTATGCCCTTAAAGTTTGATCACTACAAGCCCGGACACATTGTATAGATTTTATAGATGACTAGCTTTCCGTCCGCGGCTTCGCGCCCGTGGACCCCTGAACCCTATTTTTTTCTAAAATAAAACTTAGCCTATGTTACTCGTGGATAATGTAGCTTTCGAATGGTGAAAGAATTTTTAAAAACGGTCCAGTAATTTTTGAGCCTATTCATTACAACCAAACAAACAAACAAAGTTTTCCTCTTTATAATATTAGTATAGATGATGATAATGAAACTCACCGTGACTATGCAGATATGACCACACGGTGGACGGCCGACGCTGTAAGCAGACGCCGCCTAAAGCACACAGGAACGATGTGATGTTAGCCCACTCTTGGATTTGCATCTGAAAACAAGGATTTATTGTAAATGTTTAGTAAATAAAGAGATGATTTTGGTACGATACCTTTTTTTAATGAACCTTTGTCCACTTTTTTCTCTATAGAACACAAAACAATCTGTCACATAGACGAATAAATAAACTATTAAGCCACGGATACACTAGTGGACAAATATAACAACATATTGGCTGACTAACTACGTGTTGTTCTCGGAAACAATGTTACCGGATTTTGCAGGCGTCCACACTCAGTAGTTGCAGGGATGCCATCACAAAACATGTCCAGGGTCACGTAGAATGTTACGCGAAACACTTGAGGGACAGTTCGGGGCATATTGGGAATGTTTCTGTAACATGTGGAATCTGAATTGCACGGAACATTAATTTGTCCCCAAGTGTATCCGAGGCTTCAGTTTAACCAACCTCCAAGTCAAGTGTCCTTTAGGATATTTCGTTGTGGAAACCCTTGAGGAAGGCCTTTGTCCAGCAGTGGACATCTTTTTTTGCACCGAACGAATTTTTTTTCACCGACGACCTCATATAAGTAGTAGGAAGGCGCTGGATGCAGACCGCTACCAACCATACAATATGGAAATCATTGGGGGAGGCCTATGTTCAGCAGTGGACGTCCTGTGGCTGAAATGGTGATGAATAACTAACCTCCAAGTCATGTAAAAGTAGCAGGAAGGCGCTGGATGCAGGCCGCTACCAACGGGGAAATATGGAAATCATTGGGGGAGGCCTATGTTCAGCAGTGGACGTCCTGTGGCTGAAATGATGATGATGAACTAACCTCAAAGTCGTGTTCGCTGCTCGTATGATGGGATACCCGTCGCTTAGCAACGGCTCTGTGCAAGGCCTCCATTTGGCATTCGTCCATCTTGTCGCCCTGCCCTTTTGGGTATTTCTGGAGTATCTTGCATAGGGAGTCCCTGTAGGAAGATTTTGAGATTACCTTATTTATTTCAAGTTAATCTAAGGTTCTTATCTTACCTACTGTTAACTGAAGTATATTAAGGCTGAGTTGCACCACCTAACCATGACCGTAACTATAACGATAACCGATGTTTTTTGTATGGAGCTTGACAGATTTTTGACGTTTGTCAAAGTTAAAGTAAGATGGTGCAACCCAGCCTAAAGGTATGAAACAATGTACAAATCTAGCACAAAACTCAGTCAGTTGCTGAGGTATGGCAGCGGTATAAAGATGACCCACGCTGAACTGTCCCGCCAAACTCAATGACAGGGGGGCGCTACCATCGTTCAACTATATGGTTTCCAACATGGCAAAAATCGGAACTAGCTATCCGGTATTGACGGTGGCGCCCCACTGTCAATGTCATGCACAGGACAGTTCAGTATTTTGGAACTATAGAAGGGTGTTTTCATTGATGTTAAACGTCAGCGAGACTTCAGATTTGTATGCTTTGTCACGTCATAATATGTCAATGCCACCCCTCCCGTGCCCCTCCCATAACTCAGGCACTGACTGAGTTCTAGACTTAAAATACGAATCACAGGTTTTCCTATAGACATGGCAGTTAAATGCTTGCAAGACGAGTTTTCTAATAATTCTAGTAGTCGTAATTATGTTGCTGTCGCGCTCGCACACTCACTGCGGGCGCCCGTCGCACAGTCGCGACAGCAATATAATTACGCGCGAGCGATAAGGATGGGTAGCTTGGGGTCATTGGACAAAATTCTACGTGCTCACGGACCAGGCTTTAGAGACCATATTCTTTCTCTTTCTTTAACATCAAGAGGAGACGAGTTAAAATTCTTTATTATTTTAGGCCTCAAGGCAATAACTGATAAACTACATAAAAATATATTCAAGGGTGATAAATAAAGGATTATATTCCATCCGCATTAAGGTTGATAATCAATAAAAACACCAACATACCAATTCCTGAAAGTCTCTTCCCATACAGGCTGTACTCCATTCACGCAGTGTTCAATTTTCCTTAGCAACGCCATTATACGCTTCTGTAGCGCTGCCGAACCTATGGAACAAATGAACCATATTAAAAGGGGCGTGAGGCGTGGCTTGATGGGGCGTGGCTTAAACAGTGAGCGTCAAAAAGTTCTTAACACCCAAAGTAGACAAAAAGTTCGCAACACGTCTTTGTTACAATAGGCTAGTTAATAAAAAAAAATTAGTCCGTCATTATAATATCAAAAAATATTGGACACATTTATTATTTGTCAATCAAACAAGTGATTACGAAGTTATGATGCATCGTTCGACGTGACGTCACCAAGTGCTACACTTTTAAGCACTTCTTGAAGTCACGGAAATCTTCATGTGAAGAATACGTGTCGAGTATGTTAACTGACGGACTAATTCAAACTCTTACTTACTATAAGGTTGTGTTGTCAACTTTTTGACAACTTATGGACTGTACGAGCGACATTTTTAATGCAGTCCCAGCAATGAAGTACGATATTGCTTTGCGCAGATTTTATCGGCACAAATCATGAAACTACATAGACGTGAATTGTCACCCGCACCATCTTATAGCGAAAGATCTTATAGCTAAAAAGAGAGCCGTGTTATATTTGTTAAACTTTTTTAATAAAAAATACTCACTCTGTATATTATTTTTGTAGAAGCACCCCCTTCCCATATCCTGAGAGGCTGCATGCGCAAATTTTAAATATAATTATAAATAACTTTATTGTCTATAGTACAATATAAAACATATTTACTTGGTCTTATCTAAAAGTCCATAAATAACTAGCAAATAAAACATAGTTTAGTAAAATTCTAAAAATATTTTTACGCAAAACGATCTCTTTCACTCACTCAAAATAATTATTATACACAGAGTTAGGATTATAGTACAAAGTAATTCAGTGCACGATACAATGTTATTTAACTTAAAAGTACACATGTTATAAAAAATAGAACATAATACTGCCCCCGATAGTTGAAAGGGCACAAAACGGAGATAAAAAAGTTCCAAATAATTTAAATGGGTGATTCTTAGCTGTCCTTGAGTTTAACTCATCAGAAAAAAGTGTTAGATGCGCCTTTTCAACTATCGGAGACATAATAAAAAGCCTCATTTGATACAAAAGACAATACACATAGACAGACAACAAATAAGTGCTCACTAGCGAGTGCGTCAAATAATCTATGAAGACCTATCTATGATCCTGACAACGGGACTATTCCCACCGCTGCAACTCCTGTGTAGCCAGGATTTACAACTTGACCGCCAATAACCCAACCAGTGAAGGCCAAGTTTGTCCCGGGAGAAAGTTAAACTGTCATTGGACCCGCAACGAAATTAATCAGAAGAACATAGGAGGAGTTCGAAGTTAAGGTTCGACTTCCCTCGGTTGCAAAGCGGATGACAGGTGACAAACAAAGGTTTAGTAACCTTTAGGAAAGGATATGCACCACGGACAATAAACATCAACATTCTATGATCCTGACAGTTAAATGACAGGGTTGTAGTCTTCTTAACTCTTGAATCTTCATACAGCATGGTGGTTACAGCGGTGTACGACGAAATGGTCGGAGCCGCGGCAGAGAAGCACACTTCCGCTGCGGCTCCGACCACTTCCACACACACCGCAGCGAAGCGAAGCACGAAGAACGAAGCAAGAAGCAGATAGGTTAGTGTCTTCTCGCTCGCACAGTGGCTGTGTCTCAGTCTCGAAGAGCAACTGACGCGCTTCATGATACATACATACGCTTGTACAATGGCTACAAGTATCCAGTGATAAGCCAAGAACTTATTTACAAATGTATAGTGGACCTAGAAAAAGTTACATTCGTGACAGTTTTTATTTCAAAATTGCTTCACGGATTAAAGTACGAGCACAGAATAATAATAAGTACTACGTACAGAAGTTTTACTTCGCGAAGGTATTTAAAAAAATGTATGCTCAATGTCATTAGCAATATGGTGTAATTTAGCCTGTCTCAAGAGTCAAGCACCATTTTGTTGACAAACGTCAGTGATCGGCACTGCGCCGAAGCTATAGGGCTGACTACGGTAAAATGATGTGACGTGAGGTGCCAAACTGCGGAAAATGGCGAAGGAAATACATGATTTAGCATGAATTATCATGAATAATATTAATTACTTATTTACCTCTCAGTGGCTTGAGGCAACTTAAAAAAGTACATTCTGTATTTTTTTTATTATTTAGGCAGTTAAATACTGCACAGTTAGTACACCATTTTCTTTATTTTCTTCCATCATACACAAGAATACGCGTGCGTGAGTCAATGTTCGCTCGTATGTGAGGCCTTGTTGAATAGTATCCTGTAGGTGGGCCATCGTGCGTGTTTTGTTTTCGATGTAAACTCGCGGAGATGAACAGGCCTGGTACGAGTAACAATATGAAAATAAAAAACCGAGCGATTTCTGACACGAATGTAAATGTCTTGGCGGGCTGAACACAAATTCTTATCTAGCTAACATCTTTTCCATACAAACATGCAACTTGTTCAAAAAACACATATAATTTATGTTGGCATTGAGAAACCTTATAACCAAGCATTGTGTGCTGATCTCGTATACTGTTTCACAGTAGTGTAAAGAACAACATAATTTCAAGAACCTTCAAATCTTTCTGTAGCTTAAATGATTTTTTTTATGTATAACAAGGCAGGTATTTGACAGCAATCGCACCTGGTGTTAAATGAGATGCAGTCTAGGATGGTACATATCTACCCTAAGAGCTAAGTGCCTATTCAGTCTCGCCTTGAAAAGGCCCGGATAATAGTGTTCGGAAAAAACAACAGCAGATGATGATGATGATAAAGCTACAACTGACCTGTAGTAAGAACAGTAGAAGTATGTGCTATCTCCTGAAACACAGCGTAGTTAGGCAGCAGACACTGCGTGGTGATCTCATCGGATCCGCAGCGGATATCGGCCTCTTGACACAGGAGAGCGAAGCACGACATGCCAACTAACACCACGTCGGTATCGATCGACCAGAGGCACATGAAGAATACCACCTGGAATGAAGTTAATCCATAGTAATTACTGTTTTTTTAAACTATTGGGGTTAATAAACAGTTTTGCAATACGTCTATTTGTCACTGTCGCTGATATTGGCGTCTCAGTTTGCGTGAGAGGAATGGCAACATTCGAAACATAGGATGTTTTTTGGGGTCGGTGAATGAACGAAATACTGAGTGAATGAGTGTTTTTATGTTGAGCTGCGCGTTACATTGATGTACGCGTTCTTTGGGAGTATTGTGATTCGTTTATCGAGATATTCTTACTTGATAATGAGTGGATGAATGAACGGTGAATGTGTGAATGGTTAGCGAATGAATGATGAACGATGAAAGAATTGTAAATGAGTTACGAATTAATGATGAATAAATTTTGAATGAATGAACAGTGTATGATGTGCGAGTAATTGGTGGGTAAAGGAATGAAGAAGCGATGTATGAATGAAGGGTGGATGCGTGAATTGATTAATGAATGAAATGAATGAAAATGAGTGAACGAATGACACATTTGTGTAAACAAATGTTGAATGATTGAAAGGGTGAGCGAATGAATGAACGAAAAACGAATTAAGAATCTGTAAACTTTCATTCACTAACCTCCAGTTTTATATGCGCCTGCTTGCATATAGGCAGCTGTGAGCCCTGGTTGGCGTAGTCCTTGTGTTTAGCAAGGAAGTCGTTGCGACAAGTCAGAATGTCGCGCAACCAGCGCAGAACCTCGCGGTAGTTGCCGATCTGACGCTGGATCAGTTTTTGACTGATGTTGTAGAGGACTTGCGAGCTGGGGGTGAGAGAAGATAGAGTTATGGGTCTATTTGATACCTTGTAAAGGGTTATGCCCACTTAGTATGGGACCTTTGGCCTGAGGTGGACAGACATTACAGCATGTAATTTGTTATTTATTAAATAGTCTATACCAGTAAGAAACAGAATATAAATATCATTTTGTATCCAAGTCCTTAAAAAAATTTTTTTTGGCTTAAGACTAGAAAGGTTAGAAGCAAAATAAAACACCATTTTTTTATTATTATTATTTTAATCTTGACTCATGGGTCAATAAAATATTGTCTAGGAACTAGGCAGGTGGAAATACATGTTCCTGATATCTTGCCCAGCTCAAAAACCACTAAATTGTCATAACATGAGCACAGCGACCTACTGTTATTCGGTCAATATAAGGGCAAATGAATCCTCATCCCATCATGACNCTTTGCACTTTTTGTTTTCAGTTCTATAGCGAACGGCCTTCACAAAAACATTTTAGAAAATGCATCTATGACAGTAACGATGTGTGTTTTACCTAAAATATAGTTCGGTTGTGTTACCGTCTTTCGTCCTCACAGAGGAATCCAAATAATCCATTCAAGTGCGAAACTGTACTTCAACAATTTTTTTTTGTTGGATATTCTCTTCATTATAAGCGCACTTTAAGTATGCCCTAACCTTTTTTTTTTTTTGTTTCGGAAACCAATACTGTTGTATTCTTACGAGTGTTTGAATATCCGTAATGCGATTTCATCACGATAAGCACACAAATGTCTCATCTAGCATTACGTGGAATCACTAAAAATAATTTCTTATTAACTTTAACGTGGTTTGGTTATGGCATTATTCTAGCTATAAAAATATTTGCCTGAGGTATTGTTGGACAAGGAGACATAAATAACAACGACTTCTATGCCGTTGTTGATTAAAAAGACTTAACATCCGGTACTCGGCATCCGGTTAATCTAAATATATATAACTCAAAGGTGACTGACTGACCGACTGACTGACTGACAGTGATCTATAAACGCACAGCCCAAATCACTCAACGGATCGGGCTGAAATTTGGCATGCAGGTAGATGTTATGACGTAGGNTTTCCGAACCTAAACTGCTAACCTGCTTGCTTCTTCAGTAGAGCTCGAAGATGAGCCCCTTGCATTCTTTTCTTGGAACTTCGCCCCATAGAAGACGGACGTGGTGACGCTTCCTTACTTGGATGACGAAGATAACTTCATACGCTTATCTCGCTTATTTCGTCCCCGGTGGTGTACCGGATTCATCTTCAGACGTCATTGTTCTCAACTGTGAAATAAAGTCCTCGACGGAATAAACTGTGTATGACAAGTATCAACTCAACATTTTATGGGAATAAGAATAAAAGAATAAGAAATTTATTTATAATATTTTACACTAAGTGAATACTTTAAAAATTAATTAAAAATTTTTGGCAAATTCATATTTTCATTAGCAGCTTGTCCACGCCAGGCCAGAAATGAACATTGTCCTTTGCAATAATTGCTTTTACAAAAGTCGAAAGGTCTCGCTCAAGAGCGAGTCATTTTAGGACAATAACTCGAGGCTCTATTTCAATGGCTCCGGTTTAGTGGTTTAGTAGGTTTCGCCCTACTGGTGGGGAAAGTCCCACATAACCTACTGGTCAAAGGTGCTATTTAGCGCCGAGACACAACGAGACGGACGTTACAGTATCAAGTAGTGGTTGTACAGTGACCTATGTAGTTTCTTTTATGTCACGTCGCGTCGGTTCTAGTCACTTTATGTGGCGTTCCGTCGCTCTACATCGCGTCTCGTCGCTTTTTAACGCGTCCCATCTCTTTATATCGCGTAACGTGGCTTCATATCGCGCCCCGTNAGCGGTTGATGGTGCACTTGTGGTTGTATAGATGCTTGTGGTTGCGGTATAGTTGCGGTCTACTTGCGGTACATCTACTCACGCTCAGCATCAGCATAGGGTCGGCGTGTATGAGCCGCACCATGCTGAGCAGTCGCTCCATACCGCGCCCCGTCGCTCCACGTCCTCACCTGATGTCCCAGAAGGTGTTCTCGGGCGCGTCCGGGTGCCACATGTGCACGCGGTCGGGTCGGTGCAGCGCCAGCAGCGCGTCCATCGCCTCCTGCGATATCTCGCCCATGCCCGCTTGGTGGACAGACGAGCCCGAGGCGAGGTGGCGGTAGTCAGCCACCAGAGAGTGTTACACTCATGAGAGTCGCTTCAAGTCTCTTTATGTCGCGTCCCGTCGCTTTATGTCACGTCGCGTCGCTTCAAGTCACATTATGTCGCGTCCCGTCACTTTATGTCGCGTCCCGTCGCTTTGTCACGTCCCGTCGCTTCAAGTCACTTTATGTCGCGTCCCGTCGCTCCATACCGCGCCCCGTCGCTCCATACCGCGCCCCGTCGCTCCACGTCCTCACCTGATGTCCCAGAAGGTGTTCTCGGGCGCGTCCGGGTGCCACATGTGCACGCGGTCGGGTCGATGCAGCGCCAGCAGCGCGTCCATCGCCTCCTGCGATATCTCGCCCATGCCCGCTTGGTGGACCAACGATACGAGACCGTTGATCAGTTCGGTGGTGGACGATTGGATCTCGATGCCGGAGCGGCCTGGGTTCTGTGGAGCAAAATTATGTGTAAGGGCACCTTCAAATTAAAGGCGTGAGGAAGCGCTGCATTGTGGTGCCAATACTAGTTTTCATAGAATTTCTAGAGCGCTTCATTATCATGGCAAACGCGTTGCATGTCTAATTTGTAGTGATATTGGTTGTGTTTTTAAAGTGATCTTGGTTGTGTTTTAGATCGATCTTGGATGTGTTGTCTTGGTACAAATAAATGATTTGATTTGTGTTTTAGTGATCTTGGTTGTGTTTTTGCAGTGATCTTGGTTGTGTTTTAGAGTGATTTTGGTTGTGTAAGTAGTATGACTCTGGAGTGATTTTGGTAGTATTTTTAATGTAATTCTGAAGTGTTTTCTTTTAGTAGTATGATTTGTAAGTGGTTTTAGTTGTGATTGTGGAGTATTTTTGGTTGTGATTGTGAAGTGATTTTAGTTGTGTTTTTAGTGTAATTTTGGAGTGATTTTGATTGTGATTATGGGGTGATTTTGGTTGTGTGATTGTAGTGACTTTAGTTGTGATTCTGGAGTGATTTTGTTTATGGTTGTAATGTAATTTGTGAAGTGATTTTGGTTGTAGTAACAGTGTGATCTTGGTTGCGGTAGCGAAATACTTCTGATTGTGTTGTGGTGTAAGTTTTAATGTCATTTTGTTGTGAGAATGGACTGATTATGGTGTATTTATGGTACTCACGCTCAGCATCAGCATAGGGTCGGCGTGTATGAGCCGCACCATGCTGAGCAGAAGGTTCCTGTAGGCAGGCATCTCCTCCGAGCGGTTGATGGTGCACTTGTGGTTGTATAGATGCTTGTGGTTGCGGTATAGTTGCGGTCTACTTGCGGTACATCTACTCACGCTCAGCATCAGCATAGGGTCGGCGTGTATGAGCCGCACCATGCTGAGCAGAAGGTTCCTGTAGGCAGGCATCTCCTCCGAGCGGTTGATGGTGCACTTGTGGTTGTATAGATGCTTGTGGTTGCGGTATAGTTGCGGTCTACTTGCGGTACATCTACTCACGCTCAGCATCAGCATAGGGTCGGCGTGTATGAGCCGCACCATGCTGAGCAGAAGGTTCCTGTAGGCAGGCATCTCCTCCGAGCGGTTGATGGTGCACTTGTGGTTGTATAGATGCTTGTGGTTGCGGTATAGTTGCGGTCTACTTGCGGTACATCTACTCACGCTCAGCATCAGCATAGGGTCGGCGTGTATGAGCCGCACCATGCTGAGCAGAAGGTTCCTGTAGGCAGGCATCTCCTCCGAGCGGTTGATGGTGCACTTGTGGTTGTATAGATGCTTGTGGTTGCGGTATAGTTGCGGTCTACTTGCGGTACATCTACTCACGCTCAGCATCAGCATAGGGTCGGCGTGTATGAGCCGCACCATGCTGAGCAGAAGGTTCCTGTAGGCAGGCATCTCCTCCGAGCGGTTGAACTTGGACTGCACCTCCTTGGACTTGAGCGACAGCGATATCATGCGGAGCGGAGTGTGGACTATGTAGCCCTGGAGACAAGTGGACAAATAGAGCATGTAAAAAACCGGATCGTCATCAGGTCATTTGATATCCACTATAGCAGAGATTCTCAAAGTGTGGGGCACGCGCCTCAGGGGAGGCGCAAAGTCCTTTAAAGGGGGGCGCGGGCCATCTGTGTAGTTAAGTATTATAAAACCTGCGACCGCTGAGAGAATGCATTCTACACTGCTCGATACGACTACTAAATAATCTTGACTGGAGGAGGGGGGGCGCGTCTCAAATAAGTCGCAGACCCATGTCATTTTTCGTTTTGGTGACATGGTGTTGTTAAAACGTTGAATTGACACATTGGCACAGTGTAAATCGTATCGAGAATTTTATTGCACTTTGAACAACACAAAAATTCTCTTTTGTGTAGTGTTTTTTTACACTTTGAACACAAACCCATTGTTTATCTTTTCCTTTTCTTTGGACGAGAGCAAAAAAGCAAAAAAAAAAAAGGAAAAAAATTGTTTTTTTTTTCTTCCCTGCACTATAGGATGACCCTATCCCCTTACTAATAAAAAGTAACACGCGTGTTGAACACTTGCTTACAAATATATTTCCATTCTAAACGTTCCTTTAAATTTCAATATTTTACAGGCTAAATATCGGTAAGACGTACTGATTCTAATAAACCTACTAACATCAAGAATATATTTATGTCAAACATGTTCTGTAAATAAAAATATCTTTATCTTTAAATCTATGTTCGTCTTGTGTTTAACTTTTACTGGTAATGGGGTTAATAAATAAAATAAAATACCGCAAGTAAAAAACACCTGTCTAGAGCTTTTGCTGAGAAGAAGATTGTCAGCATATTTTCCAAAAGTTTTTTGTAGGAACATATTTTATCATTAAACTTGGCAGTCTTATGCATTCTGAACATCTTCAAATCTCATCTTCTGTCATCGTTTTTCATTAAAAGTCGTATATCCTCACCTGTGTAGCCTTATTCAACGTGTCAGTAAACATAGCCCTCAGTTCTGCCGCGCGAGGGTATAGCAGCTCGATCTGAGGCCACCAAGGCAGCCTGGGCTGCTTGATAATCCTGGAAGAAATTGATAATGTACAAAAAATATAAAAATGAATCGCAAAATGTGTTGGTAAGCGCATAACTCAACAACGCCTGGACCAATTTTACCAATTCTTTTTTGAACGTTCGTTGAAGTCCAAGGATTGTTCTTACGGCGAGAAAAAAACGAATAATTTCCGGGAAAACCCCGGGCGAAGCCGCGGGCGGAAAGCTAGTGTGCAATAAATGTAGGAGTGCAACACTGAGTGAATGAGAGAGCAGTATGTGAGTGAATGAAAGGGGAGCGAATGGGAAGATGGCGGCATGACGGTTAACGATGAAATGTTGCTCTGTATTTTATACGAGAATAAATACTGTGGCATCTTACTTAGATGTAATAGGGGATATTTTGCAATGAAAATGTATGCTACTAGCTTTTGTCCGCGGCTTCAATCGCTTTATACAAACGCTAGATGTTATTTATGTTTTTCCCCAGTCATAAATATAAAAAACTTTCACTATGGGACCAACTCTCAAATCACAAAAAAAATCTGCTGTTCATAAATTTTGGTCAACCTGTATTGAGTCGGTAAAAAATCACCCAGTAATATAAAATACTAAGTTTGGATTCCCGTTTCAACCCCTTAGGGGGTGAATAAAAAAATGCTTTTTAGCTGACCCGTTCAGTGGTTTGAGACGTGTGACATAGATCTTTCAGTCAGTATAGGTCGCTCAACAAAAGTTGAGGCAAACCACGTACACACTGATGTAATATTAGAATACAGAAAACAACACATTACCCATTAAGTTAAAAATCAAAAATCAAAATCAAAAAATATTTATTCAGTTTAGACCACAAGTGGCACTTATGAACGTCAATAGAAAATAATAAAAAAAGAAAAGGTAGCCCTTATGGGGCACTACTATACAGTTCAAATACTATAAGGTATAGAGCTTAACTGAGTCTGCCTGAGTTATGGGAGCGGCACGGGAGGGGTGACATTGAAATATGACTTGATAGAGCATACTTTGAAGGACATCTGAAGTCTCGCTGACGTTTGACCGTCACAAAAACCGTAATTTCGTTGCGGGTCCAATGACAGTTTAACTTTCCCCCGGGACAAACTTGGCCTTCACTGGTTGGGTTATTGGCGGTCAAGCTGTAGATCCTGGCTACACAGGAGTTGCAGCGGTGGGAACGAGTGGGAATAGTCCCGTCACAAAAACACTCCCGTGCCGTTAATTCTGTCTTTTCAATTTTAATTTAGCAGTGAAAACTTCTAGGCTTATGTAAAACTCATTCTATTTATGTTATCTGATTTAAACTATAAGCTGTATGTTTTCCAAATAACGAAAATAAATAAATAAATATACTTACCGAAGCAGCGAATTGACGATGACGTAATGGTAAGACAAGTGTGTGTTCAGATTGAGACACACTTTGAGTGCGTCATTATTGTGCGGCATAATGCGGAAAAGTGACACGAAGCAGTCGGTCATAAGGTCCAATTCCGAGTAGCCGGATATCAGGTTGCCACGTATGTACGATTTTGAAGGATTGAAGAGGAGCGACTGGAAAGAAATATCATTCATTTAGTTCTAAGTAACAAACAGTAGGTTAGATTAGTTTAGGGTTACTAAATATTCGCTCACGATACGAATATTTCTCGCGATCGTTCGGAGATATTCGCCGACTCTAGTTCACGAAATAAAATACTTCTTTTACGTAAGCCATTCTTTCGGAATTATATCTTAGAATTTTATATCATTTTTTCATTTGTCACACCTTGTATACAGATGTCAGACGTTACCTTGAGTGACATCTCGCTCGCTCAGTCATTTGTTGCTCTATTCCTCTAGGTACATTAACTTTATGTGAGGACCTGTGCGACTTGTCACACCTTGTATACAGATGTCAGACGTTACCTTGAGTGACATCTCGCTCGCTCAGTCATTTGTTGCTCTATTCCTCTAGGTACATTAACTTTATGTGAGGACCTGTGCGACTTGTCACACCTTGTATACAGATGTCAGACGTTACCTTGAGTGACATCTCGCTCGCTCAGTCATTTGTTGCTCTATTCCTCTAGGTACATTAACTTTATGTGAGGACCTGTGCGACTTGTCACACCTTGTATAGAGATGTCAGACGTTACCTTGAGGTCGTTGATGACGGACTTGACGAGCACGAACGTGACGTTGCCGGAGTCAGCGATGTTCAGGTAAGTGGACGCCTTGCATAGCTTCACGCAAGTCACCACCGCAGCTTCCGTCATTTGCTTCGAATTGTTCTGGGGACCTGGAAAAAAAAATATTTATCAGTATATAGGCACAGAATAATAATAAGTACTACATACAGAAGTTTTACTTCGTGAAGGTATTTAAAAAAATGTATGCTCAATGTCATTAAAAATATGGTGTAATTTAGCCTGTCTCAAGAGTCAAGCACCATTTTGTTGACAAACGTCAGAGATCGGCACTGCGCCGAAGCCATAGGGCTGACTTCGGTAAATGATGTGTGACGTGAGGTGCCAAACTGCGGAAAATGGCGGAGGAAATACATGAATAAGCATGAATTATATTTTGTTTTTCTATTATTATTCAGGCAGTTAAAATACTGCACAGTATTAATTACACCACGGTATTTTTTTCTACTTTCCGTCATACATAGTTTATTGTCTTTACAATGCAAATAGGTGAAGAATTCACGTGCGTGCGTCAATGCTATGCTCGCTCGTGAGTGTCCTGTCGATTAAGTATCCCAGTAGGTGTAGTCGCGCGTGCTTTACTTTCGACGCAAACTCGTGGAGATGAAAAGGCCTGGTATAACTTAAATTCGTCCCAATATAGCTGTCTACCAGCACTTCGTGAGAACATATGCAGGTAAAATGTTTTATTTACGTTTTGTTGGCCTCTTATCCTAATCCAGGGGAGGGGATAGTCCGGTCTAGGAGAGTGGTAATCCGATCCAGGGGGAGTAGGGGTCTGAATATTGAATACATTGTTCATAGACACTTATGAGCGAAACATAAAAAGGCCCGGTTTCCATCAAAGCGGAGCCGAGTAGAGCGGATAAGTGTCAGACCGACAATTTTTCTATGGAATATGGCAGTGGTGACGACAAGTGGAAATAACGAAATCTGATTGGTTAATACACTTTTCCGCTCCGCTTTGGTGGACACCGGGCCGTAGGTATGAAAGGGTTTACATTTTCCAGGGGAAAGGGGGCAGCTACGGTCATCTACCAAAAAAATAAACAGCTATACTTACTGAGGCCCCTCTTGACTGAGTCTATGAAGAGCTTCTTCTTCGTGTGCCGCGGGCTGCAAGGCGCTCCGCTGTCGGCGTTCACTATTTCTTCTAGAACTTTCTGCAAACAAAAGTAGGAAATACATACAAGTGTCAAGGAATTTTATGTAAACTACAATAAATGGTTGTAATCAGAAATTTAATGAACATACAGGACTTACGGAGAATGAGAATAACTTACGGGGAATGATAATGACTTATGAGGGATGATTATGAGTTATTGGAGGATGAGAATGACTTACAAGGGATGATAATGAGTTATTGGAGGATGAGAATGACTTATAAGGGATGATAATACGTTATGGAGGATGAGAATGACTTACAAGGGATGATAATGAGTTATTGGAGGATGAGAATGACTTATAAGGGATGATAATGCGTTATGGAGGATGAGAATGACTTACAAGGGATGATAATGAGTTATGGGGGATGAGAATACTTATAAGGGATGATAATGAGTTATGGAGGATGAGAATACTTATAAGGGATGATAATGAGTTATGGAGGATGAGAATGACTTATGAGGGATGATAATGAGTTATGGAGGATGAGAATGACTTATAAGGGATGATCATGAGTTATTGGAGGATGAGAATACTTATAAGGGATGATAATGAGTTATGGAGGATGAGAATGACTTACAAGGGATGATAATGAGTTATGGAGGATGAGTATACTTATAAGGGATGATAATGAGTTATGGAGGATGAGAATACTTATAAGGGATGATAATGCGTTATGGAGGATGAGAATGACTTATAAGGGATGATAATGAGTTATTGGAGGATGAGAATGACTTATGGAGGATGAGAATGACTTATAAGGGATGATCATGAGTTATTGGAGGATGAGAATGACTTATAAGGGATGATAATGAGTTATGGAGGATGAGAATACTTATAAGGGATGATAATGAGTTATGGAGGATGAGAATGACTTACAAGGGATGATAATGCGTTATGGAGGATGAGAATGACTTATAAGGGATGATAATACGTTATGGAGGATGAGAATGACTTATAAGGGATGATAATGCGTTATGGAGGATGAGAATGACTTACAAGGGATGATAATGAGTTATGGAGGATGAGAATGACTTATAAGGGATGATAATGAGTTATTGAAGGATGAGAATGACTTATGGAGGATGATAATGAGTTATTGAAGGATGAGAATGACTTATGGAGGATGATAATCAGTTATTGGAGGATGAGAATGACTTACAAGGGATGATAATGAGTTATGGAGGATGAGAATGACTTATAAGGGATGATAATGAGTTATTGGAGGATGAGAATGACTTATAAGGGATGATAATGCGTTATGGAGGATGAGAATGACTTACAAGGGATGATAATGAGTTATGGAGGATGAGAATGACTTATGGGGGTTGAGAATAACTTATGACGGATGAGAAGGAGGGACTATGGAAGTTGAGTATGAGTTAAGGGGGATGACAATGATTTATAGGGCATGATAAATACTTATGAGGAATAATAACGATATCAACGAAAATAACTGAAACTGTCTTGTAAAATGTCTTAAAGGGGGGAGAAAGACTTATTAGGGATGAGAATGACTTAGGGGGATGAAAATTACTTACGGAGGAGCTATAGGGGATTTTACTGACTTAGAGGAAGCTATAGGGGATGAGAATGGCTTACGTAACCATGGGGGATGTAAATGACTTAGGGGTGATATAAGGGATGAAAATGACTTACGGGGTTAAGCACGAGCAGCATGACCTGCAGAGGCCACATGGCCACTCGCGACTTCTTGTTGTCCGAGAAACTGTCTTGTAAAATATCGAATAACGTGTCGCAGCATTTGCTGAGTTCGTCGTTAGGCCGGCACTGGACTTCGGCGAATTCCTGGAACATAATTAATTCTATTTTAACTCTGTACCTCTATTAAGAAAAACTTTCGAGTTCGTTTCGTTTGCGTATTATAGCCGCCCTAGGGGGCGCTGTTTAATTTTTCATACAAAATTTTTCGATGGCACTTTGAATACGCAAACGAAACGAACTCGAAAGTTTTTCGTAATAGAGGTACTGTACCTCTAGTAGGAAAAACTTTCGAGTTCGTTTCGTTGCGTATTCAAAGTGTCATCGAAAAATTTTGTATGAAAAATTAAACAGCGCCCCCTATATTATAGCCGCCCTAGGGGGCGCTGTTTAATTTTTCATACAAAATTTTTCGATGGCACTTTGAATACGCAAACGAAACGAACTCGAAAGTTTTTCGTAATAGAGGTACTGATCATTCTTCTTGTCGAAAACAAATCTATACACTATCAGCCCAAAACTCCGCTACAAGAGTGGCGCCCTGCGTGCCCAAACAACTGCACGCAGGAAGATTTAATTAATGCTACTGTATTCACTGATTTTGATCGTTATGTTGTCTTACTAAAGTACAAAATAAGATGGTCGATTCTGCCACCAACGGATACAGACATAATTAAGCTTCGATGTCCCATTATAGTAAAACCGTATGTTTCTAAAAATGTAGAAAAAAAACCATTTTCGGTCTCTCTATAGAAGTCGTAAGAAGCGACTAAGGGACAAATATGCGAACATCAGGCCTCCCCAACCCGTCTGGCCAGCGTGGGGAGTGTAGGACAAATCCTCCATTTGCCTCTGGTCAATTAGAGACGTGCTCCTGCAGTGGAGACTAAATGACCTGATGATGATGACGAAGCATTTTTTAACCAATTTGATGTAAATAAGGTTCAAATTCATCCTTCCGACGACATCATAAAGGTAGACAAACAAACAAGGTACCAACCGGGTAACATGGAAAGCATTAGGGGAGGCCTATGTTCAGCAGTGGACGTGCTGTGGCTGAGATAATGATGATGATGATGATAAAGGTTCAAATTATTGCGGCATTATTTAATAACTTTACCTGTGGGTAAGTGTCCATCCAGTTCCATATAGCTTTCTCGAGTGAAGCCACTAGGACTATGTGCGCTGATTTTCTCAACAGCTTAAACTTTTGTATGGACTCTGAAAACAATGAAAGGAAATAGTTTATTCAGTACATAGGCCCTTTCCAGGGCGCTTATACACGTCCCAAATATAGCTTGCCCTACCACCACTTCGGGACAACATATGGGCTGGTGCTGAGAAGAAGTGGCGGAAGAAACTCAGTCACCTTTGTCAGCCTCTTTTTCCATCCAATACAGTATTATATTTTGAAAATTATTATAAATAACTTGAAAAAATCGAACTGCCTAAGGCGGGAATCGAACCCACGATATGAATGATACGAACAAGATGCGACTCTTAACGCTAAAAATTAAATAACTACAGTATTATATTGTCATATTACAACAAGGTGGCTAAAATATCATAAAAAAGCAGGACGGGACTGTTCCCACCGCTGCAACTCCTGTGTAGCCAGGATCTACAGCTTGACCGCCAATAACCCAACCAGTGAAGGTCAAGTTTGTCCCGGGGGAAAGTTCAACTGTCATTGGACCCGAATCAAAATCGATCAGAAATACAGGTACGTTCAAAGATAAGGATAAACATGGCTTCATTACTAAGGCTGAGTTGCACCACCTAACTTTAACGGTAACTATAACGATAACCGGTGTTTTTGTATTAGATTATGAGCTAGTAAACGCCAGACCTACGTCATTTTATAAAAGCTGAAAGTTTGTCAGCGTATGCTCCCAATATAGGTTAGAATGTTGGTGAATCATGAAGTTTAGATCATAGTGGCAGCTATCCTAACAAATATTTCAGCTTTTATAAAATGACTAAGGTCTGGTGTTCACTAGCTCTTAGCCTATATGGAGTTTGAGAGATTTTTGATGTTTGTTATTGTTAAAGTAAGATGGTGCAACCCAGCCTAAGAGTTTTAGTTCCTATTTATTTGTATGTTATATTTTTAGCACGCGGCGCCACTGTCGCTAAGGTCGACCAGCGCAGTGAAAGATATTATTGATTCGCGCAGCTTCTGTTTCAAATAAGCACACTAGTGTTGCCAAAATATCGATAGTTTTTGTCGAGTTGTCTAGTTCCTATTTATTTGTAGGATATATTTTTAGCACGCGGTGCCACTGTCGATATGGCCGGCCAGCCCAATGAAAGATTTATTGATTTGCGCAGCTTCGGTTCCAAATAAACACACGAGTGTCGCTATAATATAGACAGTCTTTGGTTTAAATGTTATTTGTAAGATATAGTTATTTTTAGCAAGCGGCGCCACTGTCACTAAGTAAGGCCAGCGCAGTGAAAGATTATTGATTTGCGCAGCTTCAGTTCCAAATAAGCACACTAGTGTTGCCAAAATATCGATAGTTTTTGTCCTATTTATTTGAATGATGTATTTTTAGCACACCTCGCCACTGTCGCTAAGGTCGACCAGCGCAGTGAAAGATTATTGATTTGCGCAGCTTCGGTTCCAAATAAGCAGACTAGTGTCGCCAAAATATCGATTTTTTTGTCGAGTTGTCTAGTTCCTATTAGTTTGTATGATGTATTTTTAGCACGCGGCGCCACTGTAGCTATGTTCGACCAGCGCAATGAAAGATGTTATTGATTTGCGCATCTTCGGTTCCAAATAAACACACGAGTGTCGCTATAATATAGATAGACAGTCTTTGGTTTAAATGTTATTTGTAAGATATAGTTATTTTTAGCACACCTCGCCACTGTCGCCAAGGTCTACCAGCGCAGTGAAAGATTTTATTGATTTGCGCAGCTTCAGTTCCAAATAAGCACACTAGTGTCGCCATAATATCGATAGCTTTTGTCCTATTCATTTGTATGATATATTTTTAGCACACGGCCTTACTGTCGCTACGTTCAACCAGCGCAGTGAAAGATTATTATTGATTTGCGCAGCTTCAGTTCCAAATTAGTACTAGTGTTGCCAAAATATCGATAGTTTTAATATCGATATCGGTGACAGTTTAACAGAACTCTAGGGTAATTTTACATTGGCGGAACAGTGTGCACACTGTGGCGAAAAAACACAAATCCATCGCCATCAACAAATGAAGAAGAAGAAGTTTAATTTAAAGACACCACTTTAAAGAATCGAATGGGTGACAATTTTGGAAAAAACTATTAAGGTTGATGATATCTTCGAAAATTTGCGTTTAGGAACACATTAAGACATTTCAACTATTTATTCATACAATATACCCCTAAAATTGCAGGAAATCAAAATGAGCACATTGTATTGTTTTTGGAACTTAAATGTAAGACAGTAAAGTTTAAAATAGATTAAAATATTTACCTGTGAGCAGCCGAATAAGTCTCAGTATATCGACGTTGATGTGCTGAATTAACTCTATGTCTGTATAATCGGGGTTTTCTTCTGAGCTGGATGCAACTTCCTAAAACGTCAATAACATTAGAATCTGTCTTTCTCAACTGTATAATGTTACATATTTGCAACATTCCCTAATATGGGGATTTTGCAAATATGCAACATCCCCATTTAGGTGAGAGATGTTTTACGCCCGTTTTCACCATCAATCCCTAATTTTTAAGTAACCCCTTAGAAACCATATTCCTGTTACGTGTTACCATAGGGGTCACTTAAAAATTAGGGATTGACAGTGAAAACGGGCATTAGTTACTAAAAATACATTACTTTCATAATGTATTTTGATAAAACATAACTTTTGTAATGTTGCATATTTGCAACATTTATTAGGGTTGCTTCACGTCACCTCGACACTGTTGAACTACAATACCCATCCAATAGCAAGATTGTGTCTGTAGCAACCCTTATTTAAAACAGATGTGTCCAAATTCCCTTCTCCTTTAAAAGAGACAAGGAAAATACACATCAATATTCCCAAACCGGTCTGACCAGCGTGGGGAGTGTAGTGTAGGCCAAATCCTCCATTTGCCTCTGGTATATTAGGCAGGGAGAATGCAGGTTGCTACCAATCGGGCCATATGGAAGTCATTGGGGGATGATTATGTTCAGCAATGGACGTCCTGTGGCTGAAATGATGATTAGAGTGTCGCAGTGCAGTGGAGACTAAATGACATGATGATGATGATGATGATGATGAAAGAATTAACATACCTGTAACCTAGCGCTGATCCTGTTAAACACAGCGTTGAAAAAGTTCAGGCTGAGCGCGAACAGAACCTTCGAAGACAGCTGCCTCAGCTCTACGTTGTTCACTGTGCTCTCGTTTCGCATGTCTGTAACAATACAATAATATTGATTTTATGTGTGTGACTGAAATTTTCTTGCCGCCCTCCCCGTTTTCATTAACGTTATATTTCGACATGTGTCCCTGGTAAAACCTGCGTTCACCCTTGAGTTGTGAGCTCATATTTCAAAAAACATACCCCTCTTTCTGGTGCAGTCGGGCTTAGATTCAAACAAAAAAAGAAGATATGGCACTGAAGTCTCTCGTCTTTTCGCGCTAAAGTCCGTTCGCGCGAATGTAGTGCGCACAAATGGTGTTTCGCACATGTGTCTTTGGCACAAGTGTTTTTCACGCAAGTGTAACAAAACCTTAGGTACTGTCGAGTGATACGACAGCGGCGCTTTAATAATGTGAAGGCAGGCATCCATGGGACGACAAGGTGGACCGACGACATCGTAAAGGTAGCAGGAAAGCGCTGGACGCAGGCCGCTACCAATCGATCAACGTGGAAAGCATTGGGGGAGGCCTATGTTCAGCAGTGGACGTCCTATGGCTGAAATGATGATGATGAATATGAGGCATCCGCGGTCAGCGCTGCTAATGTCACCTAAATGTGAAAGCGCTCAAAAACGCTATAAACTCACCAATAAACTGGCACACCTCCCGCAGCAGTATCTTGACGTTCATAGCCTCGTCGTACTTGGTGGTGTCCTTCGGTTGCGAGCTGAGGCATATCTCCAGTGTGTCTAGCACTATCACCAGGCTGTCGTGGTAGCCTTTGTCGAGCTACAAACTTACCAAGTAACTGACTTACTTCTAGCAGTAGTAGTAGCAGGTTGGGTTCTTATTGGCGGTCAAGCTGTAGATCCTGGCTACACAGGCGTTGCAGCGGTGGGAACGAGAGGTGGGAATAATCCCGTTCTCGCAGTACTTAGTATCTTTACTTCATAGATTCAAAGTCACTTGCTCGAAAAGCCATTTGCGCGAATTGATGCTAGCGCTAAAGACGCGCTTTCGTGCCAATGTCATTCGCGCATATTTCTTTCGTTCAAGTGTCTTCCCCGCAAGCGTCTTATCACACTCAGGTCCATTCGCGCGTTTCCGCGCACGTGCCTGGGCGCGCAAATGGCTTTCCGCGTCGTGACTTTCTGCAAGTGACTTTCGCGCTAGTGTCTTTTCGCGTATGTGACTTGATACAAGTGTCTTTCGCGCAACAGAACCCTAGATACTGTCAAGGAATAGATCTAGAATGCGCTATAAACTCACCAATAAACTGGCACACCTCCCTCAGCAATATCTTGACATTCATAGCCTCGTCGTACTTGGTGGTGTCCTTCGGTTGCGAGCTGAGGCATATCTCCAGCGTGTCTAGCACTATCACCAGGCTGTCGTGGTAGCCTTTGTCGAGCTACAAACTTACCAAGAAACTGACTTCTCGCAGTAGTAGTAGCAGGTTGGGTTCTTATTGACGGTCAAGCTGTAGATCCTGGCTACACAGGAGTTGCAGCGGTGGGAACGAGAGGTGGGAACAGTCCCGTTCTAGGTATAGGTAATAGGTACTTAGTATCTTCACTTCATAGATTCATGGTATTTGGAGGCAAAGTTACTTGCTCGAAAAGCCATTTGCGCGAATAGATGCTAGCGCTAAAGACGCGCTTTCGTGCCAATGTCATTCGCGCATATTTCTTTCGTTCAAGTGTCTTCCCCGCAAGCGTCTTATCACGCTCAGGACCATTCGCGCGTTTCCGCGCACGTGTCTGGGCGCGCAAATGGCTTTCTGCGTCGTGACTTTGTGCAAGTGACTTTCGCGCTAGTGTCTTTTCGCGTATGTGACTTCATGCAACCTAGATGCTGTCAGGTAAAAGATCTAGAATTCTCTAGAGACTCACCAATAAACTGGCACACCTCCCTCAGTAGTATCTTGACGTTCATAGCCTCGTCGTACTTGGTGGTGTCCTTCGGTTGCGAGCTGAGGCATATCTCCAGCGTGTCCAGCACTATCACCAGGCTGTCGTGGTAGCCTTTGTCGAGCTACAAACTTACCAAGAAACTGACTTCTCGCAGTAGTAGTAGCAGGTTGGGTTCTTATTGACGGTCAAGCTGTAGATCCTGGCTACACAGGAGTTGCAGCGGTGGGAACGAGAGGTGGGAATAGTCCCGTTCTCGCAGTACTTAGTATCTTTACTTCATAGATTCAAAGTCACTTGCTCGAAAAGCCATTTGCGCGAATAGATGCTAGCGCGAAAGACGCGTTTTCGTGCCAATGTCATTCGCGCATATTTCTTTCGTTCAAGTGACTTTTTCGCAAGCGTCTTATCACACTCAGGTCCATTCGCGCGTTTCCGCGCACGTGTCTGGGCGCGCAAATGGCTTTCCGCGTCGTGACTTTGTGCAAGTGACTTTCGCGCTAGTGTCTTTTCGCGTATGTGACTTCGTGCACGTGTCTGTCGCGCAACCGAACCCTAGATGCTGTCAGGTAAAAGATCTAGAATTTTCTAGAGACTCACCAATAAACTGGCACACCTCCCTTAGCAGTATCTTGACGTTCATAGCCTCGTCGTACTTGGTGGTGTCCTTCGGTTGCGAGCTGAGGCATATCTCCAGCGTGTCCAGCACTATCACCAGGCTGTCGTGGTAGCCTTTGTCGAGCTACAAACTTACCAAGAAACTGACTTCTCGCAGTAGTAGTAGCAGGTTGGGTTCTTATTGGCGGTCAAGCTGTAGATCCTGGCTACACAGGAGTTGCAGCAGTGTGAACGAGAGGTGGGAATAGTCCCGCTCTCGCAGTACTTAGTATCTTCACTTCATAGATTCAAAGTCACTTGCTCGAAAAGCCATTTGCGCGAATAGATGCTAGCGCGAAAGACGCGCTTTCGTGCTAATGTCATTCGCGCATATTTCTTTCGTTCAAGTGTCTTTCCCGCAAGCGTCTTATCACACTCAGGTCCATTCGCGCGTTTCCGCGCACGTGTCTGGGCGCGCAAATGGCTTTCCGCGTCGTGACTTTGTGCAAGTGACTTTCGCGCTAGTGTCTTTTCGCGTACCTATGTGACTTCGTGCACGTGTCTGTCGCGCAACCGAACCCTAGATGCTGTCAGGTAATAGATCTAGAATTCTCTAGAGACTCACCAATAAACTGGCACACCTCCCTCAGCAGTATCTTGACGTTCATAGCCTCGTCGTACTTGGTGGTGTCCTTCGGTTGCGAGCTGAGGCATATCTCCAGCGTGTCTAGCACTATCACCAGGCTGTCGTGGTAGCCTTTGTCGAGTTCGGAGGAGCGGCTGACGCTTGATGAGGATAGCGTCGGTTGGTACTGGAAGGAGAGTTCATTCATTAAGGGTGGATTCGACCAAACAAGAGTATACTTCCAAAATACTGAACTGTCCTATCCATGACATTGACAGTGAGGCGCCACCGTCAATACCGGATCGCTGGTTCTGATTTTTGCCATGTTGGAAACCATATAGTTGAACGATGGTAGCGCCCCCTGTCATTGAGTTTGGTGGGACAGTTCAGCGTGGATAATATTAATCTCAGAATAAATCGTCATAAAATAATTTTGACATATTTCCCATACTGAAACTGTCAATGTGCCAGTTATACCAGGAGTTCTTCTCGGATAAAAGTTTGGTCGAATCGGGCCTAAGTCATTTATTTTCTGTAAAAATGCTTTTATAAAACGTTTTACAAGTCCTAGAGGTCTAGCTAATGCATAATTAAGTCAACGCCTGTAGACTGCATTTGTGACGTCAACGCCACATTGCCTAAAGGTAGTCTTTCGAACTAAGCGTCACAGACGCAGCGTCTTTAGCTTTGGTCTTAAAGGTAGCCTTTCGAAGCGAGTTAGTGACGCAGCGTTTGTGGCACAAGACCAAACCTTAAGACGCCGCGTCTGTGACGCTTAGTTCGAAAGGCTACCTTTAGTGCCTTTAGTCAAGGCATTGCGGTCTCCTGCCTCGGCCGCTTGTCTCTGTCGCAGCATGAACTGCCGCCTTCATGCGCGAATATACCGGGAGCCGGGAAGGCACGGTCTTCCCCGGAATGGTCTCAGTGACCTCTACACAGAAAATGAAGCCTAGATACGCCAACGCCAGTGACTGAGTTTCTTGCGCTGCTTCTTCGCAGCATTGGCCCATTTATTGTCCTGAAGCAGTGGTAGGGTTAATACTGACACGTGTAAACGCCTTTTTGCAGAAATAAATGAGTTTTAGGAGTTTTTATGAGTTTTAATGGCCGCCGCGGGGAGTTTGATCCGAGCATTCCAAGCGTCATTATTGTAGTGTGCGTGTGCACTCATGGATGATTTAGCGTGTACCGATAACACTCAAACATTAGCGGAAGAATGGTGGGGCGCGTCTTCACGGATGAAACAATCTATATGATGCTAACCTGTTCGTTGATCCGCTGCAGGATCATGGTAAGGCCGGCGATGACGAGCGAGAAGCGGTGCCGGCTGATCTGCACGAGGCAAGCCTTTGCACTGCTCCTCCGTCAGCCTCTCGTTAGTTCGTTCGTTTCAGCCAAACGACGTCCACTGCTGGACAAAGGCCTCCCCCAAGGTTTTCCACAATGAACGGTCCTGCGCTGCCCGCATTCAGGTTCTTCCCGCGACCTTTACCAGATCGTCGGTCCACCTAGTAGGAAACCTGCTCACGCTACCTCTTCCAGCCCGTGGTCGCCACTCGAGAACTTTTCTGCCCCAACGGCCATCGATGTGCCCCGCCCTCAGCCACTTGATTTTAGCAATTTGGTCTCGTAGGGCCCTCAGAATATATCGCTTGCTCGCTCATGTTTACCTGCTCATGGACCTCAGAACTCTGTCTCGCTCGCTCGCTCATGCTTACCTGCTCGTTGATCCGCTGCAAGATCTTGGAATCTTCAAGCTAATTCGTGGAATCCTGGGTAGTCTTGTGAGGCAGGCTTTCCACTGCTCCTCTGTCAGCCGCGTGTAGGCTTTGGTCTCGTTAGTTCGTTCGTTTCAGCCAAATGACGTCCACTGCTGGACAAAAGCCTCCCCCAAGGTTTTCCACAATGAACGGTCCTGCGCTGCCCGCATCCAGGCTCTTCCCGCGACCTTTACCAGATCGCCACTCGAGAACTTTTCTGCCCCAACAGCCATCGTCTCTACGAGCTATGTGCCCCGCCCACTGCCACTTGATTTTAGCAATTTGGTCTCGTAGGGACCTCAGAACTCTGTCTCGCTCGCTCGCTCATGCTTACCTGCTCGTGGACCTCAGAACTCTGTCTCGCTCGCTCATGCTTAAATACCTGCTCGTTGATCCGCTGCAAGATCTTGGAATCTTCCAGCTAATTCGTGGAATCCTGGGTAGTCTTGTGAGGCAGGTCTTCCAATGCTTCTCTGTCAGCCGCGTGTAGGCTTTGGTCTCGTTACTTCGTTCGTTTCAGCCAAATGACGTCCACTGCTGGACAAAGGCCTCCTCCAAGGTTTTCCACAATGAACGGTCCTGCGCTGCCCGCATTCAGGCTCTTCCCGCGACCTTTACCAGATCGTCGGTCCACCTAGTAGGAAGCCTGCCCACGCTACGTCTTCCAGCCCGTCGAGAACTTTTCTGCCCCAACGGCCATCGATGTGTCTCGTAGGGACCTCAGAACTGTCTCGTTCGCTCGCTCATGCTTACCTGCTCGTTGATCCGCTGCAAGATCTTGGAATCTTCCAGCTAATTCGTGGAATCCTGGGTAGTCTTGTGAGGCAGGCCTTGCACTACTCCTCAGTCAGCCGCGTGTAGTCTCTGGTCTCATAGGGTCCTCAGAACTCTGTCTCGCTCTCTCATGCTTACCTGCTCGTGGACCTTAGAACTCTGTCTCGCTCGCTCATGCTTACCTGTTCGTTGATCCGCTGCAGGATCTTGGTGAGGCCGGCGATGACGAGCGAGAAGCGGTGCCGGCTGATCTGCACGAGGCAGGCCTTATACAGCTCCTCCGTCAGCCGAGTGTAGGCTTTGGTCTCGTTAGTTCGTTCGTTCGTTTCAGCCAAATGATGTCAACTGCTGGACTAAGGCTTCCCCCAAGGTTTTCCACAATGAACGGTCCTGCGCTGCCCGCATTTAGGTTCTTCCCGCGACCTTTACCAGATCGTCGGTCCACCTAGTAGGAAGCCTGCCCACGCTACGTCTTCCAGCCCGTCGAGAACTTTTCTGCCCCAACGGCCATCGATGTGTCTCGTAGGGACCTCAGAACTGTCTCGCTCGCTCGCTCATGCTTACCTGCTCGTTGATCCGCTGCAAGATCTTGGAATCTTCCAGCTAATTCGTGGAATCCTGGGTAGTCTTGTGAGGCAGGCCTTCCACTGATCCTCTGTCAGCCGCGTGTAGGCTTTGGTCTCGTTAGTTCGTTCGTTTCAGCTAAATGACGTCAACTGCTGGACAAAGGCCTCCCCCAAGGTTTTCCACAATGAACGGTCCTACGCTGCCCGCATCCAGGCTCTTCCTGCGACCTTTACCAGATCGTCGGTCCACCTAGTAGGAAACCTGCCCACGCTACGTCTTCCAGCCCGTGGTCGCCACTCAAGAACTTTTCTGCCCCAACGGCCATCGATGTGCCCCGCCCACTGCCACTTGATTTTTGCAATTTTGTCTCGTAGGGACCTCAGAACTGTCTCGTTCGCTCGCTCATGCTTACCTGTTCGTTGATCCGCTGCAAGATCTTGGAATCTTCTAGCTAATTCGTGGAATCCTGGGTAGTCTTGTGAGGCAGGCCTTGCACTACTCCTCAGTCAGCCGCGTGTAGTCTCTGGTCTCATAGGGTCCTCAGAATTCTGTCTCGCTCTCTCATACTTACCTGCTCGTGGACCTTAGAACTCTGTCTCGCTCGCTCATGCTTACCTGTTCGTTGATCCGCTGCAGGATCTTGGTGAGGCCGGCGATGACGAGCGAGAAGCGGTGCCGGCTGATCTGCACGAGGCAGGCCTTGCACTGCTCTTCAGTCAGCCGGGTATGCAGGCTCTGCGCTCCGGTCTTGTATGGTAGCTGGATTAGGAAGAAAGACACATTTATTATAAGGATTTTTTATTTTTTTAGGAAAACATACAGTGAAACAATGACAGACAAATAACTGGTTAAGAAACTATATACGATTTACATGACACAAAGAGAAAAAGGTACATAAACATCGTTCGCTCGTTTCAGCTGGACAAAGGCCTCCCCCAAGGATTTCCACTAAGACCGGTCCTGCGCCGCTCGCATCCATGCACCTCCCGCTACCTTGACCAGATCGTCGGTCCACCTAGTGGGAGGCTTGCTCACGCTACGTCTTCCGGCTCTTGGTCGCCACTAAAGAACTTTCCTGCCCCAGCGCTATGTGCTATGAGCTATGTGCCCCGCCCAGTGCCACTTGATTCATTCACATAACATCAGTAGCACATCCCAACTAATATTATAAATGCGAAAGTAACTCTGTCTGTCTGTCTGTCTGTCTGTCTGTCTGTCTGTTAGTCTGTCTGTTACGCTTTCCCGCTTAAACCTCGCAACCGATTTTGATGAAATTTGGCATAGAGATAGTTTGAGTCCCGGGAAAGAACATAGGATAGTTTTTATCCCGGTTTTTGAAACAGGGACGCGCGCGATAAAGTTTTTCTGTGACAGACAAAATTCCACGCGGGCGAAGCCGCGGGCGGAAAGCTAGTAAAAGATATAAAAGGGCTTGTTACAACCTACTTGTTGCATTGAACCTTTGTTTAAATTGACATGAAAGCGGAATATTGTTTATACGATTCTGTTCTGATTTTTGTATTGGAATAAAAAATAATATTGACAGTATAGTTGATGTAGTGCAAATATTTTTAATCGTTGCAGACCACCGCCACCTTGGCTGCAATATTTCAAGGCGGAGCAGGTTTTCTTTTTTTAACAGTTTCTCCGGAGAAACTACTATGGTATATTCTTTATCTAAGGTCCACCTACTCAATCTTCATGCGTATACTTAGATTTAATTAAAATAAAATAAGAAAAAAGTTAATTTAGTGATTGTTTCAAAAAAATTTAGTCGCAGTAGGAGCCCATTGACTTATAAACCAAATAGGTAATTCGGTTAAAGAGTGTCGGCAAATTTAAGTCAGAAAAAATATTTTTTTTACTTTGAAAATTTGCGTAGGTGTATCGGTTGAGAACCATACTTTACTGATACTAATTGAATAACATTTGAGCCTAATATACTGCTTGAAAACTGTACAATCTAAGGTGCATATAAAGGTATATCTGGTATCAAAACTTTTCATGATATTCAAGAAAAGGGATGGGCCCCGGAAAACAAGTATTACAGTAATTCAACTCACCTGCTCTTCAAAACGCGCTATCAGGGAATTGGCCCATTCCCCGGGCTTTTGGGTGCCCATTTTGAAAAGGAAATTAGGCTTTTATCTAAACATTAAATGAAAAATAATAATAGAACTGTCCCATCTTGAAAAATCAATACACAGGACCAAATCAATACAACAAGGTTGCTGAGATAAATCTACCATTTCCGGCCATCAGTAGTAGTTTTATTTACGTACATTTTATCACTATTTAGTATTTATTTAGCAGATCGGATTGTTTTATTTTAAACACTTTAAGCTCTTAGCAAAATTTGCGATTATTATGTGTTTAGAATGAATCTTTACAACACTTTACAAATTACTATAATTTTATTCCCATTTCGATCGAGAAAAACTACTATTAATTATTTTTTTTACAAAACTGGTATTATTTAGCTGTCAATCAAAACTAACGAAAACAATCAATACTTTACGGTGGCATTCATAGGTTGCTAACTTTTCACAATGATACAAACGTTAAGATAGAAATGTTTAATAATGTATAAAATCATTTTAAAATTACTAAAATATTATAATGTGGAAAAGATAAAACTACAATTTACTTCTTAAAAAAAAATTCATGAATGTAGCATAAATATTAAAATCATACTTATTAATATCATAACCTGCAGCCAAAATTGATTTTAGAAACTAATATAATTATGGATAGGGGCCACCCATTTTATACATAAGACTATTTTCACTAGTTTTTGACCCCCTCCCCCCAAGATAAGAAAAAATAAGAGAAGACCGACCCCCCTGCTGTCTCCCCCCTTTTTAATATTTTACGTAACAGTCTGAAGGAAAAAGTGAATAAGTACAGGTTACGACTAGTACACAAGTGGGGTATTCCCATGTTCAGTGCCATGGAAATTGGAAATCGTTTACCTACGCATTTAAGTAAAACTCAGCACTCGCGCGGTTGTCCACACTATTTCAAAGTACAATTATTTTAACTTTGTGCATTTTTTGTGATCTTACGTAAGAACTATTAAGACTCATTCCCACCCCCTTGTAAGAAAAAAATAAGACATGGTTGACCCCCCCCCTCCCTAAATCGTCTTAGTTTTATGAGTTTTTTTACCTAAAGAAGTAAAGAAACTAGCGAGTTTTAGTAAAGCCCAATGTGTGTTTGTGTGGTCAGTGCTTAGTAAATTAATAAATAAAAATTGGGTTTCATACTTTTCAACTAGCTCTCTAGAAAAAAATTATTTTTTATTGTTCAATATGAAAATAACCCTCTTTCTGGCGTAGTCGGGTAAAAAGGTAGAATATTTTAATCAAGCACTGGTAACATTTTTCAGCAGGAAACGTCATCGTGACGTGACAGCTGACTTTGACAGTTATTCTAAAAAAATATTTAGCGTCATTCGTACACTTGTTTTTTGGAATTAATTGCAATTATCTTGGAATAATTTACTCAGTATACTCTAAAACTGTGTTTATAAATAAGTTTTCAAGATGATGGTAAGTTTTTTGTATTCTAATTAGAATCTTAATGGAGGAAGTCGTCCAAAATTTGATAGGTGCCGGGGGGCGTCACCGACATCAAAATACTTTGTATTGTTTGTTATCGCTAATTACCAAGATAATAACCATATTTTCACCTTACCCAGCGTGGTTTTGGTGACTCATGTTCCATGCTAGCGGACTCTTTTGACCCCGACTCGAAAATAGCTGTAGTAAATCCAATTTGAAATAAAAAACACTCATGACGTGGACATCCCTAATTCAACTAATAAAGGCTGAATTTAGGTTTTTAATTGTACTCTGCGTTGTGAAGGACGTTATCGTTATTTTCTAATAAATTTTTGCCTCTAATTACATTTCTGTATCCTGTTTTGTTCCAAAAGTACTAAACTTTGTTTCAATATAAAAAAAAAACATTGATAAAAGTTTTAGTTTTAGTACATTTTAACAGGCTAATTAAGCTACGCAATGCCATGTGAATGCATAACTTAGTATTAAGTGAGGAATTAATACAATAATGCTGAATCAATTACTAGCACATCACACATTATTCTTGCAATATCCTGTTACAACAACTTTACTGTTACCACAATTAAACAGTTTATGCAAACAGCAGCAGCAAATATGTGTTAATGAAATGTACATTTACATAGAATTATTGTGTATTTGTGTATAATATTGTGATTACACCAATTTGTGAATCAATTAGTTATCAGGCATATTTAGAGGGCAGACAAGACAACCAATAACTTATGCAGTCTTTTTATTTATTTATTTCCACGCCTTTGCATGATTTTTACAGGGAAAACCTCCATCTTGTAGAAGATGGGTGATTAACATGTGGTTACAGCATTGTTGTAATGACAAGATATTTCAAGAGAAATGGATTATTTTTCTTGGTTCCTCCCCAGCTCTTTTGGCAATTGGCATTGGTGTATTTAGGGTTCTTTTCGAGGCCTGGCCCCTAACATATGCCATGTCATAGCTCATGAGTTAGTACTATCAGCTATCATCTTCAAATCTACCAATTTCCTATACCCAATATCACCCTTTCTATACCAGCGATTTCCTATACCAGATATGGGGATTGTAGGCCAAATCCTCGCATTTGCCTGTAAATATGAGAACCTTTTTCCTGCAGGGGAGGCTAAATGACCTGATGATAATGATTACTTCTTCCCCCACATACGGGACAGCATCCGCAAGGTCCTAAGTGTTATAACCAGACATTGTATGTTAAACAAGCACCTACACAACAGGTGTTACAGACAGCCCACTGTGCAGGGGGCGCATATAGGCAGAGGAAACACCGCAGCATGTGCTCATGAAGTGCAGCAGCGTAGCAGAACAATGGGCTCAATTTCTCCGATCACCATCGTTGCTGCAGGAGGCCTGTAGCAGCCTAGACGGGCTGCTCGCCTTCTGGGGGGATCTGGGGTGGTTGGAGTTGGAAGATAAACCACAAATCGCGCACAATGGCCCAATCATGAGGCTTAGTGCGGTATTCGATTGCCCTGCAAAACTAACTAACTATTTCTTCCCCCAGGACTGTGTTGAAGAGACCAACCATGATCCTCTGTCGTCGCCCGCTCAGCCCGCATCGCTCGACGCTAAGGTTGAGAAGAAGAAGCCCAATGAAAACGTCTCGTTGACCGACAACAGCTTGCTGGTAAATAAATATACAGTACGGCTAGCACGTAAAACTTTCGAGTTCGAATCGTTTGCGTATTCCAATCGCCTTCAAAAGATTTAGTACGAAAACTAAAACAGCGCCCTTGTGAACGTGTGGTAAACTGAACTTAATATGAGAAATGGTTGCACGAAACTTATTTTAAGAATCAAAATTATTGTCACGTTATCGTTTAATTCGTAGAGTCTTCCCAAGCACTTAGCGCTAAATGATGACAAGGGCCTTGAGATTGAGAAACAACTAAAAAGTGTAAAACAAAAAAAAACAATTTGTTACAAAAAAAAATTTTAATTTCTGAAATGCAGTTTACTAAAACGAAATAATAATTGTATGCAAGGTTCTAATAATTTCGGAAGCTTGTAGCGCAAACAGAAAAAAAAGAAGAATAAATTCCATGCGCGATACAAGCTTTCGAAGTTATTTGAACATTGCATACATTTTTTTTTTCGTTTTAGTACAACTGCATTTCAGAATAAAGCTTGTTTTTAAAAAAGTTTCTTTTTTAATTATTTTAATAGCCTTTCACCATCTCCAAGTAAAGTTCCAATTAGTTACTTTCTTACTACTTAGCATGTAAAATGAAGTATTTTAGCGTTATTCAGAGATGGTGAAATTCGATAAATTGCTTCTTGTGACTTAGAGCAATGAGAATAGCCTTCTTGATACTTTACTCAAGATCATGATGACAACATGAATTTCTCACTAAAGATAAGATCATGACTAGTTTCTTATTAGAGCTCTTATATCGATAACGTTACACGCTATGACGTCGTATTGTGTTAAAGGCGTGTCAGAGTCATTTTTAAGTCCTATGTAAGAGCCTTTAGGTACAGGTTTGTGTATGTGGGCACAAAATGTAATATGCAACTTTCCTCACATACGCCGCGTCCGTACCAGTAAGGCTAGCACGAAAAACTTTCGAGTTTGAATCGTTTGCGTATTCGAATCGCTATCAAAAGATTTAGTACGAAAACTACAACAGAGCTCTTGTAAACGTGTCGTAAAGTGAACTTAGTATGAGAAATGGTTGCACGAAACTTATTTCGAGAATCAAAATTGTCACGTTATCGTTTAATTCGAAGGTTGAGTGTTGAATTTTGTCGAATACGCAAACGATTCGAAGACGAAAGTTGTTCATGCTAGAGGTACTGAGCGGTGATGTGACGTCACGGCTGTCAGGTGTGCAGTTAACTCGATCGTTGTACTGTGCAGGAACAGAACCAGCGAACTATGCTGCCATGCGATATCAGCAGTAACTCCATTTTTTGGCAAAACTATAATAAGCTCTATTTCAGATGAGCTGACAGAAGTATTTTAAATTGGAGTTACTGCTGATATCACTGCACGGCGGTAGTATGACAGTAGTATAGTACCTTATCGTAGTTTTGTATCAACAGGTGGACATATCAGACGCTCTCAGTGAGAAGGAGAAAGTGAAGTTCACAGTTCACACCAAGACAACCCTCCCAGAGTTCCAGAAGCAAGAGTTTGTGGTGGTCCGACAGCATGAGGAGTTCGTCTGGCTCCACGACCGCTATGAGGAGAATGAGCAATACGCTGGTTATATTGTGAGTATACCAATACCCACTGTAGGCATTATAAACGGGACTATTCCCACCTCTCGTGTCCACCGCTGCAACTCCTGTGTAGCCAGGATCTACAGCTTGACCGCCAATAAAAACCTAACTAGTGAAGGCTTTTTAAGGAAGCTCAGAGTTGCAGTGTGCTATGGTATTGCTAATGGTATGGACAGCTGTGAAGAAATGAGGTAATCTGTAACGAAGTCTCATCCTGATCAGTGCTTGCATACAAAAGATTAAATGAGAGCTTAGTGTGAGTTTACATAAAACATCGTAACTAATGAGCGCGTTAAAAAATATATGAAGATTTTAGTTCTTGAAAGTTTCCGCTAGAGACGCTGTACAATCCATCATACGTTTAAATGACACTTTTTTACGCAGTCGCCATCGAATGCGTTTGGCGTAAACTCACACTACGCCCCCTGATGATGATGATTATAGTCTGGTCTGTGAGCACGTATAATTTTGTCCAATGACCCCAAGCTACCCATCCTTATCGCTCGCGCGTAATTATATTGCTGTCGCGACTGTGCGACGGGCGGCCGCAGTGAGTGTGCGAGCGCGACAGCAACTTAATTACGCGCGAGCGATTAGGATGGGTAGCTTGGGGTCATTGTACAAAATTCTACGTACTCACAGACCGGGCTTTAAATTATATTTTTATCGCTTGAGACCACTTTCAACACACATTTTTGAGCTGTCAATACGAGACTTTTCTATTGTAAAATTGTACCTATTCCAACTACACACAGCACATTTTCGCAGATACCGCCTGCGCCCCCTAGGCCGGACTTCGATGCGTCGCGCGAGAAACTTCAGCGATTAGGGGAGGGAGAGGGGGCCCTTACGCGTGAAGAGTTCCTTAAGATGAAGGAGGAGTTGGAGGAGTGAGTAACCTGAATCAGTCTTTATTTGTAAAGCATTAAGATTCAATTCAACTTTTTAAACCAGTACGAAGACGGTGTGGGCAGGCCCCTCACTAGGTGGACCGACGATCTGGTAAAGGTCGCGGGAAGTACTTGGATGCGGGCAGCGCAGGATGGAATGTCGTCGGCGGTCGTGGTGGAAATCCTTGGAGAGGCCTTTCTCCAGCAGTGGTCGTCATTTGGCTGAAACGACAAACCAGTATACCAAAGTTGTTTAATCCCCTTGGGTTTACCATCGAATCAAGAGTGTATTAACTTAAAAATAAAAGCCAGTCTCACTACACGACGGGTTTTATTAAAAACAACGCGATGCAACTCAGCACAGCTCCATCTATTGACAGCTTTGCGAACTAAAATGATTTAGAATCTACGGAACGTAACTAGTTGACTGGACGTTGACATATGGCGTAGTTACATTATGCGGGAAATTGATCGAGACGTATAGTATGAACACACACTTCAGTTAGTATCGCCGTGTGTCGCCCATACTTCAGTGTGCGTGCACACGCTTTGTCTCGGTCAATTTATTTCGTAACTACGCCCTAGACTGCCCACGCACTATAGACTATTTTTTGGAAGACGTAGTATGGGCAGGCCTCTTACTAGGTGGACCGACGATCTGGTAAAGGTCGCGGGAGGAGCCTGGATGCGGGCAGCGCAGGACCGTTCATTGTGGAAAACCTTGGGGGAGTCCTTTGTACAGCAGTGGTCGTCATATTTGGCTGAAACAAACGATAGATCAAAATCTAAAATGTTATAACCTTTTTTTCTTATCCTCTTTTCCAGCGAATATCTAGCAACCTTCAAGAAGACTGTAGCAATGCACGAAGTGTTCCTGCAACGTTTAGCGGCACACCCTGTATTCAGGAGCGATTCCCATCTCCGAGTCTTCCTGGAATATGAACAGGATCTGTGCGCGAAGCCGCGAGGAAAGATGGACCTTATTGGTGGACTGGTAAGATACAGATGATTTTTTGGCACTTACAGGTTTGTTAGGTTCAAAGTTGGATGCAACTTCCTTCACCTCTTCCTTCTGGGTTGGGTCTGTGCGCGAGACTGCGTGGCAAGATGGACCTAATTGGCGGTCTGGTAAGGCATAGATTTGCTTGGCACTTTCAAGTTTGTTAAGTTCAAAGTTGAATGCGTCATCAATGGGCGAATGAACAATATCTAAGTGAATCCGCAAGCCGCGCGGCAAGATGGACCTTATTGGCGGACTGGTAAGGCATAGATTTGCTTGGCACTTTCAATTTTGTTAGGTTCAAAAGTCGTAAGGCCACGTACCGGAAAGCGCAGCGTAGGATGTTCACCCACTAGGTGGACTGGCGACCTTAGGAAGGCAGCAGGAAGGTGCTGGATGCAGGCCGCTACGAACTGGTCAGTATGTAAATCATTGGGGGAGGCCTTTGGGCAGCAGTGGACGTCCTGCGGCTGAAATAATGATAAAAGTTCAAAGTTTAATGCGACTCTCTGGGTGTTTTGGGGTAATAATCAGAGTCTGGTGGCGAGCACTGGCGCCATCTGTAATAGCTTTGCGTACCGCCATTGCAAAAGATGGCGGAATTACAACAAAACTTCGAAATTTTACTGTTTAGGCATTTCCTCCGCCATTTGGCACTTCAGCTATTGTCAAATATTATAGGTGTCAAACAGGATACGTTCTGAATTTCATAATGCTATTTTATTGATAAGTTATGACAATTTTTTACTAGCGGTACGAAGTTCGCCGGGACAGCTCGTCTCTAATATCTTTATCTTTCTCCCAGATGCGTTCCATGACGACGACGACCGATGAGATATACTTAGGAGCGACGGTCCGTGACGTCAACGACTTTTTCGAGCAAGAGACTGCGTTCCTTCAAGAATATTATTCGCATCTTCGCGACGCCGTGGCGCGTGTCGACCGAATGACCTCCAAACACAAAGGTACATGACTTCAGAGCACAGATCTAACTTCCAAGCACAGATTTTTGCCTTTCAAGCACAGGTTTGTAACTTTCAAACACAAGTATGTAAATTCCGAGCACAGGTATGAAACTTCCGAGCACAGGTCTGCGTGTGCTGTGACCTACTAGCACAGATGCCCGGTTAATATGACAGATGTACTTGGGTGCGACTGTGAATGACTTCTTTGAACAAGAGACTGCGTTCCTTCAAGAATTATACTACTCACACCTGCGCGATGATGTGGCGCGCGTTGACCGAATGACATCCAAGCACAAAGGTGAGTGACGTGTAAGGACAGCTGTGTGACTTCAGAGCACAGGCCTAACTTCCAAGCACAGGTTTGTGACTTCCGAGCACAGGTCTGTATGTGCTGTGACCGAATTTGCGCGTTGACCGAATGATCTCCAAACACAAAGGTTCTTTGACTTCAAAGCAAAGTTGTTCACAGGTCTGTGACTTCTGAGCACAGTTTTGGGACCATGGAGCATAGGTCCTGCAGGAGTACTATTCGACGCATTGCGATGCGATCCGAGAATCCTACTTCCTACTAATATTATAAATGCGAAAGTTTGTGTGGATGTCTGGATGTCTAGATGTCTAGATGTTTGTTACTCTTTCACGCAAAAACTACTGAACAGATTTTGTTGAAACTTTACAGTATTATTGTTTGTAACCCAGATTAACATATAGGCTATAATTTATGCCGATCTGTGACACTAAATTTCACGCGGGTGAAGCCGCGGGCAAAAGTTAGTTTTAGATAAGACAGTTTAAAAAAGATATCCCTTAGGCAGTTTCCTCATATAGCAGGGTAATGCGAGTACAATCCAAAATAATATTTTAGCATGTAGTAAATGATAAGAAATGTTTCACTTAGGAAAAACATTTCAACATATTTATGTTGTAATAACAATATTTTTGTGACATTCCGCAGAAGTGGCAGACGCTCACATCAAGTTATCCTCGTGCATCACACAGTTGGCCACACGTGAACAGCCGCCCACTGAACGTTTCCTAACCAGAGCCGCCGACACGTTTGACAAGTGCCGGGTAAGTGGCCATCATCATCGTCAACGTCATCATTTGGTAAAGCCTGGTCCGTGAGCACGTAGAATTTTGTCCAATGACCCCAAGCTACCCATCCTTATCGCTCGCGCGTAATTATATTGCTGTCGCGCTCGCACGCTCACTGCGGGCGCCCGTCGCACAGACAGCAATATAATTACGCGCGATAAGGATGGGTAGCTTGGGGTCATTGGACAAAATTCAACGTGCTCACGGACCAGGCTTTAGTCCACTGCAGACGTATGCTTCTCTTAAGAACCTTTAATAATAATCATCAACTATTATAGCAGTTGAGAGTACGTAACATTCCCACATGAACCCTTTACAATCATCATCGTCATTTTCATTATCATTGCTGGCCGTTAAGCTCCCAAGGACCATTTCACCATCATCTTATGATAATTTTAGAAGAATTTCTATGGAAGACATGAATTCTTAACAATCATCATCACCATCATAATTTTAGTTTACAGCAGTGTAATGCTAGTCTGCTGGGACAAGTACCTACCTTGTAAAATCATCATTGTTTAATTATTCTCAGTACTATAATAATTTAGTTTAACAAAAATAAATAGATAATTATTATTTTTAAACGCACTGCATCCCATCCGCATCTGTGAAACCTCCATACTAATTCTACTGCTTCTTTGGACCTGTATAATCTTACTTTATTAATAAATCTTATTTCCTACGCCAGAAAATCGAAGGTCGCATGGCGTCTGACCAAGACCTGAAATTGGCCGACACTCTGCGTTACTACATGCGAGATGCGCACGCGGCGAAAGCTGTGCTGGTTAGAAGGCTGAGGTAAGTTGTTTTCACTCTTATGTGGTTGTAATTAGAGCTATATTGCTATAAAAATATACTGGTCATCACAAAAATCGGCCCACCTACGTTTTACAGGAAAACTCTTTTCTACTGACACAATCATGGTGCCCCAACAATATTGGTGTTATTTGAAAGCCCAATAAATATCCTTAAAGAAAAACACATTTAATTTCTTAATAAACGATTAACATAAACGCGATATACAATAAATGTGATGTGACTTGAAAAAAGACCTCACTTTGGGCACACCTCTGGGATCAATTAGACCAATTTTTATGATTGTAAAACCAAATAATGATCTCACGTGTCCTCTTCAACAGATGGATAGCGATTAATCCCAACTTAACAGTTTTATAGCCATAAAAGTTGGTTCAAGCGTAACTACCTATTTTTTGAAGAAGTGACTCTGGATCCTTCTAAAGACACATTTTTGGGGTAAAAACGTTTCCTCTAATGAAATGAAGATTAGAACTAGGCTTTCAAATGGAACCAATGTTGGTGGGAAGTGGGGATGCATACGTTTGATAAGTGCTTGTCGCGGGAGGTGCGATTTATTTGATGCAGAGTGTATACTACCACAACTTCAGGACAATAAATGGGCCAGTGCTGAGGAGAAGCAGCCCAAAATATAAAATAAAAAATAGCTAAAATAATCCGCAAGCGAATAGGGATGATGACTAGGTAATGAAATCGAAATTCTATTTAGTCCGTCAGACAGATAATTAGAAAATATTAGACCCATATTTTTTTCCATAATCGAATAATTACAGTATTATATTGAGTTGAAATGTCGCGTGACGTCACAAATGATTAACATATACCATAAATGTGACTTGAAAAAAGACCTCACTTTAGGCTCGCCTCTGGGATCAATTAGACCAATTTTTATGGTTATAAAACCAAACAATGATCTCGCGTGTCCTCTTTAACAGATGGATAGCGATTAATCCCAACTTAACAGTTTTATAGCCATAAAAGTTGGCTCAAGCGTAACTACCTATTTTTTGAAGAAGTGACTCTGGATTCTTCTACAGACACATTTTTGGGGTAAAAACCTTTCCTTTGAAATGAAGTTTAGAACTAGGCTTTTAAATGGTACCAATATTGGTTGTAAGTGGGGATGCATACATTTGAAAGTGCTTATCGCGGGAGGGTCGATTTTTGTGATGACCAGTGTATATGGTCATATGTGCTGTCAGCGACAAATAGTTCGTGACACCCAAAGTGGCCAAAAAGTTCGCAATGACGTGTCTTTGTTACAATAGACAAAATTTAAATTATTTGTCCGTCAGACAGATAATTAGAAAATATTAGACTCGCATTTTTTATTTTCTTTCATAATTAAATAATAACAGTGCTTCATCGAGTTGAAATGGCGCGTTACGTAACGCCTATCTAGATTTTTTACTCAAAAGTGACGTCACGCGACATTTCAACTCAATATAATACTGTAATTATTCAATTATGAAAAAAAATATCGTCGCTTGCCTCTCTAACTGACATTTAGCAAAATTTTCAGGCGATTAGACAGATCGATTCGTCTTGCAAAATTGATTAAGATGGTGTAGATAACTCAGTTTCGAAAAAAATGTCAGATACGTCAGTTAGAGAGGCAAGCGACGATATATGTGTCCAATATTTTTTTATTATCTTTCTGACGGACTAAATATAATTTCGATTTCATTACCCAGTCATCATCCCAATTGGAATAAGGTTGTGTTGTCAACTTTTTGGCCAACTTTTTGGGTGTCACGAACTATTTGACGCCGACTATATGAAGAATATGTATATCCATCTACACTAAATGAATTTGGTGTGTGAACAACTTCATGTAAGTGATTCCATATTTTTGCTTGCGAGTGAGAGTTGGATCACTACATGCCTATCGAACTTATCAATAGATCATAATTAAAACAAGCAAATTAGGGTTGTGGGCATGCCCACAGTGCCCACAACGGTGGATCCGCGCCTGATAAAATCTACTGTTTACTAACGAAACCCTGGGTGATCTACCACTTACATCATCCTTCATCCTTTCAGCCATAGGACGTCCACTGCTGAACATAGGCCTCCCCCAATGCTTTCCATGTTGATCGATTGGCAGCGGTCTGCGTCCAGCGCTTCCCTGCTACCTTTACGATGTCGTCGGTCCACCTTGTAGGTGGACGTCCCACGCTGCGTTTTCCGGTACGCGGCCTCCATTCCAGAACCTTTCTGCCCCATCGGCCGTCAATTCTGCGTACTATGTGCCCTGCCCATTGCCACTTCAGCTTGCTAATCCGTCGGGCTATGTCAGCGACTTTGGTTCGTTTACGGATCTCCTCATTTCTGATTCGATCTCGCAAAGAAACACCAAGCATAGCCCTCTCCATAGCACGCTGTGCAACTTTGAGCTTCTGTATAAGGCCTATAGTGAGAGGCCACGTTTCCGAGCCATAAGTTATCACTGGTAACACACATTGGTTATACACTCTAGTCTTCAGGCATTGAGGTATTTTGGACGAAAAGATGTTGCGTAGTTTCCCGAACGCTGCCCAGCCGAGTTGGATTCGACGATTGACCTCCTTCTCGAAATTGGACCTACCTAGCTGGATCGTTTGTCCGAGGTAGACATACTTGTCGACAATCTCGAGAATTGAGCTCCCAACTGAAACTGGGTAGGACCACTTACATACTTCTTGAAATCTCAAATGAAACAGCATAGTTTAGTACACAATCAAGTAGTACTTTTTGCCTTGCCACGATCGACTGGACTAATAGTCGCGATCGACCGGTTGGCCACCCTTGATCTAGGCTATATTAATCTAAGTAGATGTATAGATTTCACTTTGGAATGTATTTTCAGATGCCTAGCTGCGTACGAAGCCGCCAATAGGAACTTGGAAAAAGCCAGAGCGAAGAACAAAGATGTACACGCTGTAAGTTATACAATTACATCTTATTAGTTTGCTAGTTTATCTGATGGATAAGTTCCTGATAAACTACCAGGGGCTATCTTCAAGTGTAAGAGACCTGTTAAAAAATGTAGTTTATCAGACAGATAAGTTTCTGATATACTGTCAGGGACTTTGTCTGGAGTAAATGAACTGACCCTTTAGCTCGGTTTCCACCAAAGCGGTTCTCTCCGCTTTGGTGAAAAGTGGGCTTAAATTTTTAAGTTTTCGTAAATAATTTGTTCTTTTTAACACGTGTTGTGTAAATTTTGTGTGTAACACGCGTCTTTTTGTCCCGCACCCAGCCGATGGAGGTACAAGAGGTAATGCACGCTTTTTTAATACGTTGTAGCTTATTTAAGAAATCTCTCGTTCCCACCGCTGTGACTCCTGTGTAGCCAGGATCTACAGTTTGACCGCCAATAACCCAACCAGTGAAGGCCAAGTTAGTCCCGGGGGAAAGTTAAACTGTCATTGGGCCCGCAACGAAATAGTTGAAAATAGGTGTTCCAAGTTGTTATGAATTTTGTTTGTTATGTACGGACGACAGCCATCAAGCTAAATACTGTGGAAACGCATCTAAAGTCCGGTCGCTGAGCAGATGGAATTTGTACTATGACTCCAAGCTACCGATTCTTATCGCTCGCGCGTAATTATATTGCTGTCGCGACTGCGACGGGCGCCCGCAGTGAGTGAGCGACCGTGACAGCAATATAATTACGCGCGAGCGATAGGGATACGTAGCTCGGGGTCATTGTACGAAATTCTATCTGCTCGGCAACCGGACTTTAGTTGTAATAGGGGCGATATTGCTATAAAAATGTATGATGCTGTCGACTGTACGTACCATGTGGGTATACAGTCATACCAATAAATAACTATCGCAATTATTTTTCCACTTTTGTAGTCAATATTTTTGTCTATTTCATTACTCCAACGTTGAACACTCTTTTCAAAACGCCAATTTCATACAGCATAAGCCAATTACACTGGCAGTTATAGTTTATGTTGGTGGGCTGTACCGTTTCCGATGTGATTGCAGGCGGAGCAGCAACAGGCGGACGCGTGCGCGCGATTCGAGCAACTATCGGCGCGCGCGCGCGAAGAATTGCTCGACTTTCGTGCAAGGCGCGTGGCCGCATTCAGGAAGAGGTAATTTGGACCTTATTCATCATCATCATCATCATCTCAGCCACAGGACGTCCACTGCTGAACATAGGTGGCCTCCCCCAATGCTTTCCATGTTGCCCGGTTGGTAGCGGCCTGCGTCCAGCACCTGCTACCTTTATGATGTCTTCGGTCCACCTTGTGGGTGGACGTCCCACGCTACGTACGGTTTTTCGGTACGCGGCCTCCACTCCAGAACCTTGCTGCCCCATCGGCACCTTATTCCATTGTCTTAATGTCCAAAATTGATACTAATCGGAAGATAAGGTCTAAAACTTTTTTTAAACTAGCCTATTACAAAATAGGCTAGTTTAAAAAAAGTTTTAGACCGTCAATTATATTATGAAAAAACTTTGGACACGTATATTTTTATTTTTCAATCAAACAAGTAATTACGAAGTTATGATGCGCTGAAGTTCCGAGTGCGTGACGTCACAACGTGCTGCACCTTTAAGCGCGCTTTGATGTCACGCGCCTCTCATTTTAACTTTGGCGCGCTTTATCTCTTTCAATTTTACTTTTTGAAAAGTAAAAAATACGTGTCTAGTATTTTTTGATAAGTTAACCGACGGAGTAATTCAAACTTTATTTTTTAACCAGGAAATATCCCTATAAGTGTCCCTTCATAATTAGTGCTACCAGTGGTCAAAATTGAATAAAATATTTACCCGTTCGCGCTAAGTTTGCCGGTCCGTGGAATGCGCGTCCCCTCCCCCAACCGCGATTAAACGCAATTAATGTGTCTTATTTTACGCAAATACACATTTTTTATCAATAATAAATAAATAAAAAATATTTAAAATATATTACTTACGAGCAAAAGTATGGAATCACCCACTTGTGTTTTGTTCTTGGCGATTTTAAGAACTGAATTATTTTTTAAGTATCTGTGGTATCAATGTAAAGTTTATAATATTACCTTTAAAATGGTACCATTTTTATTTGTCTTCTATAAGTAATTTAGTTTTTGTGATCGCTCGAAACAAATAGGGTGGTTCTATATTTTTGCTCGCGAGTGTAGTTTGTTATAGTTATAAACGCTTCCCTTCGAGTGACGTCATATCGCCAGCGGCAAACTTAAAGCGAACGGATAGTAGATTTTGAAAACCTTATTTTTTCCACAGCCTTATAGATCTCGCGGAGTTAGAAATCAAACACGCACGCGCTCAGCAAGAGTTGTTCAGGAAATCGCTGCAAGTGCTCAAGGAATGCCAATAATGTTACGTCATCGACAGCCCAACGCTGGGCATGTGGGCATAAAGTTTTCCCATCACCAACGCTGCGGTAAGACTGTGGTTTCCTATAAACGCCGAAAGCCGCGTTACTATAGAAATATAGTCAGTGTCGAATAATAGACATCCATCTTAGACAGCATCTCACTTAACATCAGGTGCGATTTCTGTCAAATACCTGCCTTTTTCTGCATAAAAAAAAAATAGTCCTGTCACCAAAAGTGGCCAAAAAGTTGACAACACAACCTTATTCCAATGAGGGCTATCGTTTTTATACTTAACAGTTGGCACCCCTGGCGATTGACAGGACCTTACTCTACAGTGGCGCCATCTTGATGAGTGCAAATGCGATAGTCCTCCTACCACTTTAGCACTCAAAAGTTGGTGCCACTGTCTTCGCTACTAGCAAGTGACAGGAGGACCTTACTCTACAGTGGCGCTAACTGGTGAGCGCTAAAACGATAGCCCTCATTGCAACAAACCCCCGTATTCACCACAAATCGAACGCACAGCGTTGAATAGAGCTCTCTGATTGGTTCGTGTGTCACCCTGTGCGACCACGCGCACTGTGAGACCTCACAGTAATGTTTGTGAATACATGCGAAAGACGTGTTGCGAACTTTTCGGCTACTTTGGGTGTCAGGAACTATTTGACGCTAAAAAATAGTTTGATTTTGGTATTTTTTCATGATTAAAGTTGAACAGGTTAAACGAACTGAATTTGACATTTATTTAGTTTTAAATGTTCTTATGTATCTTCAAAATGTACATAAACTATTTGGTATTTAACGTGTATTATTATAAACATTTGACTATAATAATAATGTTTATAAATGTAGTTATTTTTAAAGAGCGTTAGTTAGATAATATAATTTATACCACAGTCTCTTTAGTCTCATGTATAAATTTTAATCACAGCAGTTGCTAGATTTCACAAATTATATAGGCCTCGTGCATAACTTATCAGCGCCTGAGGCACGGGAGGGTGATTTTTGTTACGTCAAATGTCAGCGAGACTTCAAATTTGTATGCTCTGTCACGTCATAATATGTCAATGTCAACCCTCCCGTGGCTCCCATACCTCGGGCACTGACCTAGTTAAACTTATAGTTAAAAACCTTTTTTATTTATTTAATGAATTATAAACTTCTCATAACTATTTACAATCTTTTTTGTAAATATAGGTTTGTTTTAAATTGGACTATTGCTGTATAAATAAAAAGTTAGTACCACATTATAATTAGAAGTCCTTCGTTTTCTCTGTCTGTATATTAGAAAGAGCTAGTAATATTTGACAGTACTTGGTTATACAGGGTGGAAACGATAAGTGATCTCACTCGATTATTTCTAAACTACACAAGATATCGAAAAACTGGTTATTGATCCTGAAAGAGCTTCACGAGATCTTTCAAACGGTATCAATAATAGTAGGTTCACTTTTAGGTCAGTAACCAATTTTTTGATATCTTGTTATAGTATAGAAATAATCGAGTCAGATCACTTATCGTTTCCACCCTGTATAAGCATTAAAACTTATGCCAAATCACAGATTTTACTATCGCGAAAAAAATTGTTCGTTGTTTTGAATTCTTCAGTGTATTTCGTAATAGACTTATTTCTAGAAAATGTTATAACATTCTTAGTATAGTCTGGTCTGTGAGAACGTACACTCACTGCGGGCGCCCGTCGCACAGTCGCGACAGCAACATAATTACGCGCGAGCGATAAGGATGGGTAGCTTGGGGTCATTGGACAAAATTCTACGTGCTCACGGACCGGGCTTTAGACATAAATATGTAGTTGTATGTATTTGTTGTCATTTGTATGTGTATGGGTGCAATAAAATGTATTTTCATGGTAATAAGACGGTCACCTGTTTTTTTATGTAGGTACCTTTTCCTTTACGTGTACAGTTAGGCCCAGAACAGACGGTGAAACGCAACTGCAACGAAAGTGCAACTTTCTGATGATTCTGATGAATGAAACTGAAACTGAAAGTTTCAAACTGGTCGCGTCGTGTGTGGTCTCTCAACGGACGCTATGGCAGAAACTTATATGCAACTCAAAAGTAACTAGTAGTTGCAGTTTCGTTGCAGTTGCGTTTCATCGTCTGTTCTGGGCCTTATAGGTCATTTTCAGTGCCTGAGGTCTGGGAGCGGCATGGGAGGGTGTTTTTGTGACGTCAGACATCAGCGAGACTTCAGATTTGTATGCTCTGTCACGTCATATGTCAATGTCACCCCTCCCGTGCCAAATAGTTCGTGACATCCAAAGTGGTCAAAAAGTTGACAACACAACCTTATTCCAATGAGGGTTTTCGCGATTGAAAAATCCGCCAGATGGCAATACGTAGACGCGAGGTCCAAATGCTGGATGATTGGTTATTTTTGACATGACATTGACAGATATGTCAAAATCCACCAATCACGCAGCAGTCAGACCCCACATCCACGTCCCGCCATCTAGCGGATCTTTCATTCGCGAAAACCCTCATTGTAACAAAGACGTGTTGCGAACTTTTTGGCTACTTTGGGTATCACGAACTATTTGGCGCTGACTACACAAAGGACTACAAGCTATGTAGCATATAATGTAGATTTTACACGTAAAAAGGTATTTTTGCTGGATACAAGACGCTATTGATCGTTTCTTCCACAAAGACGCGCCCCACCATTCTTCCGCTAACGTTTGAGTGTTATCGGTACACGCGAATGCTCCATGAGTGCACACGCACACTACAGTAATGCCTTACGGCTTGCTCGGACCACACTCCCCGCGCCCGCGCGACCGGGACCACACATTGCTGGGGCGCGCCCGAGTGGATGAAACGATCTATACCAACCGGTAATTATGGAAAGGATTGTTTAGCAGTGGACGTCCTATGGCTGAAATGATGATGAGGTATTTTATGAATCGTTTTCGAACGTCTTCTTACTATGTAAATACTCAATGTTAGTAATGCAGGTTCTATGTTAGATTTATACTTATTTAAATAATATTCTTACCGTAAGCTTCGTATGTGGACCAAAAACTATTTTTGTTAAACTGAATTCAATTGAAATAACGCAAAATCGCAGAAAAAGTTAACATTTCAACAACAAAAGTAAAATAATTTAGATTTCGCGTTAATTCGATCACATTTTATATTCATTTGTTAATATGTTTTTACAAACCGTCAGAACATTTGAAAGAACGATTCAACAAGTTAAAAATAAGTAAAAATACCTTCTACAACCCGATTTAAGCTAACTGAGCACCTCGTTGGAATGCGACTCTCACTCGCACACCTCCCCGCGTTCGCCCTGTCCGTACCAGAGCGGCGATGTGACGTCACAGCAGCCAAGTGCGCAGTTAAACAAATTCAAATTTTAACACAAACTAATAAAATTGAAATTCGTATTACTTTTTAGGAGGTATTGATACTTATTGGTTTGTGCATTTCGTAAACAACTCATGAATTTAAAACTGTAAAGTCGTTTTCTTCTTCGTCTAGTTTTATACTTTGTTCGTTAATTTGCTTTAAGCTTTGAATTTTGTCTAAAAGACTGTGCTTTCGTTCGTTTTTGTAAAGAGCACTTGTTTTGGCTATGTAATTGAGTCGCAGTCACATGTGTGAAATAAGGCCCGGTCTCCACCAAAACGGAGCCGAGCGGAGAAGTGTGTTGATTAACCAATCAGATTTCATTATTTCCACTTCTCGTCTCCGCTCAACCGCCACTGTCAAATTAACGCTCGCACACTTACTGCGGGCGCGCGTCACACAGTCGCGACAGCAATATAATTACGCGCGAGCGATAAGGATGGGTAGCTTGGGGTCATTGGACAAAATTCTACGTACGCACCAGGCTTTAGAAAAAATTGACGGCCCGACAGTTCTCCGCTCCGCTTTGGTGGAAACCGGGACTAAGTATTTTGTTAAAATGCCCGTTTCTGTTTTGTGACTGCTGTGGATGTAAAATATATCATGTAAGCAAAATGTTATTTTTAAATGTAAGAAAATATATTATATGCTATTGGTACATTGTTTTTTTATCCATAAAACTATGGACAGATTAGATTTTAATATTTTACCAATAACAGCCTGGAACCAATTTTTTTTAGGGTAGATCCACATTTGGGTGTCATAAAAAGCCCAAAGTTGCACACATGTTCATAAAATGTCATGCTTATTAGCATGTATAAAACAAGCATGCTCCAACTACTCGAAATGAGCATGCTTATATTTTAGCAATTGCTCAATAGTGACATGCTTTCTTGACAATAACTGTAAATCAACAAATAAAACACAGACGTACCAAAAAAAGATTTATTTAACAAAATAAATACCGGTAGAATACCCCAAATATAATGCCTAAGTCTAGTCAACAATATCGAGAACCAATCGCTACATTTGCGATTATTCGAGTCACGAATTCTAAATCGAGTTTTGCTTTAATGCATCTGTCACGTGCGTTGTCATCAGTGTCGGTAGACAATTTAAGGTTTACCATCGAGTTTTCTTCGCCATCCCTTAAAAAAATATGTACGCAATTTTATCGAACCGAGTTCGAAACAGAATGTCGTTTTGTCTACATGCTATAAATAATAATGCCCACAAAGTGTTATTTTTACAAGAATAGTATTCTAACTAAAGGCGCTTTCTCACTAAGAACATGCGACTGTAATGTAAAATCATACTTGAGCATTACACTAGTGAGCCGAGAATTACAGAAAATCGACGAGTCAATTCTCATATTCGAATCTTAGGTTGTTTGTTACATACGACCGTTCTAGTGAGTGAGGACCTTAATGCTAGAGAAATACCGACAAAAATTGACGATCTGTGTAATAATAATTACATTGTACATTGATGCAAAGAATTTAACAATAAACAAATTAAACTGGTATAATTCACTCATTTTGGCTTAATGAACATACAATTAAAATACAAACAAGAAAAATAATTGTAGCGTTCTTGAAGAAAAATAATTTGTTTCATAATTGTTTTAAAATTAACGAAATAAATATAGTTTTTTTAAATATAGTTCTGTAATATGACAGAACATTAGGGTTCGCACAGATTAGTGTAATATCGGCGCGTTTTAGAATACAATTAAACATTTAATTTCACAATAGTTCTTGCCACTCGCGAAGGCGAGTGAGCTTTACTTGTGTGTGTACGTGTACACGCACATAACGATAGTGTAATGTCTATCAAATTTTTTGAACAACGAACAGTAGCGAGCCACCTCACGTGTGAAGCTCACTCGCCTTCGTGAATTGCAACAACTATAGGGATAGGGCTTTCTCGAATAATCAAAATTATTAGCCTTAATGACACAAAGTATAAAAACGAATGTCACATAATTTACTAAAACATGACATGATAGAACAAATAGAAAAATATCGTGAAAAATATCATTATTATTTGAGCTCATATTATTCTGAGAATAAAATATAGAGTTTAATTTAATTATTCCTACAGAATAGTCATATTTATTGAACCAAACATTTAAAATGTTAATTCATACTTTTTATAAACATTATTTTTAAGTTGACATAAATACTTTATGTTTTGCTATACAACCCGGTGGAGTTAACTGCGCTAGCAGCCGTGACGTCACTTCGCCGCACTGGTACGGACGGGCCGAACGCGGGGAAAGGTAGCAGGAAGGCGCTGGACGCAGGCCGCTACCAACCGGGCAACATGGAAAGCATTGGGGGAGGCCTATGTTCAGCAGTGGACGTCCTATGGCTGAGATGATGATGATGATGAATGCAAGTGAATGGAGGGAGAGTCGAATTCCATCGAGGTACGCAGTTAGCTTGATCGGATTGCAAATTAATAATTGCATTATATTTATACAAAGGCATAACTTTAACGTTTCATAAAATGCATTAATATGATATAGAAGATAAAAGCATAGGTACAACAGGAGAAAATATTGCAATATTGAAAATATGTATAATAAATAATCTATAGTTAGTTGTCTAATGCCCGTTTTCACCATCAATCCCTAATTTTTAAGTGACCCCTATGTAATCAAAATTCCTGTATAAGTGTCACTTAAAAATTAGGAATTGACGGTTAAAACAGGTATAAGACTCCATCCATGATTGCCTCTCGTGAGATATGAACCAACGACCTTTTGCTCCTTTTTTAACTACTGCGCTAAAGAGTTATTTCATTGCTAAACATGTCATTTAAATAATAATTACTTAGTCGAAGATTACATTTTGAGCCACAGTTTTAATTGATACAAATTCATTATACGAGCAAAGGGTAAAATATGTATTTGAAATAATTGAATGAATTGATACTAGAATTTTGAATGTATTTTTTAATACGCTTCAAATTCATTGTTACACACGAATGCGTAGGTGAGTGAGCACCTTTACAGGTATAGTTCGTTTCATCCACTCGGGCGCGCCCCAGCAATGTGTGGTCCCGGTCGCGCGGGGTGCGGGGAGTGTGGTCCGAGCAAGCCGTAAGGCATTACTGTAGTGTGCGTGTGCACTCATGGAGCATTTAGCGTGTACCGATAACACTCAAACATTATCAGAAAAATGGTGGGGCGCGTCCGAGTGGATGAAACGATAGGTACTAAACTAGTGGTACTTTACACACAAAGGGATTATATTAGCACCATAGCTACACTATTATTATTATATGAGTTACAACAGATCTCGAATACCCGACTTGGTTTTTGCATTGAAATTCAATAATTTGCCTGAGGGCTTAATGTGAGTTTATATCAAACGTCGTGACTATAGTCTGGTCTGCGAGCTCGAGCACGTAGAATTTTGTCCAATGACCCCAAGCTACCCATCCTTATCGCTCGCGCGTAATTATATTGCTGTCGCGACTGTGCGACGGGCGCCCGCAGTGAGTGTACGTGCTCACAGAACGGGCTTTAGTGAGCGCGTTAAAAAAAATATGAAAATATATATTTAGTTCTTGAAAGATTCCGCTAGGGGCGCTGTACAATCCGTCTTACGTTTAGTGTCATTTTTTTACGCGTTCACTAGTGACGACGTTTGAAGTAAACTCACACTTATGCCTGTTTTCACCATCAATCTCTAATTTTTAAATGACCCCTATGAAAAACAAAATTCTTGTTTTATGTTACCATATGGGTCACTTAAAAATTACTCTGTATTAAGGCACCGTCTGGCCAGGGTGGAAAGTGTAGGCCAAATCCTCCATTTGCCTTGTAAATTAGAGGGTCGTGCTAATGCAGTGGACTAAATGACCTAATATTGACGGCGTTTACCCGTGGTCCCCCCAACATGTCCCCCTGGTGGGTCCACGGGTAATTTTTTTTACCCGTTGTCCCACCGTTCTGAACAGTTTTTGCCAGTGGGTCTACGGGTAATTTATTTTAACCATAGTCCCACCGCACAGTGGTAAACGTTGCATGTCACCTAGGTATAATTATAAAAAAATCTATAATTATTAATTAACCATAGATTTATAAGACTTATTCTTAAGTTCATACATATTTATTTGAGAATAAAGGATACATCGAAATTAATAATTGCAAGAACATTTTTTATATGATTATATCTTCACATCACACAATGTGGGTTAAAGTCACTCATACTCGGCGTTTGATATTTCATGCCAGACATCAGTCCACTTATACAATGTGTCCGGGCTTGTAGTGATCAAACTTTAAGGGCATAATCTATGGACAATTTTATCGATGAAAATATACTTTTATACTTCTTTTTAAGTTATTTTCCAACACAAGAAAAACCAGGTCGTTAAGGTATGTTTTATTTGGTTACTATGGAAACCGCTGGGAAGGGGTATCTTTGTTCAACAATTACGTCGAAACTAATAAACGTAGACTAATAAAACATTCGTTTTGTAGAATAGCTCAAATCCTAATAATACAATGCAAATAAAACATAAAGAATATGAGGTGACATGCAACGTTTACCACTGTGCGGTGGGACTATGGTTAAAATAAATTACCCGTAGACCCACTGGCAAAAACTGTTCAGAACGGTGGGACAACGGGTAAAAAAAATTACCCATGGACCCACCAGGGGGACATGTTGGGGGGACCACGGGTAAACGCCGAATATTGACAGCACAGTAAGCTAACTTTAAGCCTATTCGCAGACCACCGATTTTTAGTTGGCCGATAGTTGAGTCGGGCTGTTGATCAGTATGGAGATGTATGAAAGTGCGCACATTACACCGATTTGTTGTCGGCCGTTTCTTCATACAAATTAGAATCGGGCCCAACTATCGGCCAACTAAAAGTCCGTGGTCTGCGCCTGGGCTAAGAAGGTTTTTTCCAAAATATGATTTCGTCAGTGCATATAAATTGTCATATCTTTAGATCTTCGTCTTTTTACCTGACTGCGCCAGGATTTCTGTTTTTCGAGTGTATGCATGTATATTTCTTTGGCACGCTCTGTAGCCTAAATAACTTGATAGATTTTATTTCGCGCCGTGATAAAATTTTATCGATGATTTTAGACGACAAAAGTATGGGCTTATCGATATCGATAAAAAGCTTATAGCGGTGCGCATCTTAGGTCTACAGGCTTTAGATTCGTCATAATAGTGAAAGTGACAATGATTATATCAAAAATTCTTTTCAGCTTGAAAATTTTAAGTCAATTTTCCTAAGCAGTCGGTTTAGTTTATTTCTTTTTTATTTACCAGTGACAGAAATACGAAGGCTGAGTTGCACCACCTACTTAGACCGTAACTTTAACGATAACCGGTGTTTTTGTATGGACTTTGACAGATTTTTGACGTTGTCAAAGTTAAAGTAAGATGGTGAAACCCAGCCTAAACCTGTATTTGTAAGTGCCAATCATTTTAAATGTCATTTCAGTACAAAATACAATCATGTTTGTTTACAACAAAACTTTGTTTCAGAGGAATGTATTTCATATCAATATTTCCCATTAAGGTCATAGCAGACTTGTCAACTCGGAAAGGGATCAACACCGTATCGCCTTTCGCGAGCTGTTAACCGCGAGGCGTTTACGTTACGGTGCGGATAAGTGTGCGTTGCAGTATGGAGTTTCATACAAATACTGACCGCCTCGAGTTGATACGGTTACGATCCGTTTCCGGGTCGATAAGTGTGCGACATCCTCCCGTTATATAACAATCTACATTAAGCGACAGTCGCTTTCGTCAAATACCTATATACAGCTACGGTGGTCTATCCCCATACCCATTTACTTGACACTACGATTCTGAAAAGAATAAAGGTATATTTTAAAACTACGACGTAATTATTTTTGTATATTATATTACTACAAAATGTTTACCTTAACATGCCTAAACACGAATTTACGAAATTTAGATTTATGCCCATTTTCACCATCAATCCCTAATTTTTAAGTGAGCTCTATGGTAACACATGACAGGAAATTTGTTTTTATAGGGGTCACTTAAAAATTAGGGATTGATGGTGAAAACGGGCATTATCTAAAGTACTTATAGCAAAAATAAAATTGACGGGAATAAAATAAAATTTTAAGAGCTTGAAGATCATGGATCAGAAAATGTTAACATTCAGTTTTTAAATTAATGAACTGACTTTAACAATAAAGTTAAAAAGTTTCTATTTTGGTCATCATGATACATTGTAATAACTGTAATAAGTATAAAAAGTGGTAAATATTACATATTTTAATGAAATGATTATGTTAAAAATAAAAATATCATACCTTTATATCTACTGTAGCTATGTACTGTTCTTTTGCGTTGATTTTTGGTCGTCAACCTTGTCTGACGGGTCCTGGGGAAAACGACACAAATACCGTAAAAAAGAATATTGTGTACTATGAGTAATTAAATCCATAAACCAATAGGTCCATATGGCTAATAACTGAACTTCCGTTTCATTTTTTTTTTTGGGAGTTTAATGAATGACAGTTCCAATTTCTCAAAAAGTAAAAAAATCTTAAAAAAGTCAAATGCCTCAAGTGGGTATTGAAACTCCCTTTGGTTTACCGATTCAATGAGGGTTTTCACGAATGAAAAATCCGCCAGATGGCAATACGTAGACGCGAGGTCCAAATGCTGCATGATTGGTTATTTTTGACATGACATTGACAGATATGTCAAAATCCACCTATCACGCAGCAGTGAGACCCTACATCCACGTCCCGCCATCCAGCGGATCTTTCATTAGCGAAAACCCTCATTCCCACTTGAGGAAATCCATTCTTTCAAGTTTCAAAGAATATTTTGAAAACGCAGCGAGGGACGTCCACCCACAAGGTGGACCGATGACATTATAAAGGTAACAGGAAAGCGCTGGACGCAGGTCGCTACCAACCGGGTAACATGGAAAGCATTGGGGGAAGCCTATGTTTAGCAGTGGACATCCTATGGCTGAGATGATGATGATGAAATATCTTAAATGTAAAAAAACCAAGGCAGAGGTGTTGATTTTGTGTCAATATTACGCGGGCGAAGCTGAATGTAATCATAATAATAATAACTAAAGTCCGGTCGCCGAGCAGATAGAATTTCGTACAATGATCTCAATCTATCCGGGCGGCCGCAGTGAGTGTGCGAGCGCGACAGCAATATAATTACGCGCGAGCGATAAGGATGGGTAACTTGGTCATATAGCCACGATAGCCGAACGGTGAAGGGGTCGGAGTGGCCGACTCGAGATCCGAGGAACGCGGGTTCGAATCCCATCGCCGCTCGACTATTGTGGTGAGCCCACTCGTAACACAAGCTTATTTAGCTTAACAGAAGGGGCGAATGGGACTATTAGTAATTTGGGCAATACAAATTGCTAATAATCTTTTTTTACAAAAAAAAAGCTTGGGGTCATCGTACGAAATTATATGTGCTCGACGACCGGACTTCAGTACAAGCTAGTATGGTAGTTACCTCGTCAAGCGCGTTGGTGACGTGTCCGTTCCTTATAGATTCCCGCAGCGTGTCGTCATCATCGTCATCGGTGTGCACGTCGTAGAACTCTTCGCTGTCCATCTCGTGGTCTGTACCTGGAAGAGTGATTGATTTATTATTAATACTGATGACAAGCAACCTAGACTACTTAGCTAACTCACCTAGACTACTAGGTAGCTCACCTATAAAAACTAGGTAGCTCACTAAGACTAATTATGTAGCTCACACAGACTAATTGGTTAGCTCACCCAGTCTACCGAGGTAGCTCACCTAGACAACTGGTAGCTCACCTAGACTACTAAGGTAGCTCGTCTAGCTAGACCATTTAAGCATTGTGTAGGTTGGTAGCTCACTTATTATGTACTGGCTAATAGTAGGGTATCTCAGTGGAACACATTGGAGGAGGCCTATTTTCATCAATGGACGTCTTATGGCTGATAAGATGATGATGATGCTGTTGGTAGCTCACCCATCACGGACTGGTAGTCTCAGTCTGACGCGTAGCTGTCGCTTTAGCTTCCCTTCTCTCGATGAAAGTGACTACTTAGCTCGCAGACTTAGGTAGGTCACCTAAATTACTCAGGTAGCTCGTATAGACCATTTAAGCATAGTATAGGTTGTTAGCTCACCCATGACGGACTGGTAATCAGTGAAGTACTCGGAGTCAGAAGCGTAGCTGCGCTCCGCAGCGTCGGTCGCGTCGCCGGCCGCGCGCGCGGCACGCTCCGCTCGGTCGCGGTTCTGCTTCTCTCTCTGCTTCGCTCGCCGAAGCTGACTGTTTGGCTCGACGAAGCTGACTGCTTGGCTAACTCACCTAGACTACTAGGTACTTAGCTCACCTAGACTACATAGATAGCTCACCTAGACTAATTAGGTAGCTCACCTAGACTACTTCGCTAAATTACTCAGGTAGCTCGTATAGACCATTTAAGCATAGTATAGGTTGTTAGCTCACCCATGACGGACTGGTAATCAGTGAAGTACTCGGAGTCGCAGCCGCGCGCGCGGCACGCTCCGCTCGGTCGCGCTTCTGCTTCTCTCTCTGCTTCGCTCGCCGAAGCTCACTGCTTGGCTAACTCACCTAGACTAATTAGGTAGCTCACCTAGACTACTTCACTAAATTACTTAGGTAGCTCGTCTAGACCATTTAAG